ATAGGCGCCTAAGGCAGCCAACAACTGAGGTTCAAATGGTTGTAGCAGTATTAGAAGAATGGGACAAAATTCCTCAGGAATGGATCAATGGGCTTATTGAGCAGCAGGACTTCTGGGTACACAACTTAATTAAGCGATGTGGCTGGTCTACAGCTAATTAATTAATAAAATTCATGATTCTGATGCCCTGAACGCACGGACTTTTGTCCCCATGTTCGTAAGTAGGTTCAGGCAATACTCACCCTGAGATAAGCCCGTTGTCTTTGGGTGGGAAATGCTTCTCCTTCTGTTTCTTCAAAAACTTCTTCACCTCGTCAACAAAGGTGGTCTCTTCGGTTGGAGGAGGTCTCTCAAGGTTGCAAAATGTTGCATCGGAGGCATAATTGATACAGTTTCTGACCTTGTCGACAAGCTCAGTGAGTTTGACTTCAGACACTGCTCGAAGACCGACAGTGAGCTTAGCGAACTCGGGAATGACATTATGTGGGCTTCGGCAATCGATGATCGGATTCATGCGAGATGCTGGCTCAGTCTGTTGACACATGACAGAAATGGCATTGTAGGCAATGACAGCGCCATCGTTGGCATTCCGTCCCATCTAGGGCGACAGGCCCGAGTGTGCTGGCCAGCCATGGAAGATAGTAGTTAACTGCGTACTGGCTAAAGCACTCGCTTCAACGACTCCATCACAGACCTCAGGGCTCCCTAGCGTAACAGGACAAGAAGCAGGATGACACATCATACAGGCAAGCGCACCGTCATACTTGCAGTCAGCGGCAATGGCAACCTTTGCACCTGTCTTCTCTCCCGAGGGCGTGCTGATTACCTGGACTTGCCAATTAGTCTGATCTTTGGGAGTATTAGCTTATGCAACGATGCTTTTGCCCACTTGGGACACTATTATAGACTTACTGATGGATATCAAGTACCGCGCAGCAAAGAGGGCAGCCCCAATAGAGCCTGTAGCAATCAGATTGTGGCCGCAAGCGTGTACATTTCCGTCTCCGAGGTTCAAGCAATCGTACTCTGCATTGAAGATGACAGGAGGGGGTGGCTCCGCTTTTATGATACTGAATACACCAATGGTCAACCGAAAAGATGTGGGAAGCGGTACAGCATCGTCGCTCATGGGGAGAGGATTTTCGATTATGAAGCAAAGGTCGTCCACCCCCATAGCTTCGAATTCCACTTTTCTCTCCTCGAGAAACTTGCAGATGTAGTCTTTGACCTTGCCTTCTTCCTTGGTGTACCCGGTAGCTGGGTTTTCATGGGTCTGTTGAGAGGCTAGTGAGTATCTATGCTGATTCCAAACATAAGATTCGGTCAAACCCAGTGCGCAAGGCCATCTTGGCCAGTGAGGACGGGTTTGTACTCAACCTGCATGTCCTCGAAGAACTTAACCATGTCCTTGAAATCTGTCAAGGGGTAAGGTGTCTCCTTCTTGAATTTGTCCCGAACGGACTGAGCAACGTGTGAGAGCACCATCTTGTTTAGACTTGTTTGCTTGGAGGAAAGATTGTGATCTGATGTGTGATGGTCTTTTTTGGTAGGAAGCATTCATGTTTATACCATTTCTTTTGCATTGCTTCTCCTATTTGGGGTCTATTCTCCCGCTTGAGATCGAACTCATGCATCTGTAGATGCGATGCATTTTCATGTGCTGTCACCCGATACCTCCATTATGCTGCTGGCAACATGGTCTAGGTAGATGCAGTTGCAGCGCACTGTGGGAATATCAGACTATCCACCGCAAGAGAATCATCGAAGACCACCTTTGAACCTTTGTCTTGAGTAAACATGACCTGTACTTGCAGCTGAGACCATTTCGTGTCGAATTCAGCAACCAGTGATGGTTGTCTAGCGCCACCACATCAGCTCATGACAGCTTCAAAGATCCAACACAAATCCAGTAATTTGAGATCAAGGAGATAGGGTCTCTAGCAATGCGCAAGGGAATAGCGGGTCTCGTACTTTCTGGCCAGTGTCAGCCTGCAAAAAGGCCAGCACAGCTTAGCCGAGGGCAGAGCAAGGTCTACTCGAAATATTTGCCCATCAATCCCTTGCAGATGGATCTCAAAGACCATACAAATGCTGCATTCTACCATGAAATGTGCCAGTTTGAGTAAGTTAAAATGAATTCAGAATGTCACGTATGGAGGTGTTGTCTGAGAGGAACAGCATGTTCAGACTTCTGCCCAAGACCCACCAGGTCTGCACAAATAGCCTGTGAAAAAACACCTGAAACATTCACTTTCTTGAACACTCTGGTCCCGTGGCCGATCAATCATTTTCGGAACGGGCCGCATATGCAGGGAAGTCATCGAGAAACAGTTACCACAGATTTAGATCGGTGGGCGACGGTGGCTGCATAAATGGTTTAATCCACCGTACATTCGCTAAACCACTGACAAATATGAGCAAATTATAGACTTTCACTATTGGGCCTGGAAATTTTGTACTACCAACTATCGTACGAGTTTTCATCTTTGAATTCACCCGTGATCAAGCGTCACCAAACAGCTCTTACCTGGTCAAGATATCAAACAACTTTGCTAAGAATCTTGAGCTGTGATCTAATCCGCATACGCACTGAGCTCACATGCACATTCGCATGCTGTGTCTCAAATCAGCTTTGCTGTCTTCTGGTTTGTCACACGAAGCTAGGAATGTGTATGCGGAGTAGAGAAACGCATATCTGCGGAACGACACACTACTCAGCAAATTCACATGCAAGGACAGTAAAGAGTCGAGGGAGATCAAGTGCTAAGGTCCGCATTCATGTCTCTGGCTATGATACAGCATCTGGATCTCATCATCTCCCCAGAGAAAAGAACTCTGCTAAAGACTCACAGAGAAGCAAGATAGCAATTTCAATACTTCACTTTTGGCAGAACTCTGCTTCTGATACAAGCAGTGCTTGGCGTGCTCTGGGAAAGGTCACTACTTGGACTTTGCGAGGCTGGACTTTGCGAGGCGTTCCATTCTGGATATGGAATGAGACCAAGAATGATCCCAATCGTCGGCATCCTCTTCAAAACGACTTCCAACTCTTAGTCCTTGGCTTCTTCCAAACAAACATATGATTGTACTTCGGAAGGTTCGATTTTGAAATGGATTACTTAAACAGAGACATGAATCTGTACTTGTGAAAGAAATTAGTAGAAAATTTTCTGGTATGAGTTTGCTCCCCTTGTCAATATCAGCGGCAAATTTAAATATCTAAACCAAGCTGGAGGATTTTGACTCAGGGGGTGGTCAATAGTTTTCACTGTAAAGTTTCACGCAATCCAGTTTAACCATGATTCGCATGGCACTTTGACTGATATTCCAAGCTGAAGTCGATCATGTAATACAAAGACATCTTAAGAGAAGCGGGATTGAGAGACCCTTGTGCCGTGTGGCGCAAATGATCGTAGGCAAATCAGGCCGATGGTAAGACCCACTTAATTCAACTACTATCAAGTTAAAAGTAGAAAGCTGAAGTGCTTTGATTGGTTGCCATTGATCGAATTCGTATACCCCTGAAACACGATCCGGGTATTCGGCTTTGGCTAGGACGACTATCAAAACTTTAAATGTACTCGGGGCTGCGTACAGGTCAACCGAGGTGAGACATAAAACATTCTGGTCCTCCTCGCAACTTACGACATCTTTCTCAATTTGGCTGTTGATAATTAACTCATGATGTGCTTCCTCAATAGAAAGAGAATTTAAATATTAGTTGACAAAGCTTTTGCCCGGGTTCGCCATCTGCCGTCTTTGTAGGCTGCACCGAGCCGTGGTTGGAAGAGGAGGAAGAGGTCCGTTCGCAACTTAAATGGCAAAGCGCGAAAAGAAGCACTGGCGCCTGATCGCGGTGGATAAGAGACCGGAGACTGGATAAAGTTTATTTTAGTGTGCGTTCCCGGATCCGGGTACAAACCTGGAAGCTTCGGGATATATTAAGCTCGCATTATGTTATCCGTACTATCAATCTCAACATCAACATCAAGCCGTCAATAATCATTCATGTCGCTTCGCGGTACATCTCCTGGTTTGACTTTGCTGAACTGATGGACGTAGAAGCGATAGATAAAGGGTCAGCAGGGAAGGCTGGCCGAAAACCAAGCAGTAAGCATCTAGGAGAATAGGCAAAGAGATGTCGATGCTCAAATACCACTCCTGAATACACTCCCGAGCTGACAGAACGGTTTCTGAGCAATGAAATACAGGTTCTGGGCCCCGAAGCATTGCTGCATTGAGTGCAGAGCAAATCGCTCGAAAGCGGGCAACCGATCGAGCCTGCCAGCGTGTGTTCCGGCAGAAGAGACGAGAACGTGTTGAACAATTGGAGGCTCGGTACAAAGAGCTATTGCGGAATGCCCCTGACAAAGCAGAGCTTCAAGCAGCCAAACAAAGGGGTATAGAGTTAGAGGAGGAGCTGAAACGCCTTAGAGCAGTCCTGGACAAAAGAAAAGCAGAGCTTGGGATTGAGTTGACCGAACCCAGCCAGTCTAGTTGTACGTGACGTTCAGAGCCCCATACCTCCACACTCTGTTCTGGGATACTTGGCTAATATGGTCAAATATGTAGTAACGGTGGTCCCAAATCCTACACCAAGACCGAGCTTCCGCGATTCCCAAGCTGTCAAGTCTTCAGTGTCAACACCAAAACCCTATCTACCAGCAGTTAGTAAATCGGAACCAGACCAGTCGACGAGTATAGGCTCTGCTTTGATCCAAGACTCCTCGAGTGGTTCGATATGGCCTACTACCGTTGCAACTGATGATAGACCCCACCTTAGTTTACGACCATCGGCGCAAGTACAACGCAGAGTTTCAATAAATGATGTCGACACAGTCGAACTTAGATCAACGCCATTGATCACTTCACCGGACAGGAAGCAGAGGCCTGCAACTTATTTCATGAGGCAGCCTTGCCTACACGAGTGGGAAATTCCTCCTGCCTTAAGAAGCCCATCTACTCCCATTGATAAGATTCTATACGGTATGGTCCAGCATCAGCGAGCACTTTCCAAGAAGGGCATTCATAGCATAGAGCTCGCCGGTCCACGAAACCCCAGCATGACCGCGCTAGTTGCACCAGAGCAGTCTGCAACTGTTCATACAGTTGCGCGAGTTATCTCCGATCTGCTGAACAAGATCACGTACCGTACGTTTGTGGACAAGCTGGGTGCCTTTCTAGTCATATATCCTATATATCAGTGGCTTATAATGCAATCCTACGAAACGTATCACAACTTACCCTCATGGTTGCTTCCATTGCTCTCCCAGCGCACCACGCCTCACCCTATTTGGATCATTGCAGTGGGAACCCCGACGTTGAGAGATGTAATCATTGCGAACCAAGAGAAATATGATACAGAAGAATTCCAGTTTCTTTTCGTGGCGAGCATCAACGTCAACTGGCCACATGGACTGGAGGCTGCCTTGAGTCGGAAACATGGTGGTATTGCGGCTAGTAAAGCGTTCTGGGATCATGCGAGGGACTTAAAGAACTGGACTTTGGATGAGCCATTTCAGAGCCGATATCCCGAATTGAAGGGCTTCGTCCCTTTCACGAAATATCCCGGGAAAGATGTACGAGTTGGTAATTTACCAGCTTGACGAATACTCTTGAAAGGATTCCAACTCTGAAATTCCATGCGGGACATTTGCGCCACAATTACAACATCCACAGGAATATACACGTTTCTCCAACCCAACACTTGATTCGCCGTTCGAGCCGTCCCATCAGCAATGCGAAAGTCCCAACAGAGGCAATTACTTAATGCACCGAGCCAAAGACTGCGAATACTTTCTCAAACTGCGAGGGTTCGGAGATTGCCAACATGTGACCTATTCGCTTGGACTGCGACTCCATCAACATAGGGGTTCATCTGCTGCATGCGGGGTGAGTTGCCCCTGACATACCTCACGATGTTCGTTTAAGATCAGGGGCGCTAAGCCTTTCAGCCACAATGTTGGTCTTCTCCAATCATGACTGGCAAGCGACAGGAAAAAGTCATTCGGGTTACATCAACTACTCGTATCCGATTATAAGTGGCATCACTATCAGCTTACGATACTTCGTCTAAAGATGTAGACCGAATTGGTCGAGATATTGCTGTCTCAAAGAAGCAGTGGCGTCGGAAAGATATGCTTGAGACAAAGTCTCACTTTTGTTATTCTTGAATTCTTCAAACTTCATATTGTCAAGTATGCAAGATTGACGAAATATTCGAGATATCAAGCAACATTCCAGTCGCTCTGCGCGCATCTATGTATAAAGTTTGAATGGCGCCTCATTGGTTGCCATTTCGTTCGGCATATACTTATCTGATTGCCGTCCTGCTATGCGTAGTTCTATTTGAACTGGACTCTTACCACAATCTCTTTGGCCCCTTACGCAATCTTCTCAGAGATTCCAGAGTCTCGACTGGCTATGGCGGATCTCGAATTGGACCTGAAGTGAAAGATAAAGGGCGACATGATCCCCACTACTCCGTCTCTTCCAACGTCAACATTCCACACGATGTCAAAGTGATTGGTCTCGTTTTCTTCGGCCGGAGAGAAATGGTGAAGGTTTTGGATTGCTATCTCAAGGTAGTCATCCCAATCGCCATATTTTGCACAGCATATTGACGGGAAACGCAGAGAAATTTGAAGGACAACGGAGGGCTTCTGGATCAGGTCATATTCACAGTCCACACAGATAACGAGGAGGACTTAGCATACTTGGAGGACCTTCTGAAAACAAGCCCCAGATATTCGAAGCATATACAGACGCAGACTTACAGCGACGGATGGTACACGGCAAATTGGGAGCCAGTTAAGGACCCGAAGGCAGTCTATATCAAGATAGATGACGATGTGGTGTTCATCGAGAACAAGACCATTTCCGCTGTCGTCACACGCCTTCTCGACAATCCACAATATTTTGCTGTTTCAGCGAACGTGCTAAACAACCCTTCGTTATCATGGGTGCACTACCACATAAGCGTTCATCAGCCATACTAGCCTGTACGTGAACCACAACTTGTTCTCCTGAGCAGGCTCTAACTTATACAGTAAATGACGAAACCTAAATTCCCTCCTCAATCCTCTTGGCGAGCCTCAGAACTCCCCAACTATGAAGGACCTGCGACAGGCCCTAAGGACTTCAACAAAGACGGCTCGACTCCAGCACCATATGCCGGTCATCGCTGGCTCCCAGCACGCGTCCCTCCAGGATCTCCCTACAACATTGAAGATTCTCCCGTCTCAACCTTCACTTACGACGCCTTCGGACCCTCACTCGGAAATTGGGCCGCAGCAGCACAATCACATTACTCTTTTCTCCACCACCTCGAAAAGGGCGATACCTGGCGATATGAGTTTGATACGTGGGACTACTCGTACACGCGGCTCTCTATCAACTTCTTTGCCATCCGTGGTAAAGATATCATGGATGCTTTCCCTTTTCCGTTTTCAGACGATGAGGCTTTCCTCACCGAGATCAGACTAGCTGAGTTGAAGGGCATGTGGTTATTGATGGCACTGGGCTGGTGGTTCATTTTGCGTTTAATAATCAGTATATGGCGCATGAGAGGCATGGGCTGACGGATACTGATTTGATGAGTAGGTATAAAGCGTATGCGGATGAAATGGTTTGTGTGAATATACCTGTTATGTAACTAAAATACGGTCATGATCCCAGTAACTGACCGAGGAAGGTGGAGTGATGGTGACTAGTAAGTGCGCTCTCTGGGGAGAGTCGAGACTTCCTTTTTTTCAGCATCCTCCTGTCGGTACCCGTCAAAGCCCGGGTTTCAAGTACATTGTCTCCTCCTAATGGTCCCCATTCCATCCCTCAAACCTTGCACCCGTTACCACGCCAGTATTAGCACAACACCAATACCACGGAGGCGGGCTCTAACATTATGACCATTAGCTGGTTGAATCTCCTTGTGCTTCTTCGACGAGCTCGAGCTTGAGCGGCCGACCCCGACCATCATCACTCCAACACTCCATATGTAAGGACTCGTGCAGCTCGCATCATATTACACTACCATATCGACATGGAAGCTTGTTGTCAGTGGTGCTTTCGTCAAGTCAAATGGCCGACACGTGACCAAAAATAACGATATAAAAGTATGAAATCACGGCATTCGATGCCCGCATTGCACACAACTGATCTGCACAAGCATATCTACGAATTAAAGTTGAGCCATAGACACAAAAGATCCCACCCTGGCATCGAATCTGGAAGGTCAATCGCCCAAGATAGATGCTGCAATCATTGCCACAAGTGACGAACGGCAAATGGTAACCCACAGAGCCCCAACAATTCTGGATAAAGTCCGCATCAGACCCCGAAAGTAAGCAGACATGATAATTGCCCCGACTACAATATGGCAGAGCAAAATTCTAAAGAGGTTCAGGTATCCTTCTCGGGCGAGACGAGCTCCAACGATGTCAAGGTCGACGGATCCTTAGAATTCGTGCACGAATATGGCGGGAATGAGTCGAAACCGTCGTATCAGGAAGCTTCGGGTGCTCCGGTGGAGAATGTCTCTCCTCTTGGGCTCCAGGTCACTTGGTTTACTACGATATTCCTTAATATCGGTCAGATGATTGGGACTGGGGTATTTTCAACGCGTATGTAAATCTCATCATGCAGAGTCGGTACTGATCGTGTCATAGCTGCTAGTACTTTGAAAGGTGTGGGCTCCGTTGGTCTGAATATGCTATTCTGGCACTTGGACTTCTGATTGCGGGGTCTCAATTGGCAGTCTATGTGGAGTTGGCAAGCTACTTTCCCAATCGATCGGGTGCAGAGGTTGTCTATCTCGAGCAAGCGTATCCTCGTCCAAAGTACTTGGTACCAACTGCATTTGCAGTCCAGTCTGTGCTTCTATCGTTCAGTAGCAGCAATGCTATTGTGATGGCGGAGTATCTTTATGCTACTGCCGGACACACGCCTACTGCATGGGAGCAGAAGGGGCTTGCTGTTGCATGCATGACTTTTATCATACTTTGTAAGCTTTTTCTTCGCTGTTCTATCGTACAGGAATAACGTCTAACTGGAATTTTAGTGGTTATCTTCAGTACGAAGATCTCGCTCAGAATCTCAAACACCGTCGGAATCATCAAAGTCCTCACTTTGATCTTGTAAGAAACAAAGTGGCTGTTGACCGTCGCAACACTAACACTTCGTTCAGTATAAGTATCACAGGACTCGTGGTTCTAGGAGGTCATTCAAGAGTGAAGCATCCCCGCGCCAACTTTGAAGATTCATTTGCCGGTACTACTGCCAATGGTTACGGCTTAGCGAATGCGCTTGTCAAAATTAATTTTGCGTATGCTGGATATACCAATGCTTTCAATGTGGTCAATGAAGTCAAGGTATCGTAATTCTCTCATATGATGTACCGCATGCCGATGATTGGCCAGAATCCAATCAAGACCTTGAAAAAGACAGCTCCTGCATCACTTCTTGTGGTTGCGACTCTGTACATCCTTTGTAATATCGCTTATTTTGCAGCTGGTATGTCTTTCCCTATAAACATTCAGAGAACTCCAGTCTGATGTTCGAATAGTACCCGAAGCGTCCCTCAAAAAGTCCTCTCAACTGGCTGCCTCCCTCTTCTTCAGCGCCGTATTTGGATCTAGCCGCGCGTCCCGTGCTCTTAACTTTCTCAGTAAGTTGAAACAAGCTCTTACTTCTTACTCACGCTGTGCGCTGTGCGCTGAGGTAGTCAGGGGAATTGACAAACATAAAATTATTCCTTTTTTTCATACACGCTCAGCTCTGCGATGAACTTAGGTACACATACTAACTTCACAATAGTCGCCCTCAGCGCCTTCGGAAACATCATCTCAGTCATCATCGGATCCTCCAGAATAATCCGAGATTGCGGTCGTCAAGGCGTCCTACCCTATCCAAGAGTCTGGGCCTCTACCCGTCCATTCGGGACGCCCCTCGCTGCATATGCATTAAAATGGAGCTTGACCGTCTTGATGATCCTCGCTCCTCCTGCTGGCGACGCTTTCAATTTCATTGTGGACCTGCAGTCTTACCCTGCGAACGTCTTCTTTTTCGCTACAACCTTCGGTTTACTACTTATTAGACGTCGACGCTCGAGGTTGAATCTACCGAAGACAGAATTCCGCGCTTGGTATGCTGCTATCTTCTTCTCGCTGGCGGTGAATGTCTTCATCCTGGTTATGCCGTGGTATCCCCCACCTGGCGGGAGGGATGGAGGAGATGTTACTTTTTGGTATGCTACGTATTGTGTCGTTGGACTTGGAATTCTTCTCATTTGCGCGATCTACTACGCTTTCTGGATATATATCCTGCCGCATTTTGGGGGCTATCGGATTCGCCAGGAATTGATAGTGCTGGAGGATGAGAATGCGAAGACGCATCGATTGGTCAAGGTTCCGGTCGCTGAATTGGAGCTTTGGGATGCGGAGCATGACGTTCTGGGGCAAAAGCTGGGGGTCTCGTCATTTGGAAAACTGCCTGCTGATAACTCGAATTTTGGCCATGAGAAGAAAGATGATTGAACTTTGTTCGGTGGGTTTCAACAACGAAAGATGAGATAGGGCCTAGGTGAGAGTAATTAATTTAATATTGTCAAGGTTGAGGTAAATGTTCAAGTAGAAGACGATGTTGATTGCGACATGGCGGGCAAGCCGGGGACGATGATCCTTGGGAAATAAGCTTCGATATTTGCTACCTATTGTATTACAATTGCGACTTCTTGCATCTACATATGATGAATTCAGGTCGCGAAACATGAACATAGGGCAAGGCTCTGGCTTTTCTGGAGATGACAATCATGTACAATCAACACAACCATGTTCAGAACCCTTCGAGGACGGCGCGGACAAAAGTCTGTAGACGGAGTGTTGGCCATTTCCAGCTATTTGGTATTCACACCCAAATCATGAATGCTCATCTAATACCTTGTTTGGTCATGAGGCTGATCGTCAAGGTTCCTTACCTGATATTCGGCAATCATTTCTCACTAGTCATTGACCAATTCTCTTCGGCTCTTGGTCTTTCGTTTGAAAAAAGAGGAAAGAGGTAGTAGACGCCTAAAAAGACGAGGCTACCATCAATACTGTGGCATGTTTACAGAGGTGTGTGTTCACAGCCACGCTTGGTCGTATTTGCTTTCGAAATGAGCTAAGAAGCTCACAGAGTAGGTTCTTTGGGAAGAAGAAGAAGGAGAGAGAGAGAGAGTAATGAGTGGGCTCTACCCGCTATACAAAGCCCCTCGCTTATCTTCGCATGACTTCTTAACGTCGTTGTTCGTGGTCACCCAACTATGACATGGCAACGCAACGGTATTCGCAATTATCGCGGACGCCGCTGACAGAAAATGATGGTGATCTTGCCTCAAGTTCAGCGCAGCACGAAGATACTTCGGATTATGCCCATTCACAATTCCAAGCTGGTGGATCGGACAACGCCCGGCATGTTTTGTGGGGCGAAAGTTATGAGTTGGACGAGTAAGAGACTGATTGCTCTCATCTTGAAAATTGCTTGATTAATGAGGAGTACAGTCGACGATCAGCTATCTCCTCGGCTCCCCTCTTGCAGCAAAATAACGCTCCAACAAAGAAGTCTTCGGTGATGGAGCCGGAAATCAAGGAGGATCCGATCCTCGACGGACAGAAACGACGGCTTCGTCCATCGGGCTGGAAAGCTGGAGTGAGGATTTGCGCGGCGACTGCTGCTACAATTTGCATTTTGAACGCCATATTGGCCATCTGGGCTGTGGCAAATCATGAGCATGTCGATGGTCTGTCGTATCTGTACACGGGCGGCTGCAAGGAGGTTGCGAAGATGAATTTTTGGATCCATTTGGGAATCAATGCTATGAGTGCTATACTGCTCAGTGGTAGCAATTGTGAGTCTGCTCTATTCCTACTGGATAGAAGAGAGAGAAGTCTGACGGGTTGCAGATACAATGCAAGTCATAGGCAGCCCTACTCGAAGGGACGTTAACGATGCGCATACGAAGCGACGCTGGCTCGATATCGGGATACTAAGTACGCGCAACCTTCGCGCGATATCCTGGGGCAGAATAGCGTTATGGACAATACTTGGGCTTAGCTCAGTGTCTATACACCTAATGTAGGTGAAACCTTTGCTCTCAACTCATCCTTTCTCTCGCCGTTTCGACTAGAAGACCTTGCTAACCCTCATCAGGTATAGCACCGTGATCTTCTCTTCTCTCTCCGCAAACTTCTACGATTATATAGTCGTTACCAAAGATTTCCTCGAACCGTCGGCTGTTTACAGCGACATCGAATGAGCGCATATCGACACACTTAATAGCATGCACGAATCCTACCTGGACGGAAGGTTAACCAACTATACCTCCACAGACTGCATTGCTATGTACGGCATCAGATTTGTGAGCAAAGCCTTCAACGTCCTGCTTGTAACAGGCGACACCGGCACTTCGAACAATTCGGTGCTCGCGGCGGGTGCTTGGGGGTACACAATAGAGGATATTCCGGGTACTGCGGGGTACGAGGTGGAGATTCCATACTCGTGGATATGTGGCGATAGTTGGGACGAGTACCCTTACCAAGACCGACAACCAGTCTGTACCACGGCGGTTGCCAAAGCGGCTGCGTCGAGCCCGACCGGCTGGATCGTCGCTAATCATCGGATCAGCTACTGTATGGTTGAGTTGGTTGAAGAGGAATGCCAGCTAAACTTTAGCTTGAGTATCATGCTGATTGTGATCGCGTTTAATGTTTTGAAAGCATGCCTCAGTACGTATACGCTCTCGACCAGTATCGCGTGTCATGCTCTCACTTCTAGTATGATACTTCTTATGGCACCTTTCCGATCAGAAATGAATACATTGGGGCCATGGACTGCAAATCTAACTTATAAGTAATAGTGATTCTGACTGCTTTGAAAATCAATGAGCCAACCCTCGTCACGATCGGCGATGCCATCGCATCCTTTCTGCAAGAGCCCGATCCGACCACCGAAGGCCTCTGCCTCAGTAACAAGATAGACTTTCAGAATAAAAAATGGGCGTTGCGGACTCCGAAACAGTGGAAACCAAAGAAACATTTCTGGTTTCGGCCCGCGAGTGTTAAAAGATGGTTGACATGCAATATTCTGGGAGTCCTCGCTTTGCACCTACTCGTTCTTCACGCGTCTCTAATAAGAGGCAGGTATATCGGCTTCGTTTGCTTGGGGGTCGACCTCCTCGTTAAAGGCATGAAAGGCATTAGCATCTATAACCTCAAACTTCTCTGGGAGCTCGGCTTCGGGGCCGTCGACTTCGAATCTACCCTAAACGTTGAGACTGACGGTCTCATCGCAACCACGCTCCTCGCCAATCTTCCACAGGGAATCCTGGCCTTTCTCTATCTGACCTATAATAGTTTATTCTCTTGTATGTTGGGCGCTTTTGAATGGAATCGCTTTGCTCGTTTCAGCAAACCGCTACGTGTGAGTGCGCCGCAAGGGAAGCAGAGATCGACTTATTATCTCCAGCTCCCATACACATATGCCATCGTATGTCTCCCTACTATCTCACGGAACCATTGAACTAATACTCACCATAGCCACTTCTCATCATGTCCATATGCCTACACTGGCTCTTGTCTGAATCGCTCTTCCTCGTACGCGTGAATATTCGCTACGGACCAGGGGGAAGCGATAGCCGAGTCACGACAATCGGATATTCATGCATCGCAATCTTTTGTGCTCTGATTATCGGAGGGGTGACGATGCTCTGTAGTATCGCTGTTGGGTTTCGGCAGTATGATGATGGGATTCCTTTGGTGGGGAGCTGTAGTGCTGCGATTAGTGCTGCGTGTCATCCACCGAAGGAAGACTCGATGGTACATTTGAAGGCCGTAAAGTAGGGTATGGTGAAAGCTACGGAGGAACGTGGTAGAGTAGGACATTGTTGCTTAAGTAGTTCAGAGATTGAGAGACCTGTGAGTGGGGATTGGTACGCTGGGGTGAAAGAGAAGTGGAGTTGAAGTATAAGTATACTATATAAAATAGTACATAGCAAGGAGTATATTTGCCTCTGAACTTTTCATGCATTATCAATCCCTCGCTTACTTTACTCGCCGTCTTGCACTTTCTCAGAAGTATACTCTCGACTTTTCCATCAATTGTTAGTGCTGGAGGATGAAAACGTGAAGACGCATCGATTGGTCAAGGTTCTGAGGACTCAAATTTTGACAATGAGAAGAAAGATGATTGAATTGTATTCGGTGGGTTTCAGCGACGAAGGATGAGATAGGGCTTAGCTGAGAATCATCAATCTAGTGTTGACGTATATTATTGCCCGCGAGAGAAACTCTGGCCGTAACAGGAAGCCGAGATCGACAGCTGCTTGAACGGTGGCGACATAATTTCAGGGCTGGAGTCAGGGGCAGCCAATGACATCCAATTAATGCAAACGTTTAATTCAAGGATGCTGTGCATGTGACCATATGAGGGCTGTTATTGGCTTGCAAACCTGCATCGGACCGAGCCAGTCCGGCATGTGAAGATCCCCCCTGCCACCCCATATTGACCATGTATGCCAAGATTCCTAAATATATCATGTCCCTATTTTCTTGGATTTGCGAAGATCACAACGACGACATATTGACAAGAAGCTCGCAGCAGCTTGAAAGCAATATGATACCTCTTTCAACTTGCTTTGCCCTGGTACTTCTTGCCACACAAGCTTATTGCATCCCTGCAATCGGAAACCAAAAGCGCCAATCAACTCTTCCTTCATTCGTGAACACTTATGGTGAGTATCTTGGCCTGCAAGCTTCGGGAAATACCCAGAATGTTGCGCAATGATTTACGACTCCTACTAATCTGACAATGCAGCACCAATTGTATATCTTCATTCAACAGAGAATTATTTTCCGTCGGACTTAAGTGCACAACTAGCAAATACAAAACCGGAGGTCAATTACACTGTAGTTTCAGGAGCACCAAATCCTCTCACACTCGATAATCTCGACTCATTAAATGCGCTCGGCGGGACCTCTGTCTACTTGACTTCTATCGATGACACAACTTCCAACCCTCAACCTCAGTGGCTGAAAGGTGTTGTACCTGACTCGACCGGTAAGACTGATGGCGCAGTCAGCTGTTCCATAATCGTGTGTGATTATGGAAATGGGACCGTTGATGCGTACTACATGTACTTCTATGCGTAAGATCCATTCCAACTCAAGCACTTCTCCAAAGCCAACACAAAATCACAGATATAACTGGGGCGGCACCGTTCTTGGCCTCAACTTCGACGACCACGTCGGAGACTGGTAAGTCACCCACCATCCCCTCTCTTATTCCTTGATTCTTACAAAGCCCAGGGAACACACCATGACCCGCTTCTCCAACGGCGTCCCCCAGACAATGTGGTTGTCCCAACACGAAGACGGCGAAGCCTTCGACTTCTCCGCCATCCCGAAATACAACAACGGTCTCCGCCCCATCGTCTACAGCGCCAACGGATCCCACGCCAACTACGCCACGAGCGGGACTCACGACCACACGATCCCCGGCCTCGATCTCCCCTTCGGCGTCTTCTTGGTGGATTACACTAACGACGGATATCTCTGGGACCCAACATTGAATGCTTATTATGCCAGTGTTTCCTTCCCGAGTGGTACTACGCCGGTGTTTGCTTCGTACGATAGCTCGACGCCGGTTAATTGGCTTAATTTTGTGGGCGCTTGGGGCGATGAACAGTATCCGACGAGCTATCCGGGGCAGTATGATATTTTTGGTGAGTATAGGTATACGAGTGGGCCGACGGGACCGGAGGATAAGGATCTGAATAGGGGGGATGGGACGTGTCCTGCGGGGATACCGGATCCGTGTGTGATTTTGCCTACGGTGATTGCTGGGGAGAAGGTGTAATGTTTAATGTTTTTTGCGATTTATTTTGTCGCTGTGTGGCGCCGTTGAGGTGAGGGGAACGGAAATGGTATATAATTTATTAGCATTAATTTGGAAATCTCTAAAGAGCTCAAAACTGAAGAATATGTGCGCCTTATGATGCTGTCACTTTTTTGTTCTTGTAACATCCTAAGCCCTGAAATAGATCCTCCTCTGGTCTTGATAATCACTTCAGGGGTAGCGAGAATCTCGGCTAACCCCTGAGACGAGGAATTGTGGAGAAATACTTCGAATTTGATGATTATAAATGCGTGATCCAAAGTAGGATGAACATGTCGACCGAGCGCTATGTTTGGTATGTATTCAACATGGAATTGCTTGCCTGATCAGACAATAATTGGATACTTAACACTAGTCGAACAATCAGGCCTTCTTGAAAGCTCGACGCTAGTTGAGCAAATCACGTACTTCACATGTAGTTATGACGGCACATAGAATGGGGGATCGGGGTTTTGTTGAGGTCTGTTCTTCTGCAGTCTCCGTCCCTCACTTTGTTGTATTCATAGTCCCCTCACTAAAGGTGGATAGTCTCTCATCACCTAAAGACTATCGTGCAATACGAGTTTGTAAGTTAATATATTACACATCCATTCAATGCAGGACAGAAGTTGGCGGATCAGTATTGAATGAGTTCTGACCCCCTATCAATTGTCCTTGGCAGTATCTATCCAACTTCGCTGACGATATCTGAATCTCCTTCTGCAGTAATTCTACCTCACTCTAACATTCTTGCCTCTCTTATCTGCCCAAATGCGAAGGGAGACCTATTCTTTCATTCGCTGCGCGTAAGTGAAACTAGCCTCATCATAGTCCGTGCATGCCTTGAAGGCAGCCTTCTCCTCCTTCCACTCCTTCACAGCTTCCGAACCTGCTCTCTTGATCTCTTCATACGCCTCCGGAAAAGTGGTTAGAGTAATCCTGGCTCTGTAATCCCTAGTAATACACCACTCCCAAAAGTGCAGAGCTTCACTGGCGCGTTCGAGTCTCTCCTTCACGACCTCGGGCTTCTTGAGACAGAGGCCTCCGTCACGCAAAGGCGCATGAGCCTGGATTCTGTGAGTAACACCCTCTTCAAGATACCAAGCCACATCAAATGCAAGTCCAAGCTCAGCTTCAATCTTCTTGATAGAATCTGGCGCCGCGCCCTTGAACGCGGTCTCGTTTTCTAGGTCTCCCGCAATCTCAATAGTGGGATAGCGTCGACCTCTGGAACGCAATTGTAGAGGATGAAGCTTGTAAAAGGCGTCACTTTCGGCAACCCTCGCGACATAGGCTGGGTCATTGAGACGTCGCTCTGCGCGGATTTCCTTCCATTGCATCCTGTCTTTGACGTACTCTGCCATCGTCTTCTTCCGGTCCTCCCATTTCGCAATTCTCCATGCCCAGCATTGATCGAAGCCTTGAAGAGTGGACTCGATATCCCCTGCTCTTTGCACTTGATCGTTACTACCATGAGGCTTCTTTCGCTCCTCGTAGAAAGCCGTGAGGATGGACTTGTCGCCTGGGAATGCGGGGCCACCGGAGACTGGGCGACAATTAGTACAGTTCGAGCAAGTCTTTATTGAAGTTGAACTTACAATGTTCTTCCCAAAGGTGCCACTCCATCCAGCATTGTCGTTGGTCGTCAGACATAATCTCGTAGCCCTTGATGCCTTTCATGTCTTCGTTGATGCCCTTGCAAATCTCAATGGTATCGCTAACGCTGATTCCAATTCTCGCTGTCGCTTCGGTGATGGTGTGCCATACACTACGGTAGCGCTGATGGTGGATGGACTGAGATGCCGTGGTATCTGGATGATACAAAAACAACTTTAAGGGTGATGAAGTGTGCTGATCTTGAGTCGGCTGGAATGTAGTGTAGGAAGAAGACGAGCTGCGCGCGCCAAAGTTGGATGTTCTGGGGAGGTTTAGAAGAACTTGGGAAAGTTGGGAAGTGGGTAGTCTATAGAGGTGTTTGGAGCTAGTGGAAGGCGCTAGTCTTCGATTTGTTCACGTGAACCGGTTTGAAATATCGAGCTGGTAGTGTTTGTTAACACGGTTTTGTGTCAGAAGATTCCAGTGCTTAGGACTTCTTGATGTATCACAATTGGAATCTACAAGTCATCTTAAGATACTCATCATCTCAAGACACCCTGGTAGAAGTATGTGACATTCTCAAAGGTCATGATCAAGTCAAATGTGGACTCTTCTTTGCGGTATCTGCTAGCTGGACAAGGCCTCTTCATACTACGCATGCCAACCTACAACATGTAGAGAAATGTAAACTTTAGCTGCAAGCAAGCCACTTCATATCAACAAAGTTACTGCAAGCTCTCTAAAAAAAAATCACATCCTCGCTCTCTCCGAACAATCCTATTCCGAACATCCAGTGTCAAACACGATGCCTTTAGTTATTCCTCCATATCCTCATCCACTTTATCATCCACCTCATCATCATCTTCAAGACTTTCTTCAGCTTCGCCACAATCTCTCAACCATAAATTCTTGAACCTGCCTCTCTTCTTAAGCAACTCATGCGCCTGTTGCAAGGTGGTGAGAGGAATGCCCCGCTCGTGGTCCATCTCAACGCACCATTTCCAGAATTTGAGCACTTTATGAGCATTCTCCAAGGGTCTCCTGAAGGACTCTGGATCTCGAGCCACGGCTTGGTAGTCGATAGGATGATTTGACTCAGCCCATATAAGTAACGTCGGCTCTCCCGCGGCCTCTCCATAGACCTTCTTTTCTAGTATGGCACAATCCAACCCATACCACTCCATGTCGATTGTCACTCCCAAGTCGAGTGCAACTTGATAAAGGCCGACGCTAAGAGCGCTGATAAAAACGTTGGAATCTTTGGTAGGCTCAAACTCGATGTTGAACGGAGGCCGACCATTGACTTCGGTGGTGAAGAGTTCTACTATCTTTATTCCCTCGGCATCCCGCTCCAGCTGGAGTGCTGTGATCCTAGATTCCCGATTTTTAAGTTCTCTGAATTTAGCATAACGGTAGGGGCCCATTTTTCTCAGCTGTTCCATGCGCACATATTTGGCTTGTCTTTCCAAGCCGGCCCAGGGTGTTACTCGCTGCTCCATGGCCCTGCGATTGTCTTCTAACTCTTGCATGACATCTAAGATTCGAGGTTCGTTCATTGTAAGTTGAAGCCTATTTACCAAGTCATCGATTAACGTTGTATCTCCTGGAAAGACTTCCTCTTCTGCATCTATTCGTTGTCAGAATGCGGTCCATCTTCATTCATGGTGAACTTACGAGCGAACATCCAAACGTGATACTCTGCCCAGCTTTGTTTCTGATCGTCAGTCACACAGCGGTCCCAGACACGAGGCGTGACCAATTCTCTCATGACACTGTCGCAGATAATCATGTAGAACTCGTCATATTTGTCGTCGGATCTTGCTTTCTCAAGTGCCTTAGAATCGATGATTTTCCAAACCGACTTGTAGGGTGCTATTGTGCCTTCCATGTTGACCCGATGTTGGATTCGCGGCTCAGATGGCGAGTTGAAGAAGATGTGTTTTACTGATAGAAGATCGAAAAGGTTGGAGAAATCGGTAAAGTTGTGTAGAATCTTGATATGCGTAGAATTTTCGTATCGGAAGTCTTCCAGAATATCCAGCCTTTAGTTGTCGCGTTTTGAAAATGGATAGTGGTTTAAGAGAAAGTTGGAAACGCGTCGAGGCGAGCAGCCAAGGATAAACTCCGGGATGCCAGAATTCAGATCGTCTTTGTACTTTACACACCCAGAAGGAAGAATCAAGCACTCCCATAATTGCATAGACTCTGATGACCAATACTCGCGACCAAGAATGACTGCGAGTAAGGTGAAAAGTTAGGCAATGAAGTCTAACCTTGAGAGGGGCAAGGGAGGCAAAGGCAGGGAAACGATTATGTTCAACTTCTCACACATATTACAAGCATCATGATTTGCAAAGTGCGTTTCATTCATTCCTCATTGCCGAGTAACTGTATTACCCAGCCTAGAGCCATGACCATGATCGCAAAGTGTTCATTCCTCGTCGTCGAGAAACAAACCACAAATATTCCCCCTGAAAGCAAAGCTTGATAAGTTCAAGCAAGATGTAGCACACTCAGTCCCAGGAAAGCTTGGCACCGCCATCAGTGCTCTCAGTCTCACCATCTGCATATCGATCCTCACTCTCGCCGTCGCCAACCCAGTGTCCATCGACCATAGCGCCACGCTTAGCAGCACCGTCGTCCTTAACAGCTTTATCGTCCTCAACAGCCTTGCCATTCTTAACGGCTCCACTGTACTCGAAAGCAGTATCCTCGTCGGCGTCCTCAAGTCTGGTGAAGAACCACTCCTTGAACTCCTCCAACTCAGAATCATCGCCTGGGAATTCCTCATCACTATCTAACACCCCTCACCATTAGCCCTATCCCTCACACTTATCTCAAAAAGGGTGAACTTACAAACCGAATCCCAAACGAACTTGTCGTACCAGGCGCTCTTAAGGTCTTCACTCATCTCCTTGAAGAACGGCGTAAGCTGCATAGCAATATAGGCGCCCTCACAGATCTTGTCGAACTTCGCGTTAAGCTCGGATTCGATCTTGAGGCGAAGACCAATATCGCCGTCAGCGAGCGCGGTAGCTTGCGCAATGGCTTCAGCGCGGGTGCGCGCGTGAAGGTCGTCGAAGATCGAAACATAGGAGTGAATGGATGGCATTGCTGCGGGGGAGGGGAGCTTGATGGAGGAAGGAGAGTTGCCAGTTGAGTAGGCAGTGCTTCTTGGGGATGGAGAAGGGCTTGGGGTCGTCATGTTGGACGCTGTTTGTGGACGTTTGCTTGTGTATGGTTGTTTGTTGAAAGATGGACGGTTGAGGCGGGGCGAAAGTCGCGAGAATTTTATATACTTTGTAAAGCACGTAACCGACGCGTTCAAGTTAGCGCTTGTAAAGCGGTGAAAGCGCTGAGTTGGTGATGGCAATTAAGGGAGGAAACTACGTAGGTGCTTAGTTGGGACAAGGCTGCGGTTTCGAGAACTCACCTTCGGGGAGCAAGAGGGTCCAATGTCCTGAGCCGTGAAGATACATATAATGACAAGTACGGCTGACCCTTAGTACAAAAGGGTATCTATAAGGATTGTCTAACAATCTGTAAAAAACTATGATTTATCTACCAGTTATAATCAACTCACCCTACCCAGCTAGATACAGCCCACTTATTGTCAGCCATTTCACTGCTGCCCACCTCACTCATTACTACTTCAGAAGCCATCTACCTTTCTCCAGAATATCCTAGCCTTGCTCAGGGTGGACATCACTATCATCAGGAAACGCGAAGTTCACCCAGCTAGCATAGGAAACAAGGTTGAGAAAATTAAATACTTCGGTTTAAACGACGTCCATGATGTTAAAGAAGAGCCCGCAAACCAATCACTTCAAAGCAATACGTTGTCGAATCCAATTAGACACTGCATCTGTTCTCACAAATCATCCCTAACAACCTGGTGCTTGAACAGGCTCAACGACTTATATTGCAAGTGACTGTTGAGCGCTAGCAACGATGTCTCTAATTCCCACTTCAATACAATTTGTGCACTTCGATACTGCTTGCACTTCAGTACTGGCTGCAGCTCAGTAGTGCTCGCTGTGATATTGAAGCGATTGAATGAAAGAACGAATAAGTATTTTTCTAGCTTACTTTACTTGAGAAATTTCTCAAACAAATCCGTCTTTTTCACGAATTGTCAGACAAATGTTTTCTTTCTGAGCATTCTGATTGACGGTCAGCCTATTAGACAAGACCTCGTAAATACTTTTCTGTACTAAGGGTTAGCTGCACAAAGGCGTATGAGGAAAGGTCCAACAATCACAGAAGTATAAATTAATATATATCAAATTATGTTTTTCATATTTGTTTATTATTGAAAATGTTAAAAGGAATATTTTAATCAAAAGCGTTAGCACTCGTGCAGGACATTCACAAGCTGATAATATTCAAAGTTTCTTAAAATTCATAAAAGAATATATAATAACAAGGGCGTACGAAAAAAAAGTCTAACAATCACAGAAGTATAAGTTCATAGCCATGAAATTATGCTTTCCATATTTGTCAATTACTGAAAATATTAAAGAGAATTTTCTGCTTAAAAGCGCTATTATTTGTGCAAGACATTCGCAAGCATTAATATCCTAAGCTACGAAGAGACATATAATAACAAGTATGTATGAGTAAAGGTCTGACAATGACAGGAGTATAAATCTATAGCTATGAAAATGTTTTTTATATTTGTTAATTGCTGAAAAAATTAAAAAGAATTCTCTCGTTAAAAGCGCTAGCACCCGTGCCAGACATTTGCAAGCTGATAATGTTTAAACACTCGAGAACCTCTCGAAAGATTCAAAAGCGCTAGCCCCTGTGCCATATGTTTGCAAGCTAATAATGTTTAAACGCTCGACTTCAAATACCCAACGTCAATGGTGGTGAAGTTACCCCAGAGCCATTAAGTACTCAAGTTTCGGAGAACGTGGAAGAGTCGGATGCAGACGGCATCCTTCTCTCTCAAAATCCTAAAGTGAAGCGCTATAGTTTTCCAAAATTGATGGACTTCGAAAGATCTCGAAATATTCAAAAGTGCTAGCACTTGTGCCAGACATTCGCAAGCTAATAATCTCTAAGTTCTCGAAATGTTTAAAAGCGCTAGCATTCGTGCCAGACACCACTTGACACACCTTCCTAAAGAATGGAACAACTTCAATGAAAGGTTCTTGATGAATTTCGCAAGCTAATAATGTTTAATATCTTGAAAAGTTCAAAAGCGCTAGCACCATGCAGGACATTGGCAGGCTGATAACGTTCGTCTCTAAAGATCTAAAAGAGAGTATACTAAAAGTCTATTCTATTTAAGTAGTTGAAGATTAGTGCTAAGCACTAGCACACATGTTCTGCCGAAGTGATGACTTCCATGACAAAGATTTTCAACATTGAGATGTTATATTGTATATCGTTTGATTTGGGCTTACGTGGGCTTATCAGCAAGCACATCATCAAGGAGAAAATTTGAAATACATTCTCAAGGTTTAAGATGTCTGAGTACCCGATTAGAACAACCCAGTGGGCGAAAGTGTTCAAGTGATGGTGGGACATTCAGGGGCTACATGTGACTAGTGCTGAAGAAGAACTCTTTAACAGCTCTTGCAATTCTGTTGTTCTGGATGCTACTCGACTTTCTTTCTACTTCAAACATCTTTTGGCAGAAATTCTGTGAGGAGGTAAAAGAGGGTAGAGCGAATGTCGTTCCCAACCATGAAGCATCCACGGCCATTCTCGCTTACTGGTGCTTCTCCTTTCTCAAGATCCAATATAAGCGGGGACTTAAGCGTTGCTTAATGACAACGGGATATTGGATATATCTGCATCTAACTAAGGAGTACTCTGATGGAGGAGTACTTAATTGACATCGCTGCTGACAATATCAAGTTTTAACTTCACTTGGAATTGAAGCATCATGTTGGTACGGTCTTCAAAATCGAAGGTGGCCACTTAGATGTATTTGTTGACACCTCACATTATTCCCGATTCTATACAAGGGAAAAAAATTTATATATCTGCGACTTTTGATAGATTAAGACACTCTCCAAGTGTTTAGTAGGAAAACGAGAGTTTGAGATATTTGATAGATGAACTACATACCCCTATTCTTGACTCACTGACGCGCTGAACACATCTATGGGGATTAAAGTCTTGTAAAGTCTTGTGTCAGGAACAAACACGAAAATATTGTTGGGAGTATGCTGAGTCTCTGTAGGCGGATTGTTGAACGAAAGAGTGTAAGAATTAGAATTTTCTCTTTAATTATGGCATCCTTGAGCCCACGATCAGAGTGTGAACACTTCAAATCCGCTTCTCGTTTCAATGTAGAATACGACACATGGACCGAGTTCTGCAAATAAGTCCGCACTTGAATTCAAAACAAGAACGTACACAGCAGGCACAGAATCTCAACACCTTCTGCATCGCAAAGAATAACCACGCACTCTCCCCATCACCTGACATCCCTCTCTCCCACAAATCTCGACTAGATCCACAATCGTATCTAGATCTAGATCTCGACATGCAACAAAGCTCCCATCCTCGCTCCTCTCCGTTTGAGCCTCGTCGATCAAAACATCTGCTTTCGCGTTCTCTGCCTGTTAGTTTCATTGTTTTCTTGGCATCCACTTCCTTACTTCGCTCGAATGATGGCAGCATGGATAGTTCCTGCGTTCCTGACTTGTGGAGAAAAGAAAGGGAATAGGCTTCAGTTGCCCGCCGAAGAAGAGCATGGTGGAAGGGAGGGAGGATCATACTTGATCGTCGTTTGTGGACGGGCATAATGATCAAGCACGCAAGTAGGCATGGCACTGCACTGTTTTGTTCCACGCATGCATGCACTTCGGAACAAAGAGGACGGTATCCATGGGGATATCATACGTGATCGTCGTTGTTTTGCTGAGTTAGGTTATTCGTCGGCAAGCGCTCTGATTTGGAAAGAGAAGTCTTGGTTTGGTCATCGCTTCGCAAGTACTACTATGCACGTCCAAAGTATCTAGGTACAGAGCAAAGAGAGGTCTTGATCATCTAATGCGTGCCTTACTCAATCACACCTTCCCTTTCCTCACCGAAGCACGCACGTACAGTACCCAGACCCAGCCATCATCAAAGACCTCTCGTCACATCATCATCCATCACTAATGACTTGCATACCCCGAAACCTAGCCTCTCTTCCCCTCCCCTCCCCTCCCTCCCTTCCCTTCCCATGACAGCCACCTGGAACCACTTTCCTTATTCAGGAAACTTTCCTCGAAGCTAGCTAGCTCGCCCCGCCTACCGCGATACAGTAGAAAGTCCGTCCCTTTGTTCTGGTCCTCCCGCTAGAAAATGTACGCTCTGACCCTAAGGTGTCATGTTTCATCATTTCATTTTCTCTCTCTTTCTTCAATACTCTACTTGCGTACATACGCGCTAGCGCAGGTATGTACTGTATGTAGAGTCGTATTTCTGGAAAGAAGGGTACTGTACTGTAGGATCAGAATAGCAAGCAATGCACGCCCGCGCGAAAGAACAGTACCTCCCGAATATGTTTCACACCATCAAGCGGCTGAACCCACCCAGCGGCTCAACTCCATCACCATCACCTCTCCCCATACTTAGGTATTCAAAGTGACAAAGAAAATAAAATTACCTACCCGCCAGGACCCCATTACCGCTTTTACCCTCCTCGTGTCATCAAGTCACGACGTACATAACAAATGCCGTGCTAGCGGTCTCTTCGGAGGTCTCCCTTTCTGCAGCACGTATTTAAAAATAAACCTGTGCAGGCGAGAGAGAGATCAGAGCGGCTTCTTCTTCTTCGCAGATCCGCTACCTACCTACCAATGAGCGCTACGTTTCAGGTGCGGTGTGGTGCTTGCTCCCTGTTTATGCACGTCCGCTGGCTGTCCGTAAGCGAGCGAGGCCGTGAGCCAATGGTTGGGAAAGGGACCGATTGACTGAGGCGGAGTAAGTAAGGAAGGGAAGGGAAGGTTAATTCTAGCCGGCTGGTGAACGACAACCGGCGTGTCGCTCACGAGAATAGAATCTTTTGATCGGAAGGAATTTCGTGGGCATGGCGCGAGAGAGGGAGGGAGAGGGTAGGAGAGAGGAGGGAGGGAGTCTTTAGCCGCATGGAAAGAGAGAGAGAGGGAGAGGGTAAGGGTGATGTACCGTGATGCGACCGTATGCACACCGCCCGCCAGCCCGCAGGGCAGGGCAGGGCAGGGCATGGCACCCGGATGTACCTGTTTGATCATCGGAGGTGAAACGGGGGCGCGATTTTATCCTCGGTGCGATGGTTGAGGTCACGTTTTTTTGGGGGTAGGGGAGGGAAGGGTTTGTGTGCCGTTGTCAATGGGATGGATGGTGAGGTCTGGGCTTGGGGATGGGGATCTAGTGTGGTGAGGTTGACGATCTTGGGGATTCTTTCTTTGAGGGAGGATGATCTCACCGACAAAGATCCGTAGATTTCAGACATGACATAACGTGGTGTTGTGCGGTAAGTAAGACAGTTCTCACTAAAATCGAGTTTTGTAATCATCTGAATCGCGGTCTTCTCTCTCCGCCACTCAAAGCCCACGCATGAATTTGAGCATTGTGATGAACTTATTTCCCAGCATCCTATCCTATCCTATCCCATCATCTCCCCTCTTCCACCAGAATTCTTCAGCTGGCTAGCGTAGAATGGATGCATACGGTAAGTGGATAGCTGCATAACCTGAAGCAAGCCGAGCTCTTTTCAGGACCGTTTCAGCATCCCCTACCTCGGCTGGGGTCAACGTTGAAGAAAATTGGACATGGATTTGAACGATGATGAAGAAAGAAAGGCACTTGGGCGGGAGAAGCTTCGTTGATCTCCCAAGGAAGTCTTCGGTCGGTCTTTTTTTCTCTCCAAGAAAGATGGAGGATAGGATAGACCTTGTCATTGTTCGCCCTCCCCGAGAGACGGACACGATCTGAGCCAGCAAGCAAGCAGCCATCATCCTCGTGCTCAACGGCCAGATCTGCTCATTGGCTAGCTAGTGCTGAGGATCTTATTACCTGCGGCTTTTGATTCTATGGGGATCTTATTCATGATGCCATACCTACCGGCATCGAGCGGCATCGAGCATCCAAGGCATGAACAAGAGAGAAGCTTGGATCGAAATGGATGCTATTCTGTCATCCATCAGTCATGGCGTGGAGTGGAGTGGCGCAGTTATCTCAGCTGCACGAGTCAACGGCACAGTAGTTGATTGAAGCATAACGCACGGAATTGCTGGTGACGGCGGGATTAATTTATGTCCGTGAGAGAGAGGGGAGGAGGCATGATGGGCGAGATTAAATGCGCTGACTACTACTGTACAAGTAAGTGCCAGCGAAGCAAATCAAATTGATTTGGATTGCGGTGTGGCGAGTGCGACGGAGATTGATACACCATTCTCTTTTTTTTCTTTTTAATGTGTGATGGATTTATATACTTTGTACCAATTGTATGGTACCAGACTTTTTGATTGATGAGTAGTTTGTAAGATAATTTGATGGCCCCTGAGGTGTGCAGAGGGATTCGTGGAGAACGACGGTGGTTGATATCTGCATAAACTTGTTATGGCCGATAGACCAGTCATTGGGTTTGCGCGGCATCGCATAAGAATTATTCATCCCCCGCCAGCGCCCAATCGATCGAATCCTCCTCACACAACATGGATAGACAGACGACACGTACAACTCACCACTGCCCACTGACAAACGACACACTCCTCCTCCTCCTCCAAAAAGAAGGAAGCGTTTCTCGTCTCTAGATGCTCTGTTCACGTCTCTCCTGCTCACCGTGATTGAGCCACGGACATTTTCTTCTTGGCGTACCGGTATTCTAGACTGCGGTCCAGGCTCCCCTGTTTCAGCTGTCATTCGCATCTCTGGGTTCGTGTTTGAGAATATTTCCTTTCCCTTTTTTCCCCTTTTCGCGCCTGTTTCGGCTTGGGGCTGGGCGGGGGGTGATTGGATGCTTCGCTAGCTCAAACTCCACCACTCACTCTCACTCAACTCACTTTTCGCTCGCAGAAAGCGGCACAGGGATGTATCACCTTCCGCGACACAGACACAGGGAACGATGAAAGAAGAGAATCAACAGACACAGCAGAAGAAGAGCCGAGCAAATCAAAGAGAGGAGCTGATTCAACATCTGTCTGTCAGCGCACGGATCGAAGGGTCTAGCGAGGATCGATGGACAGCTGGCATTCAGGATCTATCCTATCCTGGAGAGTTTAATCAATTAATTCATTTTGCATTATGATCACTGACTAGATGGGCCTGCGCGTACAGAGTCCTGCTTGCGAGAGGGAGGGAGAGTAAGAGTAAGCGTATTACGGACACTGACTCTGCTTCTCGCTCGTGACTGGTCTGGACTCGGAGGTATTCTTGTCGCTGTGATCTATTCTGAATCTGCGTGTCGCTTTCTCTGTACTGTTGTCTGCCAGCCAGCCAGTCAACCCGTGCTCTACCGCTCTTCCTTGTCTAACTTGAACGGACCAGCCAGCGAATTCCACCTTACTCAGTCTCCCTCGAAGCGACTAACAGTACCAAGAAAAGATTAGGTCCGCAATTCCACAGAATATGCACCTGCAGATGCAGTAGGCGGACCTGCCTTTAACCTCAAAGAACAAGGCACCCGAACTGACCCTCGTCGTTCGACATTCCGTTCCTGCTTCTGCTCTCCTTTCTCCATCGAGACGGAGAAGAAGAAGAATTAATCATTTCTCGCTCGCTTTCTTCCTTCCACGGCTCATCCCTGCATCTACTCACAGACACTGAAGGACAGGCGAGATTCTTGGGTCCGTGGCATCCTGTCTCTCTGCTCTGCTCTCTTTCCAGTGCGGCGATTACCCCCTAAAAGGGCGTTTAGAGGCTTCCTCGGACCCTCCAGCGCAAGAGCCGTCCCCGTCACCAGTCACGATCCCGGTTGAGGGACCCAGTTGCCAATCTGTTCCATCCTGGTCGACGTCTTTCGTTCTTCCCTTCCCTGCTTTCGAAATAGCTCCGCCGACCTTGACTTTGACCCAGCAGCACAAAGCGAGGAGCAGACAGACAGACAGACGCACGTACTCCGGACACAGAGCAGCACAAGCAGTGTTAAGCACCCAGCACAGCATCGGCAGTACCCAAGGGAGACGGTTTGGTTGTCCATCGCCTATTCAGAGCAGAACCCGGCCAATCCTGTTCGAGGTCATCGTCGTTCTGGAGATCCAAACCCATTCAGCAGTCCAATCCAGTCCAATCCCATCCATATCCCCATCCAGTCCAGTCCCATCAAGCAAGAAAAGAAGTCCACCCTCACTTCCTCCTCCAAGCCGACCCGACCACAACCCTGTGCACCACTAATAAAATCCCTACCACTTCGCTGCCCCGTCCCTGGCTCAGTTCGGCCCTTGCTCTCTCTCTCTCTCCCCCTGACCACAGCGGCCACCATTCATCATTCATCCACCCAATCCACCCTTCACTTCACCTCCCATCCCTCCTCGCCCTAACAAAGGACTCTCCACCCGACCACAACCTCAACCCACAAACCCATACCCAGACCACCCATAACCACCCTGACCACCCAGACCTGACCCCATCACTCGCTCACACTCGTCCTTCCTCCGACCGCGCGCCTGAAAAGAGCAAAGCACCGGCCTGACAATCCAGAGCCTGCACATCTACCCACCCCCCCCGATCAGCCAGAGCCACCCCTTCCCTCATAATCTCCCTGTTCCGCATTCCAAAACGCTTCTCACACTTTGCATCTTACGCTCTCTTTCTTGTCGCAGGTTCGTACCTCGAAAGCTTCACCTTCCCAGCCTCAGAAGCAGCAGCAATTGCCCATCCCCGAGACCGATCACGGGTATTGCGACAGCGCAGCATCGACAGCAAGCAATTGAATTGTTGTAATCAGCCTGTTCGGCCTGCGGTGAACGCGCGTTGTTCGTGGTTCGGCTTTGCCCTCTGTCGAATTCGGGGTGCTTCCTTTTTTTCTAATAATTACCACCGTCGAGCCGGTTTTTTCTCCTTCCGAGTCGAGTTCTTGCTGGCCTCGAAACTCCTCGAACAACAACCGTTCCATCTGCTGCATTTCTGATCGGAGCAGGCTCCTTCAAACCCTCATACACACGCACGACAAAAAAAATATCAGAGTCGCCATCCGACTTGCACCGTACGACACTCGCTTCATCGTCCCTTTTCGACCGCACAAGGCCACTACTGCTTCATCGACGTCGCTGATTACGGGCATCCCAACACTCAGTCGATACGACACCGACACCCGCAACGAACTCTCCATCGGCCTGCTGCGCGACACCACCCACTCAGCCCTATCACACATTGGCGTCGTTTCAATATACTCTGACATCTATCACCGCTTCTGGGTCGTTGTTTCGACTCAATTGAATGGCGCATATGATGTATTCGCAGCATCATGCGACGATGGCTCCTCCGCAGAAACCAGAGACCTTCATGTTGAGCAGTGAAGCACAACAAAGTCTGCCCCAAGATGCTCAGGTGGCGCTGCAACAAGTTGACAATTGTACGACACCAAACCCACCCTGCTGTAGATCATCACCAAACATCTGCTAATAAACAATTTAGTAAAATACTTTTTAATATCTGCTCCCGTCGACTGGACCCCGGATCAATACATCCGTCGATTTCTTCTTCCCACCGGCGAATACGTTTCTTGTGTATTATGGTATGTGGTTTGATCGTTGGGCGTGGATTGTATTGACTGTCGCAGGAACAATCTCTTTCACATCTCCGGCACCGATATCGTGCGATGCCTTTCCTTCCGATTTCAAGCCTTTGGACGACCCGTCAAGAACTCGAAGAAGTTCGAGGAGGGTATCTTTTCAGATCTGCGAAACCTGAAGTCCGGCACCGATGCCTCCCTTGAAGAGCCTAAGAGTGGTTTCTTGGATTTCCTATACAAGAATAACTGCATCCGAACACAAAAGAAACAAAAGGTTTTCTACTGGTATAGCGTACCACACGACAGACTCTTTCTCGATGCTCTTGAGAGAGACCTGAAGAGGGAGAAGATGGGACAAGAAGCTACTACTGTTGCAGTCAACGAGCCAGCTCTTTCATTCGAGTTCGACTCTTCACAATCGCTCTTCGAACAACTCACCAAGGCCCAACAAGCCAACTCATCCTCCTTCTCCGCTCAACAACCTTCATACTCGCAATCCCAATCACAATCCACTTCACCAGTGATGCGAGCGATCGATTCCATGCCACCACCTCAAATGATTCCCCAGGCAATGGCGATGCCAGAAGAGATGAACCCAATGGCGGCATACCAACAAATGGCAATGGGCCCAAGTGTTGCACAACAGATGGTGAAGAGAGAAGCAGATTTCGGTCGTGTTCAATACAACCAGAATGGTGTTCCAATTTCGCAAGCACACCAGCGTCATGCTTCCATGCCTGCATACGGTCTTGAGTACTCACCCGCTCCATCGTTTGTCTCATCACACTACGAAGACTACAGCAATCGTGGCATCTCTTTCGAGCCAATCACTCCACCGCAGCAAGCTCTTGGAATGGGTGCTGAGCCTGCCTACATTGCCAACGAGGAGACTGGTCTCTACACTGCTATCCCAGACCACATGGGTGGTGTTAACGGACTTCACGGCATCATGCAACTGCCCCCATCAAACTTGACTGGTCCACAATTTTCTCATGCCACTCGAGGATACGGCGCGAATAACGTCTACTCGGTCATTGAGGGTTCCCCGACCTACAAGCAGAGAAGGCGTCGTTCTTCCATTCCCCCAGGAGTTGCTGCAATGGTTGCTGCTACCGCTGCTGGTCAAGCACAAGCACACACTGCCCACCGACCTTCAGATCTGAGACGATCTGTTTCGACCTCGGTTGGCCCTGTTGCTGAAGGTGATGAGTCTGGAAACAACTCACCACCTGGACTTGCCTACAGCAATGGAATGCATCAACTTGCTCAACAACACAAGGACCTCATCGACATGTCAAGACATGGAACTCCTCTCTCCACCGTCGAAGACAGCCCAGCCATGAACCCAATGGCTCTCCAACACAACGATTACAGCCAACTCTCCAACGAGGAACTCTCAGGTGATGGTTCCATCCATGACTCTCCTCAACGAAGACACATGCAAGGACCCAATGGAGTCATCCGAAGAGCACGAAGTGCCACGATGATGGAACTCGGTCCCTACCCCCAAAAGTCACATTCATGTCCTATCCCCACCTGCGGTCGCCTCTTCAAGCGTTTAGAGCATCTCAAAAGGTATGGTTATTACTATTTTCATTTCTCTACATAAAACACAACCGGCTCAGGCCGCTGACACATTTGCCCCTCTCTAGACACGTGAGAACACATACCCAAGAAAGACCCTACATCTGCCCCCACTGTAACAAGGCATTCTCCCGATCAGACAACCTAGCACAGTACGTCCCTACACATCACATCACTACCACCATGTTCCAACCCAATATCGAGAATAAAAGAAGAGTAAAAAGACTAACATACTAAAAACAGACATCGTCGTACCCACGACCGCAGTGACGGCTCCGAAGGCCCATACGGCAGCTACAGCGGCGAAGAAGAAGACTACGAAGGCGAAGACCAACTCGGCTCCCTCGAAGAAGCGTCCCCGAACTCAGAAAACGGATACCTGCCCCAACAGTTCGGCGGCATGAATTCGCTCGCCATGTCCATGTCGATGCAGAATTCCGGCATGGCTGCCCCGAGTCAGTTGATCTCTAATCATCAGTTGATGCAGCAACCTATATAACACTTCGCTTCTGAGTGTTGGTTGTATGGGAGGTTAGGGGGCGTTTAGACTCTTTGTCGATCTTCTTCTTTCTTGTATGAACTTTTTTATTGCATAGCCTTGCGCTGTTTTTAGTCAATCTGTTGGGGGTTCTTTCATGGTGCGATGGATGGTCGGGCTTTTTCTGATGAGGTTACGATGTGTTGGTTGTTCTTTTTTTCTTGGTTGGGATCTAGGGAGGAGACGTGTGTGGTGGGAAGAGGGAAGAGGAGGGGATTACATACCGCTACTACCTACAATATCTACTTACTGTTGCTGCCATTTTCTTGCTATTTGCGGTTTTTTATGTCTTGTTGTTTTTGTCGTGTTGTGAGATGGATGGAAGGGTGGGGTGAGACGAGACGTGCTCCCTGATGGTGGGGTTGAGCATGTCGGCGAGCGAGTACCGCGAGCTTAGGATTGCGTGGGTACAGGTGCAAAGATGAAAAAGAGAGAGGAAAAGAGAGATCTGTATGAATAAAACTGCTACCGGTGGATTGAATCATGTTTCTTTTGTGTGCATGTGTGTGTTTTTGGCATTATAAGTGTGAAATGAGATGAGGTTGTAGATGAGAGGAAAAGGGGAGGGATGACATGAGAGGGGGGGAGGGGATGAGAATGAGAATGGAATGCATTATACCCGCTATTTTTTGTTTGGTTTTTGCTTCTGTGGTCTTTGGTGAATATCGGTGATTCGTGATGTGAACGATTCCTGAAAGTACGGCCAGTGCTAAATACTTCTCTTCTCTTTTCTCTTTGCCCCTCTTTTCCCTCTCCCCTCACCTCTCCCCACTCTCTTATTCATCCTCATTCACTCCACACCAAAAAACTCGCTGGAAGATGGTATATTCCCTTTTTTTTTAGTGTGGGGTTTGATGTCTGGGAGGGGAGGGTTTGGTTTTTGTTTTTGTTTTTGTTTTATTTGTTATTTTCGTTGTTGGTGTTGTTGTTGTTGTTACTGCTATTTTGGGTTTGTTGCTATTGTTTTGGTTTTCATTTTCGTTTGTTACTTAGTACTTTTGTTGTTACTGCTTCGATTTTTCGTTGTTGTTATGGTTGTGTTGTTGTTGTTGTTGCTGCTGTTTGGGTGCCTGCCGTTGTGATAACAAGCGAAGAAACAGACAAAGGAAAGAGCAGCCACATCGAGGCAATAAAAGCCCACAGGGGGCATGAAAAATTCCTCCATTCGGGATTACAGTCATAAGACGACGAAAGTTCAAGGCGGTGAGGAAGTTTATATACCCTTTCCAAGAGAGGCTCAGTACAAAGTGAGAAGAACGTGAGCTATGCAAAGAGAAAGAAGGAGGAGAAGTGTATCCTTGTACAGTGAATATTCGGCGAATTTGCGGTCTACGAATTGTGGATTATGATTCATGATTAGAGCTAAGGAGAGAGTAGGAAGTATAAAAACCTACTAGCGGCCTAACTATTTCTCCGCTCTTCTGTGGAGAAGTGCTTGGGGCCTTAGCTTCGAGAAGAGGGGGTTGTGGGGGAGGTTTGTGGGGTTGTCATAGAGAGGGAGTGCGTGGAAAGAGGAGTTTGTGGGGTTTGTGAGGGTTGGGACGAGGGGGAGGAGAGGTTTTGTCTCAATTTTGTTGTCAATTCAAGCGGTTTTCGTCATCGTATTTAGTGTTGTTGTTAAGTTTTCAACTGTGTGGATTTAGTGTTACCCTTTTTCTGGGGTTGAGTTTTCTACGTTGTGGAATGGAATGAAAAGGGCGGGGGTAGAGAGATTTCTCACAGAAGGAGGTGGAAGCCGTGAGCTCGGGGTACATGGAAGAGTTTGGGGTTGCTTGTGTTGAAGGAGGGAAGATGGGGATTTTATAGCTTGGTGGGATGGAGAACGTGGAGAAAGGAAGTGGGAGAGTGAGGGAGGGTGAAGGCGAGTGAGGTGAATCCTAAGTATTGGAGCGTGAGGGCGGGGAAGCGTGGAGTGAATCCTCGACGTTAAATCAGGGTTGGGGAGAAGGGTATATAAATACCTTACCTCCCACCTCCTCTCCTCTCTTGATCTCCATCTTCGGCCAGTTTACCCTGGCAGTTATCAGCCCCTCCCCAAGTACCGAACTTTAAAGTTGTCGTTTTGAGTCGTGTGTGGAATGGTTTTGGTGCAACAGTGTGGCTTAGGGAAAGGATGCTTTGAAATGTGCTGTCAAGGTTTATTTTCTGTTGTCGTTTTTGGTATTGTTGTTTGGTTCTATTACTTTATTCATGATGGGGAGGTCGAGGAGAGGGAAAGAAGAGGGCCCGGATTTAACGACTAGGCGGTGTTGGTCCACAGACTGTGCGACCTTACTATGAAATCTGTCGTTGGTCCTTACTTAGGGCATGTTGGAGGAGGGCTTTTATAGCTGTCTGGGGCGAGGGTTGAGTGGCTTTCAAGGTGGTTGAGAGAGGTGAACACTTGAGAATTGGATTTTTATGACAGGATTGAAGAGGTGAATACTTGGTAAGTTTGACTTTTCCATGACATGGCTGAAGAGTGAATACTCGTGAGTCAAATTTTCTAGGCTGTTATTGAGAGAGAGGGATTGATGGATTAGTATATAGCGCCCAGCTCCCCCTGATCTTCGTTGTCTTGATTACAAACTCGCTCCTGTTCCAGTCCACTGTGTGTTGTGGAACGGAAAGAGACTTAGGCTCCTCTCACTTCTCAGGAGAGCATTCTAGTCTGGAAAATCAAAGAGTGAGGAGGAATGTTGTACAAGACTTGGATGAGGCAATGTTTGTTGTTATTTATCATGCTACTATCACTCGATTATGGATCTTTCGGGGTAGAAGGAAGAAAGAGTAGTCACCACCTTTCGTTGTCAACTGTTTGTTGTCATTTATCATTCTACTGTCACTCACTTATGGAATTTTCATAGTGGAAGAAAGAAAGAGTAGGATGATATAAACGAAGGGGAATGATTGTCGGAATACTGTTATGTTCCTGGCTCCCTTTTTGACTTCGTCCAGGCGTCCGTCTAGGAGCCCAGTCATGAGTCCTCTACCTAGGATGATCTTCGGATATTGCTGAGAAAATAGAGGTAGAGAAGGGGTTTATATAGGACTTCGGTGAGAGCGGCCGCCGGCCGCGGGGTGGGGAATAAGTGAATATTGGGCAATTTGGTGCCTGAGAATCTGAGATTAGGAGTAATAGGAGGTGAAATTTAGAGCGGCCACCGGCGGCCGCGGGGTGTGGAATAGGTGAATATTCGACAATTTGGTGCCTCAGAATCTGAGATTAGGATCAACAGGAGGTGAAATTTAGAGCAGGCGACGGCCGCGACGGCCGCAGGGGAAAGTGAATGTTGTTTGGTGATTTTATTTCTGAGATTGAAGCAAGCAGGAGTAGTATAAAAACCCTTTGCCTCCTCTTTATTCCCTGATTGGAACATACTTGGCTAAAATCTTCGAGAGGTTTTACGGGGAGAACTAAGTGGTATCTATGCAGTGGATGTGATCCTTTTAATTTCTTGCTTTGTTGCTTTGTGCTCATTTGTTGATTGAAGAGCGAGAGGGCGGAGGGTTTTGTTGTCACTTCTACGCTGCTCTAGTTGTTGTCGTTGTCATTTCTCCTATTGTTGTCTACTCTTATGGCGGCTTTTCGGAGAAGGAGACAAGGTGAGATGAGATGAATGTTCGGAGCTTATAAATTGGTGGGGTGAGTGGCGGTAATTGTGGGGACGCCTTACTTTGTCTTGGTCACAAAGCTCGAACTCTTTATGTACATAACTAACAAGTAAGGAAGACAGAGATGGGGAGAGGTTTTTACACACTGCAAAGTGCGGGTGGAGGATTGAGTTCTTGGTGGTTTAGAATCTTGAAGTGAAGAACATACAACGAAGCAGGAAAGAAGAATGTATTTTTGATATGCTACAATGATGCCGGACAATGATGGATGCATATTGCCTGGCAAGTGAACAGTGATCTTGGTTAAAGTTGTGACAAAAAGTAAGACCGAACAATTCAAAAGACGTCTACTTTTTAGGTCCTTCTGGTGCTGCCTAGAAAGAAAGATTAGGGCTATGGCCAATTCGCTTCCTAATATCAAGCCACAAAGTGAGGGTGAAGGCAAACGTATTACCCTGCTCTTAGACAAGGTTATGAAGCGCCAAGGTATAAATTGCCGGGGTCACCTTTGCTTTTCCCTTCACAACAGATACTTCCAAGGAAGTCTCAGACGACATTTGTTCACATTCGCTTCCAACGCGGCTCTCTGCTCAGGTGCTACTCACCCTCACCTCACATAGGTTGCTCAGTTATATCCCTGCCCTCTACTCTACTGGCCAAATATAATTTATTTACTACTCGATTCTGCTCTGCGAAAGTAATCAATTTTAAGCGACTATCTTTAGGGAGCTGATGATGGATATGGTGAGAGGTGGTAATTGAGATAATGATAGAGGCTCCCCTTCCTACAAAATTGGTCAAGTTCAAACTACCGAATTATGCTTTGGAAGAGCTATTCATTCGCTTCGAGAAAAGTTGCTGCGCTTCTATCCAAGTCGTTCCGTTTTCTGTTACTCAATACAACTCCTCATGAATCCGAACCGTTAAGCAAGTCCCTGTTCATTGACGAAGCTACAATTCCAGATGAGGTCTTGCATCATCAATCAGTGAGTAGCAAGGACTGGACATTGAGCTCTTCACAAATAGGAACCAGATGAAGTTGATAGTCGGTCGGATCAAGTCTTCTAACCCGTTTGCAAATAAGACAACCACGTTTAGATCCTGGGCGAGATCCGTCCAGCCTCCGTTACTCTCCTGAATATCTGTTTCTTTCATGCGGATTGGTGATCTCTCTTGAACCAGGTCCATGATATCCCACCCCCTCGGATCTGAGCTTGAAAGTCCGGAACGAGCTTTCTCCCTGACAAGCTTTTCTTTGAATTTATGTGCATCAAGGTCTCCAGCAGGAACCAGATGCCGAGAACCAGATCTCTGAAGCGATGCGGGCTCGCCTACCATCTCTCTAGACACGCCCTGAGCACACAATAGCATTGTGGTCCGGTGACGTAAGTTCAAGAGTCGACTTTCGCTGGGTTATCAATACTCACGAGATTGTTCCAGTACCCTAGCAGTCTTGCCTTTTGCCTCTATGCAAAATTCCGATGAAAATTCTACCAGCAAAATGCTTTTCCTTTCAGCCTACTCCTCATTCGGCACTCTAAACGAACGCGAGGCGGCTACCATTCGATGGCACAATATGTGAGAAAGCTTCCCCATCCATGATTCCATGTACGTAGCATTCTCCGACGAAGAGGAAAGGTAACTTGCACTCTTTGCTGCCATCGCAGCGACCATTCGGATGTCGAATAACAAACGGCGTTGCTGCACCAAAAATCAACGCAATCTCATCACTGATCTCAGTTCTCGGTGTGACCATTCCAATGAATCCTTTGGATGTCACACACAGCCTGCGGCCCATTGCACATCGCTCCAGGGCATCGTTCCATGCAACCATGTCTGGGGTGTCGAGTTCGGCGATCAGAGAGTCAATTTGAGGAGACTTTTCGTAGAACAAGCATTCGCTCATTTGGTGCGTCCAGCGGCGGTGGTATTCGCCGTAAATAGGTTGGGCAGGTCGTTCGGTGAGAGTGCGATCGCCGATGAGGGTGCGCCAAAAGATATCATCGAAATCTGTGGGTATATGTTCTGTTGTTGTTAGGAATGATGCATTAAGTTGAAGGAAACTTAATGCATTCACGCCGAGTAGGCGCGTTTCGTTATGCCATTGCTGAAGACTTCTAATCTCCTCTAGACGACTCACCTTGAGATCGCTGTCGTTTGCCTTGTATGGAGCGAGGACTGGACCTAGAGCAATGATCTCGTCGAAATAGCTTCCGCGAAGCAAAAGACTGTTCTCTGGACCCCAGGCTATTTCTCGTAATTGATGAGTATCTGTTGCATCCCGGAGTCCATCGGGAGATTTTATGTCGTTGTTCGGCTTGCGACCGTACCGGAGCAAAGACGGTGTGGAAGCATAATACCGGACTGATTTCATTCCCTTCAATCGCAAAACGTGAAGTGGAGTAGATAATGGGGGATTTGCCCAGTCTGGTACCCACGAAGGGATGTCGGGAGTGCGACGTTCTCCAAGACCGACTCCAGCGTAAGAAAGTACGTCAAAGTAGAGGTCATTTTCCACCAAGTGGCGGGCAGTATCTCCCATCACTTCAGAAGCAGACTTGGTATAGCTGGGCCACAGTCTATTAGTCGCAGCAATATCAATGATCATCCCGAGCAAAGCGTAGACTTTGTCCTTTGCTACTGTAGCGTCAAAGTGACTGCATGCTGACAGGAGGAAGCTCAGTGGCATGACTCTCATTCTCAGGGCCACACGGAAAAAGGCCTCTGTATTTGGATTGCTGTGCATGTAATCAGCATACATCGCATATTTTTTGTGGTAATGTCTAATTCGCAAAATGCCGCTGAGATTCATCGCATTTTTTCGAGCTCGCATTCCATTGCGACAGCGCCGAAGAAGAGGAAGCAGTTCCGGCTCAGTAAGGATTCCTGCAACATCGGACATGGACTCCCAGTTGATGTATCGATCTTTGTAATAAACTTCCACTAAACCACCCATAATGACTTCTTGGATGATCCAGACACGAGTGAACCAAGGATTTGCAAAGAAATCGACCAGGTTACTCCATCGAGACTCACCAAACATGTCGATTTCGCGATGGAGCAGATCAACAAGCTCTTGTGGGCTCGGATAGCAGTCGTTGATGAACCACGCTAGCCGCCGAATCAACACTCCCACGCCATTGATATCTCCCGACGTGAGTGTATGACCCGCTGGCGGCATGATCTGCACCCGAACCTCTTCTGCTCGAGAATAAATGTATCTCATGAGCTGCAGTTGTCCGCCCTTCTCTGTATCGTTGTATTGATCAATGCAGACATAGTCAATCCAAATGAGTGGTGATGTCCACATGCTGGAAACTTGGTACAGAGCATTATATGTTGCCTCAGTACAGGGGAACACAGAGCCGTCGAGAAAGAGAGATTTGCTCTTGTTCGGATGTTCTCCCCAGGTATAAGAAATTGCGACATAGTTTTTCTTTTCATCTCCCAGGGACTTGTATTCCACGGTGGCGCGCAGAGTTTGAAACGGCAACCGGCGATGGAGTCGCAAAGTTCTGATCAAAGCGTATGGTGGACATGTCCCGTCCAAATGATCATGATGCGGCAACGTTCTCTTGTACTTGAAACCACGAACGGGAGAGTGCTCGGACGATGAAAAAATCCCGCTCTCGATCAAGTATATTACTGAAGCTGCGAAAGCAACAACAGAAAATATGATAGCCGCATAATTTCGACAAATTTGGCTACTGTAAATGCACCACACGAGGAGACCCAACAGAATTCCTTGGGAAAAGAGGAGAAGGCGCGTCTCCCAACCAAGCCAAATGAAGAGATATGGTGGCAGAGGTCTGCTTGTCGTTGTCAACGCAACAAACATGAACCAGGAGACGATCAGAACAGATAAGCGCAGATGAGAGTAGCCCCCGTATCCAAGTGATATTGCTGCAACTGCGACGAATTCCAAGCTTGGGAAATATCTATAGATCCGATATGATGTATTTCCGTACCTAAATTCGAAATTTATCTGGTCGAAGAGGGCGCGAGGGTGGGATCCTTGGCGTTGGCGAGCTCGAATATCATCGATTGGAACGGGATCATCCGTAGCCCAATACAATTCATCCAAAAGAAATTGTTCCATGGTGCCTTGGAATTGTTACTGCGTTCATGCTACCTTTGAGTAAGCCTCGGAATCTGAATTTGAGGGGTCGACGCCGGTGCGACAACGCTCGTGGATGATAAACGTAAGCCCGCGGCACGACAGGTGTGTCTGAGCAAAGCCACTTGAGCCACTTTCCGCTTCGGGACACGTATTTCAAGCCGACCCCAACTACTTGCCTTAGGCAAATTCTTGGTTGCTACAATTGTTATGGTTTCAATTTTTACCATTTATTGCATTCATTCATCGCATCTTATTTTTAGATTTTTGGAGAAGCATCGCAGCGAGTCCGGCTGGCATCATAGCAAAATTAGCCCAGTCGACCCACCTGGAAGCAAAGCTGTGTTTAATGGCAAACAAGGCCAGCGCCAACATGCAAACTCCTCCTGCAAAGTCGACTCTCGGCCAATCGACGATATACCTCTCGCCACAGCCTCTCACACGAGTCAACTTTCAAACACGCGAGCAGAAGGCTAGAAAGCGCTCAGGTATAGATAACTCGCTTCGGGCTGTGGTTTTCCTTTCCCTTCACAAACAAATGGCACATCTGCCACACATGAAGCTGTGCTCGAAATGAGGCTGTCGTTGGACGGGACGGACCTGGATCTTTGTTTTCTTTCTGGTTTCGTGCCCTAGGGATAAGAAGGAATGGAAGAAAGGGACCTAAGTGCAGGGAAAGGCGAAGAGGGCAGTGTTGCCAAAACTTTCTTGTCATTTCCACTGCTGTCACTCCTTTGGTTTTCAAGTCTAATCATTCAATCTTCCGGATGGTAGGCAAAGCTGCTTCCGCTTCTGGTGATCTTAGCACACTTGGTTCGCTTGAGATGTTTAAGTTGATCATCAATAGATGAGGTGTACATGACACAACCACAACGATGGAAGAGAAAAGTTTGGATTCAATCAAGCCACCACTCTCCAATTAAATGATGGCCACACGATTTTTTCTTTCTTGGTGGTAAGATTGACATCGAATTTCGGCACTTTCTATCTGTCAACATCACCTACACATTCTGTTAGTATGAGAATATCGAACTTTGCACGAGACTCACCAAACACCAAATCCATCGTCCCAATAATGGCCACCGCATCAGCCAACAAGTGACCTCTACTCAAAGCATCAAAACCACTCAAGTGAGCAAAACCAGGCGCACGGATATGCACACGGTACGGTCTCTCGCTGCCATCACTAACCACATAAACCCCCATTTCGCCCTTTGGCGCCTCAATTGCAGTGTACGTCTCACCTGGAGGCACGGCATAGCCTTTACTGTAAAGCAGGAAGTGATGAATCAAAGCCTCCATATTCGCCTTCATGGCTGCGCGCGGTGGTGGGGAGATCTTGTAGTCTTCAACACGGATAGGTCCTCCGGGCATCTTGTTGAGGCACTGGTGAATTATGCGTAGGGACTGGCGGAATTCTTCCATACGGCATAGATAGCGGTCGTAGCAGTCGCCGTTAACGCCTACGGGGACGTCGAACTCGACCTAGGCAACGGATTAGCACTGCAGAAATGCTGCAGAACATGAGGATTTTGGAGCTGTCTCGGCAGCTACAGGTGGAAGAAACTCAGCTTCCATGTCAGCTCCCAACACCGGACCTCTTATAAAGCAAAACAGCAAATTAGTATGAGATTAGACCTACCTGATCGTATGCGTCGTAAGGTGAAGACTTGCGGATATCCCACGGTACACCAGACCCACGGAGCATAACGCCAGTGAAGGATAAATTGAGGGCGTCGGCAGCAGACACGACTCCAACACCACGGAGACGGCTGATCCATATACGATTGTCCGTCAGCAGCTCTTCCGTCTCGTCGATGCGGTCACTAAATTGTGTCGCCCATTGGTATATATCGTCGAGAAGACCAGCAGGAATATCTTGATGGACACCACCAGGGCGGATATATGCAGCGTGCAAGCGTGCACCAGAGACTCGTTCGTAGAATTCCTGTTCCAGAAGCAGTCCAGTTAGCGTTAGAATTCCCAGGCTCATCTCATTCGTTAGGATTCAGAGATCTTTACCATTAGCTTCTCTCGCTCCTCGAATCCCCACAAGAAAGGCGTCAAGGCGCCGACATCCATAGCGTGAGTTAGAACCGCCATGAGGTGGTTGAGAATCCGAGTAATCTCTGCAAACAAAGTCCGAATCCACTTAGCACGTTCGGGGATCTCGATATTAAGCAGCTTCTCGACGGCAAGGGCAAAGCACTGCTCGTTGGTCATCATGGAAATATAATCGAGGCGGTCGAAGTAGGGTACGGCCTGCAGGTAGGTTTTGTATTCGATCAGCTTCTCGGTTCCGCGATGCAACAGGCCAACATGAGGGTCAGCTCGCACAATCTCCTCGCCGTTGAGCTCGAGAAGTAAACGTAGGACTCCGTGGGCGGCTGGGTGCTGGGGCCCGAAGTTGACGGTGTAGTGACGCATTTTGCGACCCTCGACGGAGTTTTCGAGAGGTTCCTCTGCTGTCTTTCCTGTGCCTTGATCTCCAAGTGGGACGAAGTTCTTGTCACCCGGGACGAGCCTCGTGCTCTGCACATCTTGTGGTTGAAGATAGCGGCGGCTGGTTATCGAGAAAGAGGCGGCGGTGGTCTGTAATGATATCGAGGGTATCGACCTGGTGGTCGGTCGACTCGGATTGCTGATGGTAGTGAGGGTGCCAACAGGTCTCAGACACAACCGCTTCGCCGAATGATCAACCAATGTGTGCCAGACGTCCATTGTTCTGCGGTCTCCAATCCCCCGAAACGAGTATAAAGGTTGGAATGCCACTGCAGAAAAAACAAAAGAATAATGTGTCAAGAAACTAGAAAGAGAGGAAAATCACACAATAGGAAAACCACATGTACGGAAGGATGTCGGGCAAGTTGGATCAAACCTTGTTTAATCTCCGATAATGAGTATTTAAGAATATTGCTATGCTACTCATAAGGGCTTAGGGTACTCGTAGCAGCTCAAATACGGCGCAAAGTGCAGTATGGGATGCACGAAAAATGCCAGCACCACATAGCCACCGTGCATATAGCTATCATGAACAGGGCAATACTTCCGTAATGACCCGTATATCTTACTTTATAAAGCTTGAAATAGTTTTCTTCCGCTTGGAATGCATCGTTCATGGCGGTCATGCCATACCGGAGTGTGAATAACCTCTATTTAAGTGGGTGGGACATCGCGTCGTTTGAGTCTTAGCTCCTGCGCTACCAACCGAAGATCGCAGGGGTCAAAATAAAGAGGGACTCGCGATTCCCCCCTCAAAAGATGAGAATTGAATTCTTGAATTTCGAAGAGCGATGTACGAATCACGTGATATCCTAGCAGGACGGGAGAGATGGGAGGGTCTTATCTGTACAACAAGCCATGAACACTTAAAATCAGCGTGTCCAGTATATAATTTTGGATTTCGTGAACATGTAAGAAGTCACGGGAACACGTGCGCTAGCGCTAGCGTGCCTTTGGTTCCAACATCATGGCCACGCATTCTAGACCAGAAGACAACAACACCTTACCCAAGGAAGTCGTGACATGAATGAACCATCAATCGCACCTCTGAATCTCATATTTCCTCTGCTTTTGCTAGTCAGTCCCATTTTCGACCACGAGTCCACGACGGCGGCGGGCTCACCACGACCACAAACAGACGCGCTTGGCAAATTTTGAAATCCAATTTTGTCAGATGGAAGTCTTTAATCTGTTAGCGCCCACTCTCAGCGGCACCAAGGATGAATATGGCAAAGATTTTGTCCCGCCGCTCCCACTGTCAGTTGATCGCGTCATGGAGAACCGGCCTTTCAAGTCCCCGGCTCCTTTACTTCAACTTGCCCCTGGTACGAGAAAATCCGCCTTGCTGCTATCAACATCAAACCCTCAATTTCTCGGAATCATCATTGGCTCATCAGAGAAGAGAAGCACCTGTGATTCCTCGGGTTCTAATGTATATTACAAGATATGCACTAACTTGTCAATAGAAATCTTGGGCATCATTTTGTCTCACATAGATTCTGACTCGTTAAGCAGCCTTGCTCTGGTGAATAGCGACTGTCGTCAACTCGCACGCTCTCGCCAATTTGCTAGTGTTTGCTTCGACTATAGTGACGCAAGCTTGGATCTTATATCTCTGCTGCTGGATGAGAAAGCTTCACGAAATTCAACGAACAACAACTTGGGCAGCAAATTTGGCGCTATTGAGCCCTGCGTCCGACGACTTACTGTTGCTGCACATCCAGGATGGGTTCAATACCGCCACCATATTGATCTTTCAGAGTTCGCGGAACTCGACGAAAGTGTCCAACAAGAGCGACTAGCTAAAGCATCCGACGCTTTCTCGCTATACAAGAGGGATATTGAATCTATCTTGTCAAGCCGTGCAGCATTGCTCCATCTCGAGTTACTTGATTGGGAGGACAAAGTTCCTTTGGTGCAATCTTTCTTCAACAGCTTGACAACATCAAGTATACAACATCTGAAGCTCTATCGAGTGTCCGTCGATGAAGATTTTGAGGTCATCCAGCCATCGGTCTCTAATAGGTGGGACTTGCGATCTCTGAATATGGAAATTCTTCCGAAGATGAGGCATATGCGCGACCAGAGGTCGACATCACGGCTCTGCGCAAGCCTCCTTCAAAGTTGCTCGCACAGCCTTGAGACTTTGGTATGGGGCACGTGTCGCGGTGGAACATACACCTTTGGATCTAATCCGGCCGATTTTCCACGATTAGCGAAGGTTCGAAATTTAGGGCTCAGTTGTATCAAGTTCAGTGACATTGGGACTGTGAACGCACTTTTGGAGTCATCTCTCTCGGTCCTAGACTTGGAATATAATTATGACCCGGTGATTGTAGAGGCATTGCGAAAGCATGGTCGGATACGCTCTCTCGAAACGCTATTGTTTTCTATTTCAAATTTGTTGGGAGGCACAACCGACAACTACATCGAGTTCTTGAAGGAAAACACACAAATCTCGAAGCTTACCATTCTGGGATCGTTACACTGCAAGGAAGGAGAACCAGGCGGAGACATTCCAGAGACTGTAATTCTGCCCATCCTCTCATCATCCTTCCACGCACTGACCTCACTCCGCCTTGGCTGGAATGAAAACGTTACTAGCGTCCCCGATGCCGCACTTGTATTGATTTCCAAAATGGAAACTCTTGAGCAAGTGTGTCTCACTGTTGGGTGCCAGTTTGGCTGGAAGTACGATTGGCTTGTTGACCATGAGTCGATCCGAAACCATCTGTCCAGCTTGCCGAGGCTAAAAAAGATTGCATTTACCAGAGATTCATACCAAAGTATTAACAGCCTAGGCGAAATCGAACACGGACTTTACTATTCTGATCGAACTCTTCCCATCGCACAACTGGATGCTGCTGGAGTTGATTGGAGATATGGGGATCTCCGACAGCAAATCGAACAATTTTGGGAAGATGAGCACAAAAAGCGTATGATTCTTGAAGCAGGAAAGTACGCAGCCGTGATCCCGAGGCTGGAGTGGATATATATCGGCTAGTACCCAATGGCTGTCACAAAAGGCGCATCTGAACGAGAAAGATACGTTGCACCATTATTTCATGAGAGGGACGATTGTATCACGTTATTGAAGCGCATGTTTGGTTGGGAGGGATTGGGTTCTGAGTAAGTTGTAAGAAGCTCAAGGAGTCCGGCCACAGTAGACATGGTTAAAGCGTTACGTACGTAATGGAATCTTGCTACTTGATTTGCGAAAATTGGATTTTGAGAAGTGATGTGCGAATTAGGTGAATTTCAAGCTAGAAAGATGGGATAGGGGTATATGAACAGCACTTCCCCCCTATCCTCGTCCTTCATACACTAAGCCTCAGAGTTACCCACCTGAATTGTTGTTGGACGGAAACAGTTGCATTTGTTTCTTTTTGGAGTCCCTGAGTGCGCAACTTTCCTCGCACTCACGTCTATCAAGTTTCACTTTGATCTACCCAAAACGGGGTTGTTATCATCATTTCATTTATTAATGATTTTGCTGTCAATCTCGCTAGTATCCATTCTTTGGCATATTTTAATTTCTCTGCTGTTGATTTCATATTGTTTGAAATCGAGGAGGAAAGAGAAGGGATGTCTCAGCATGGCGGGGTAAGAAGAGGAGCACCGGGTCCCATCAAAACGTATGGGCGCTCCTCACTCTCCTGGGCGCATGAAGAGGAGTGGTTGGGAGGAGGTGACTTTATATACTGGTTGTGAGCGGTTAGTAGAAGAGGGGAGGGTGGAGTGAATTCTACGCGATTGCACTCCCAGCACCAACGAAAGCAAAGGAAGGCACAGTGCAAATAGCATAGAGGTATATATTCCCCTCTCCACTAATTTTACGTCTGATCCCCATCCTCAGTAATCCCATTGTGTATGACTTTGTCCAGTGAACGCGGCTGAGTTAACATAGAGGCCACAGTAGTGGGAAGTAAGGATCACTGCTGAAGAGTTGAGCAGACAGTGATGTCAATTCGTCCTTCCAGTTTCATTTCAGCATCAAAGTTTTACTTCTGCTGTCGTTTATCTGTGGCTTTGTTGCCTTGCTGAAGATATAAAGAGAAAGAGGTAGCATGGTTTACAACGATATATTTGAAAGTGAGGAAGACTTCACATTAACCAACACGGATGCCCATCTCTATCCGAATTCTCTCTCGGCTTTGAGGTTGTATTATAATTGACGAGGTGGAGAGGTCTTATATAGCCTTTTATGAGTAGGAGAGAAAGAGAGAGCTGGTGATTAAGTGAAGTGAATGATTGGTGTTCTCAACCCAGATCAAATAATCTTGCTCCTCCGGGAGTATAAATAAACTGCCACCCTCTTTCTACTTCTCCTGATCTTTCCTCATTCTTTTGCAACATGAATGATCCGTTTATCTTTGTCTCCCTCCTGGTTGAATTGCTCTTGTATTATCCCAAAATTCTTTTTGTCAATTTTTGAGTCAAGATCTTTAGTCAAGTCTCAAGAAAAATCGAATTCGCTGTCATTTTAGATTCCGTTGTCATGTTTGCTACTTTTCTTGGGCCTGATGCCGAGAACACAGCAAGACAGATGAGATAGACTGTGACTGTCTTTTGTGCGAGTGGGGAAAAGATAGGCAATTGAACTTTCGAAAGGTTATCTCTCACACCCAATGGACAGCTCCAAACCTCTTCTACTTTCACTGCCGCGACGTGTGGCACGATGTTCACGAAGTATTGTGGTGGGAGTCAGGAGGGGCTTATACAGTTGCTGATAGGCCGTGGTAAGGGCCGTAAGGCACAGAAAGGTGGCAAGAGAAGTGAATGTTTGGTATCGAATTAGGTAGTTCTGTTTCTAGTATCAAAGTTATCACACTCCTAGAGAATTATCAATACCCCAACTCCACCCTCCCTTTCCATTCATCATCGCCACCTCCTGGACTAGATTTCTGACGATAGCCGGGAGAGTCTTGAGACCTGGGGTTTCGAAAGAGAAATTTGCTCCCTCAACTCAAAGATTTTTGGTTAGGTCTCAAATGTCGCGCATCACTTTTGCTGTCAAGCTTGTCTTCATTGTCAAAGTCGGCGTGATAGATGAAGTTTTCATTGAATCCCCGGGTCACATTGCACCATTTCTTTTTCCATTAAATTGTAATAATATGACGGTGCAGTTCGAGCCTCGGAGAATCTCAAGGCAGCCATTATCTGAAACGTCCCCGACAGTGGGTTGTTAATTCAAGACAGGCCTTGGAAAAACATCGCCTCTTTATATACGCGTTTCTCCCACAACTACCGACTGTTCAATGAGTTTTGGTTGTTGACTGTTGAAATATTGCTAACAGCTAGCTACACAGCTACTTGGAAGGTTAATAAGTACTGCATGATCTTTTTCTTCTTCCATTTCCAGGCCGAAATCGTTGTTATGGGAGTACTTGTTCTCATTTTTGTCATACGAAGATGTCACATCTTAGATGTGCAGCAAAGTCTCAGAGCTTGCATCTAATTCTCTGTTGAAGTGTTAAAACACTCTATTCACTTCGATAACCATGAAATCGACCTCGATCAGAAAGCTGCCTGAGAATGTGAAAGATGCAGAGGCACCGTAAAGTACACGCTTGCTCAATGGCGAAACGTGGCAGCTTCGCGTCAAGTTACAGCGTTATGGAAATGCTACTGTAAGCACAACAATGCGAAAACTCCTTGGGTGAACTCATCCCAAAAAGAAGAAGAAGTGTTTACTGGCGGTGCATTACTTTTGAATGACTTCGCTTCAGTGAAAATAAAGGGGGAGAGGGGCAGTTTTCGCTTAGCGAGTGAGCCCTCGTTTTCTGACAGCTAGATATTTGACTCCGTAGAGAAGAAACTCTAAGCATAATTTCATAATTCAGTATAGTTGTAGATTAAGATGACAATTCTTAAGTGAGGCTATGGATTGAAGCATTCGAGACATGAAGATCACGTGAACGGGACAAAACTTTTCCCCGCTAAAGTGGATTACAAACTTTGTGGAATGATGACTTGGAAGGGCGTGGGCGCCCCCATCTTCCTACAGCAGCTCAATCTACGTCTTCCGTCTGTATAAGATGCTTAATCCAAGCCTATGAGCTTCTGGGTCGAGGAATGAGGTTGATATTTGAAGCATCTTGATCCTGTCTCGCATCTCTATAGTGGAGCAACAAAAACCAAAATGTCGTCAACAGCAACGCAAACAATTCCTCTCGAGACCATTCGCAATGACAACGAAGAAAGTGACTTCAACAATGATCCAACTGCAGCATCCACAGCCTTCGATCCCGCAGAAGATGCCATCATCGCAGAATCCCGCCTTGCCGACTCTCAAGTTCCGGACGGTGGATATGGATGGGTTGTAATCGGAGCCTGCAGCATCCTTGCGTTTTGGTTTGTAGGAACTTCCTACTCATGGGGTGTAATACAAGCTGCTCTTGTCAATAAAAATGTCTCCTCTCCTGCGAGCCTGTCCTTCGTTGGCAGCTTGACAACGGCGTGCATCTCTTTCTTTGCGTTGATAAATGCGAAAATCGTAAGAATGATTGGAGGACGATTTACTGCTTTGCTTGGAGTGTTTTGCTTAGGATTGGGAGAGATATTGAGCGGATTCTGTACAGATAATGTTGGTGGTCTGTTCTTCACTGCCGGGTTGGTGATGGGGATCGGTACCAGGCAAGTGGAGATCTAGAAATGGAGACATGATGCTAACAATATTGCAGCTTACAATTTATTGTTGTATCAACAATTTCTGCACAATATTTCAACAAAAAGCGTGGTATTGCCAATGGCATCGTCTATGCTGGAGGTGGTTTTGGAGGTGCTGCAATCAGCTTTGCGATGGACGGTCTCATTCAAAAGCTTGGAGTTGAATGGACTTTCCGAATCCTGGGCCTCATTGTCCTTGCTACCGGCCTGCCAGCTGCTTGGCTGATTAAGGAACGAGCTCCTATCAAGACCACAACTTTTGTTGAGTGGTAAGTCATCCGCGCCTCTAGGTTCGGCAGGCTAACACGTCCAGGAAACTTTTCAAAGACGTCAGATTCACGACGCTCTTTCTTGCAGGAGCTATCGCAACATTTCCACTCCTCGTTCCTCCATTCTTCCTCCCATTGTACAGCAGCAGCTTGGGGTTATCGGCCTCAGCTGGAGCTGGTCTCGTTGCGGGGTTCAACTTCTCTTCAGCTGTCGGGCGTCTTTGTTGCGGATTCATGTCCGACTCAATCGGCCCGGTCAACACCCTACTGATCTCTTTGTTAGGAAGCGCATTAAGTATGCTAGTAATTTGGCCTGTTTCCGATTCTCTGGGACCGTTGATCGTCTTTGTGATCCTGAATGGAATGGCAAACGGAGGATTTTTCAGTACGATGCCAACAGTGGTCATAAGTGTCTTTGGCAGCAGAAGAGTAAGCATGGCTATGGGCATGATTGTGACAGCTTGGGCCGGAGGGTATTTGATGGTACGGAGAATGTCCTATCAAAAGCCCTTGTTCGTAAGCCCTCGTGATTGACACTAACGACGAATAGGGAGCTCCAATTGCCGGTTACCTCTTGGCAGCGTACGGCGGGGAGCACAGCACGCTGAAAGCGTACCATCCAGCTATGTTTTATGCAGGTTCTATGGCTCTTGGCAGTGCTGGACTGGTGGGCACAGTAAAGATAATGCTCAATAAGAGCGTCTTCAAGAAGTTGTGATTGGACAGCGCCGCAACTTTGCATTCGGTCCTTGGCAAACTTCATTTGACGTACACTTCGGAACGCGGACTCTAAGAACGTTACTACGACACAGCAATTGTGTAACTAGTCCTAGAACGAATCTATTGCACTGACTTCGTTCGAGCCAAGAATTAAGACTGATATCATCGATTGTTTTGTACGTCTCGAGTGTAGATCACCCCGCATGGGATGATATGCAGCCCACCCCTGCGATTTTGAACACGAGAACAGCACACAACCCAGGGTTAATGATAGACAGGGCAGACTCGGATTTATCTTGGCACCTTTATGGTTGCCTGATCTCTTATCATCTAAAATACAGCGTCGCGCTTCAAGTGACTTCTTTCACTTCTAATCTATGGATCGTCGCCAGCTAATTCTTTAAAAAAGCTGAGACAATGAATTCAGGGCATTTCACGACTGAGAATGATGGCTTTGTACGTATCTTAATTCTTTTCAATGTAATATCGTGTTAAATTAAAGTACAGCCTCATGAGGAGCCTCCGCCGTATATCGCTGCTCCAGGTGGGAAACGAGACTCATTCGCCGAGTCCCTTCCAGAATATACTACCAAAGCGAGAGATGCTGCGCTCCCTCCAATTCCAAAGCGGCCTCTCAAGAGATATGGCGCATGGATATGCCTCGGAATTCTCGTCGTGATTGGGGCTATCATTGGAGGGGTTGTGGGAGGGGTTTTTCACCGAAGATCTTCAAATTCGGATTCATACTACATCTCATACAACGGAACCGGATACATCCAATACAACTCGCCCGACTTCCTCGCTCTCGCTGCTGCTGAATGTGACCAAGTCACGTACGTTATATATCAGAAGAATAATACTGGAATTTACCTTCGAGGACAGTTGAAAACTGGGACTTACAACGGAACATCTTCTCCAAATATTCCTGAGATGCAATTTCACATCAGCCAAGAGAATTTCCCTGCTACCGGTACCAATATTACAGCTGTCTGCCAGCAAACTAATTCTACTGGGGTTGTAAGTATCTCCATGATATTGCCAACTGTCGACCACTGATTATGTCTCCAGAACCTCTATTTCTACTACGTCAATAGCTATTCTGGACTGTTCAATCTTGTAGAAGCATCCGTCAGCTTTCCAGACCCGTCCCGCTTTTTCACAGAACTCTACCCGACCATAGCTCAGGTCGCTCCATACGTTGCATCAAGCACGTCAAATGTCCCTTCTATCACCTCTGTTCTGCTACCTCCGACCGACATCCGTGTTTACTATGTCTACCCCTCTTCAATAAACTCAAACTCCGAGCTAGGGATTTGGGAGACCAGTCGAACGGATGTTGGGGCATGGACACCTCCAACGATGGTTCCTGATATCCTTATTTTTCGAAACAATGCTGTATTCACTGCCACCGCTGTCAATGTCTCTTCGGCTCCCCCTGAAATTCATCTTTTGTATATCGATGGAGGTGACATGCTTGCAAGGAAGACTTGGAACGAGAGTGGATGGGACTCAGGTTGGTTATCCAACGGATATCAATGTAGAAAGCAGCTAACAAAACATACAGAGATCATCCTCCCTGTGGAGTATAGCTCAAACCTGACCGAGATCCTCGGCATGGCAACCGTCGTCGAGGCCGTCAACCCAACTGTGCTTCGTCTCTACTCTGTTCAACCATTCCACGTCCATCAAGGATCGATATCCATGGAAAGCAACATCTACACTGATTTCGGAGTAGTTAACTCTCCGTCATACAACGCATTCCCGGTCATAACCCAGAAACCTCCGCTTATTGCAGCTACTTCTCCAGGCTTGAACTCGACAGATAATATAGCTCAAGTCTTCTTCGTGCGAGCGTCATATTCTATCACAAACTATGGACCAAGAACAGCTATCTTGAATGCTACTATTCCGGTTGACGGAACGATGTGGAGTGTTTCGACGCTAGGGCAGGATCCGAACATGCCGCCCAATTCGTTAATGCAGATGCCGAGTTGATAATGAGAAGTGTAGGGTGTGGATGTAGTGGTTACGATGTGATGTTATTGTCTGGATTTCCAGCTAGTATTTCAATGAGAATGAGTTCGGAAGGATTTGAGATGCTCTATATCACGTGTAGACTTGTTGGATCATTGTTCACATGACCAGGCCTTACACTTCTTCATGGGCAATGATTGAGTACGATCTGAAAAGTCCCTACATCCTGATCTATGAACCTGAGCTCTTTTCTGACTCCTCAACCTTCAAGCTGCCTTCTCCGGATCCATGACTTCGCTGACAACTTCCCGCTCCTGGTCTTTGGTCTTCGTCTTCCGTTTCCGCAATGATTCCGTCTTGCCAGCCACGAAATCTTTGGTAGACTTCCACATTCTGCGTCCTAATCTATGCGTAGCCTTCTTTGTGGATGGCGATAAAAGTATAGCTATAATAGCATAGGTGATAATAGCATAGGTGATAATAGCATAGGTGATAATAGCATAGGTGATAATAGCATAGGTGATAATAGCAAATATAGTAGTCACAATTGCAAAACCCTTGATTCCACTGCCGAACATATCATTGATACTCCACATAGACTGCACTGATCAGTAATGGATTAAAGAAATTGCACCCAGCACTTACAGTACAGAACGAAAGTGGAAGGAAGAAGACGGTGGCGTATGTAAGAAGCCTGACGTTCTCGTTCAGGCATCGAGATTCTCGTGCCTCTTTCACACTTGTCAAGTTGAAGATCTGCTTCATGTAAACATCGTACCGTGGCATATATCTCGATATCACTCACTGCAGTGTTCATACTCTCGGCTCGCTTGCCCATAGTATCGAAATCTTGTCTTAATTTCTCAATCACTTGCACGCTCGCGTCAATCTCGTCCAGTGTAGCTATAACAAATGGATTTGCTCTTAGTGAGTCACGATTGATGTGATGCTGCTGCCACTCTTTCCATTCTTCAATAGCATGTTCAAGCCTAGGTACAACATCTCGCAGACGATCTAACACCCTGAAGCAGTCAATAGATGCGAGCAGGCTGTTAACATCGGCAGATAGGTTGTCGAAGTAACTTCGAACAAGTAGACATTCGTCCAGGCGGGCATATAGATGCTGCCAAGCATTAATTGCAAATCCCAGAGCTTGTTTTATGGCATATAGGGTTGATAATACAAGGATTGGAGATTGAAATTCTTGCGTCTCAGCCCACTCAGTTCTCTCGTGTTGGTTCCACGGTCTTGTGAAACCGTCCCGTACCGGTTTTGGCACCTCCACTGTCGAGTTACTGCATGTCAGTAATAGTAGAGTCCATCCATGTGTGTGGACAACGTGTTCACTGAAGTGCTTTGAAGGCCGCATTTGTCTTGGTGGAAAGGCTTGAATCTAGTTGAATAGTCAGTCAAGTCGGCTCAGCCAGCTCGCCCTTGATTGTCAAGCACTACCGTATATGACTTTGTTGTAAGCCAGTCCCCTGGAATGGTCCCGTAGCTCTTCTTCAAGCGCACCCACACTTCCTGGGACATATCTTCATCTTCGTCGCTGGTCTGCTCGCGACAAAGCTCCGTCCAACTGATATGAAAAGCATAAGCATATTTAGTAGCTTGGAACATCGCAGGAGTTCGCCATCCGTGTTCTTTGTGGAGACGAAAGATCTGATCAGACAGAGCATTAAATTTTTGTGCACCAAAATGGGCATCTGTCCAAGGGGCACAAGAAAATGCTTGGCCGATACCTCGGCAATAACTGGGCAAGGTTAACGGTTTTCGAGAACATACTGCGGATTCTGATGAGATACTAACATGATGCGACGCCAAGTGGTAGGGAGTCTGTGATTTAGGAGAAGCTCCCAACTAGGGTCATCAAAGCTAAACCCTTTAGAGTTTCCCTCCCGCCAGAAATACGGTCCAATGGGTCCTGCATTGAAACTCATACTCTCAATCTCGACAGCGGACTTTGGCTTTCCAAACTTATATATGACCTTGTTTCCCCACTTACCATAATCTTCAATCCTGAAGGCGCCTTGAGAAGCCTCTATGGCTTGAAATTGCTTCACGAAATTGGCCATTTGCTCTTGTTTAGAAGCCTGAGTGAGAGGGTCTTGTTGAGTATATCTTGGGGTCGTAAGTAACATGTTTAAGCGATCATCTCCAGGTACAATCCCGAAGCTGCCAAATATGTCAGAGTAAGTTTCCTGTAGACTAAGGTCTCCAAGATACTCGCATGGTGGGTCGTAGATTGGGATATCGATCACGGCGCCACATAACATGGTTCTGGAGGTCGGAGTCGTGCTTTGCATGTAAGGCACGTATATGAAACAATTATCTGATTCCTCTGAGCTCTCTTCGTCTTTCAACAGTTTTTGGGTGTCCATGCTGGCAGCTCCGACGACGGCGGCGTGCACTAACTTTCCGCCATCATCATACCCTACATATTTTAGCCCTTCCGTAAAAATCTTTAAGCAGGTACCTACTCACACACTGGCTTGTCTATTTGTAGTCAATAGTGGACAGCCAAGATTATGGTACAGCACATACAATATTTCCAATTGCTAGGGCTGTCATTCTTTGGTAAAAGCCTCCAGTCTTTTGGTAGGGCCTTTACATCAATCGATGAGAGTGCTGAATCTTCCACTACCTCGGCTTGCTGCAGGAAGGAGAGTGGAAGAGTCTTTGGATTGACTAAACACCATTCTGACCCAGGAAGATGAACGAGCGAAGTACTTGATAGTTTCTGATGAGAATCCTCTTGGTGTTCTCCTTGGTCTGGCTGGGCTTGAGTTTCTCCATGCTCCATGCCAGGCTTGTTCGTACTGCTTCCCAGACCACGCAGACTTTGGCTTGGAGGGGTGGTCGCATCATCGAAGTATGGTTCTAAACGCTTCAAGCATCCTTGAATTTCACGCAAGACGAGCACCGCCTCGTTATCCTTTGAAGGTTGCTCGGTTTTGGATTCGAAATCCATGGTGCAAGTAAACGGTATTGTTGCGTTGGTTCGACCTTGAGAGCCAGCTTGATGGATACTTGAGTACTGAGGAGAGAAGAAAGTGGGCTGTAATCTGCGATCACCCGTGGCTCGGTGAAACGTTGACTGCGATGAGCCAATCGCGAGGACAGGAGTTGTTCTCGTGGAAGCACTCGGATGAGTTTAAGCGTCTAGCTGCATCGTGGAACATAAACTTCCATGTGATGACAGCGTTGAACGGAAATCTCTGTTGCTGCATCGGGAGGCGAAGGGTGACTGTCTTCGCCCAGCTCAAGATTCAGAGTGAATATTAATGACTATGACAAAAGAGAACAATGCTAGCAGCAGTGATGCGAAATGTAGGGACAGTGGTAAGAATACTTTTGAGTTGTAAGACCGCGAAGCGAAGATAGTAATCAGAAGCAATAACCCAGGCTACGGCCTTGGGAGAATATCGCTATACCTGTCAACAACCTCCCATTCTGTCAAAGGCTTCCTTCCTGTCAGCTCCTCAACCGTACCACTGACGTCTTTCATCAGTCCTCGTTCAACTACATTGCCACACGACACTAGATCAGGAACAGACAACTTCATCGGAAACTTCGAGAAATCCCCCTTGACTGACAGAGGAAGTCCTTTGTCTGTCCACCATTTCGCCAGCTCCTCATCAGTCATGTCCTGAATTTCACCTTTGTATCCAGTCTTCCTGCAGATGTACTCAAAGATCTTGTAGTCGGAAATAGCCTCAGGGCCAGTGACCTCGTAGACCGATTTATGCTTGCCCTTTCCAAGTAGCAGAGCAGCAGCGACACGAGCGCAATCGTCTCGAGCAACGTAAGCGGCTGGAACGCCCTTGCTGTTCAACAACCATTTATGGCCACAATATGTCCAGGATGGAGCGAAGAGTTGAGGAATGTTGTCCGAATAGAGGTAGTCTCGCTGGATGTTGTAGTCGAGTCCAGAGTCAAAGATGACCCCTTCGGTGTATTTGTGGTCCTCCGACAAGTATGGCAAGTCCTTCTCCAGTCCTGCTCCTGCAAACGATGTATATCCAATACGCTTAACCCCACAAGCCTTCGCTGTGTCAATCACCGTCTTGTGTTGACGTCTCCTCTCTTCGCCAAACATCCAGGTTGAAACGAAAGTCACAGCCTCAACGCCTTCGAAGGCTTTCTGAAGGCTGGCCACATCGTCGTAGTCTGCATTTATGAGCTCTGCACCTTTCTTCGTCCATTCTTTCATCTTGTCGGTCGGATTGGTAGGGAAGCTGTGACTTGTGAATACAAGTTTCTGGTCCGGGCCAGCGATTTCGAGAGCATAGTCTGCGGCGACAGTGCCGATTTTGCCGGTAGCTCCCATGAAGACGTATTTGGGCATGATGGAGGACTATAGGGAGTGCCTGGAATTGTCAGCAATCTAGTACAGAACTCATTGGGACAAACACTTACTTCCTTGGTGCTGTGCAGATAAGGATCAAAGTATCTGCTGGGTTTCCTTACACTTGGACGAGATGGGAGCTTATATATACTTATCAAGCTCTGCTTCTCACCACGAAAGAGATCTGCTGAAAGATGCTTACAGAATCCTGACATCCCAAATCTGCGGGGCTGTGATACACTCAGCTACGATAATCCATTGTCGGTCCTCCTCGAAAGGCTGCTCCGAAGCCTTCGAGCAGCACGACAGACTATTGTATTGCCACATGTCTACTGTGCGACTTCGCAGCAGCTTTTCTATGGACTCGGCCAGAGTCGGGCAAGTCGTGTAGACGTGTGAGGTCACATCAACCATCGCCTGACCCATTTTGAGGATACACCAGAAAAACAAACATCTCAGGCTTCGTGTTCGTGAAGTCGTGCTTGGAAAACTGGCGGGGAGGAATATATTTGTTCCGGGTGGGGTAGACTAGGCCTCGGCTATTCAGGGGTTCCGAATCCGATGTACTGTACGCGAAAAGTCGCGTCGCCCGCGAAAGTACGCGACGAGGTCCTTGGTTCGCATGGTGTATCCATTGTCTACGTGCAATCAACTGTGATCAAATTCGACTTTCCCTACTGCGCTGCATGCTGTGCAACATGCCGACCCAATTTGATGACCTCCCATACGAAATCCGCCACGAAATTTTTCAATTGGCTCTCATTGCAGAATGGGGACCTCGAATTGTGGAAATATTCTTCAAAGATGGAGAGATATATTCCAAAACCCGTCCACCCGCATTACTTCAAGTCTGCCAACTCTCGCGATACGTCGCACTCAAACGCTACAAGCCATGGTCTCCACAATTCAAGGGATTGGCGGTTCACCGACTGTGGGAGCAATTGATAGAGAGCCACGGCGAACAGAATTTGTCGCGGCTGCAAAATGTATGCATAGATCTGAAGTATGACATGCTTCTGATCAATGCAAAGCAATGGGCCCGTTGGGACTTTGGTGCGCTGGAACGACAACTCATTGGAACGTTGGCCATCAATTTGGGGTGTTGGTTACAATGGATTTCAACAGCTGGATTTTCTCGACAATTCAGACAGCTTCGACGAGTTGTCCTATTCGATGACACAAAGACTTCAGTCACACTTTTGTATAAAAGAAGTATGATTGAGAAGGCCATTGGAAGAAAATTGAAGCATCTCAAATCTTCCGGTCCGGTTATTCATTATGAGCACATACCCGCAGCGCTGGAATGGGAAGGGGCAGCAAGCAATTGGTTTACCTACAAGTATCCTAAGGGATTCAAGTCTGCAGCGCCGTCGAAGTCTTTCAAGTACAGTCTACCCAAAGTCTCTCGGGGAAAGACGACGGCGACAACTCCTTATAGTTTACTGGATAATTCTACTCGACCATCGAGAAAGCGCGCGAGAGATCTTCAAAGTGAAAATCAAGCTTCGACTTCATCTAGGAAGTCTGCTAAGAGGTCTCATGATAGAACGACTGCGAATTTCGGCCATGGCTCAACCACTGGCCAACATCGTCGTCCTGAAGTTCGTCAGCCACGGAAAATCCTGGTCCCTCGAGCGCATAATCCTTCTGAACGTCATCGATCCCGGAAAGCTCTTGGTCCTGAAGTACACAGTGCTCATGAGCATCCTCGGTCTCGGAAAGTCTCTGCCGCTCAAGCACAAGATGCAAATGGTCGTTCTCGACCTCGGAAGCAGTTGCTTACCCAAATACGCAACGCTCATGAACGCCATCAAGCAACCAATCCGCCCCTTCTCTCAACGCAAGGAAGTTCTACTAGCATTTGGGAAGGCTTGGAGCTCGCCCACAATCCAACTCCTGAGATTCGACCTGCAAAGCAGCATCCCCTCATAAGACTCACAACGGACTGCACCACGCCAAATTCTGACATAGCTCCTGTACCAAAGCCTGCCCAAAGCCCTGTCATCAAATTCATCAACCCAGTTGATGATTTTGATGATTTGGAATTAACATTCCTCTCTCAATCTTCTGATATTCGCCAGGCACCTTCGCATGCTCAAGTCTTTCGACCAACATCATCTACTACATCATTGCGAAGTGATGTTGAGCTAGAATTTGTCGCTTCGGCATCTTCTGTAGATGCGTCGCATACAATCCCCACTTCCTCGTTTCCAGAGGAGCTCGAGTCGGGTTTGTAGGCGCCGGTAAATGTTGCAGCAGGCCAGGGATTTGATCCAGCATTGACCTTCCAACGTCTGGATGGTTTCCTGGATATCACTCATGACAGTGAATTCCGTGATGATATCGAGATGTTGGAAGTAACACAACTTGACGACGACGGAGTGGGAATGCCTCCATCTGAAATTCTGGAAACCGAATTGGCACAATTATGGGCTATGCAGCTTAATAGCACATATGCTGAAGATGACGGGCCACAAGACGCATTGCCTTCCCTTACTTCTAACGAACCTTTCTCGGGGTCACGTCTTGATAGTGTATCTGCTGAAGATGCCAATACTCAGGCAATGTCAGATAGACTGCCAGCCCTGAAACCAGAAGAAGAGTTTCCAAGTTCACAGCTTTCGATACATGACGAGGGAGACTGCCATGTCCCAGAACGATTAATGGCAGAACGCGAAACACCTCTAGGCCTCCAATACCTTATTCAGTGGGAAGACTGTCCTGAAGAAAAGGACTGGACCTGGGAGCCTCAAGATGTCATCCTCCAAGACGCACCAGATATGTTAATGGCTTGGATGACGAGAGATGTTGGCTTGGAAAGTGAGGCTAATGCGGAAAATGTAGCTAATGTATATGTGCCTAAGAAGATTTTGAGCAAGCGGAAACTCAAAGGCGCCACACACTATTTGGTTCAGTGGGAGGGATACCCAAAGAAGGAGGACTGGACTTGGGAGCCGTGTGAAAGATTCAATGTTGACGCTCCGCTGCTTGTGGAGAATTTTGAGAAGGGGAAGATGAAGAAGAAGAGACGGTAGTTAGGTATCCGAATCGAATGTCTTGGATACTGGATATCGACTCCGTGTGGAGATTTACCTCTTTGTTTTGCTCCGCGCACGTGATGCTACCTACGTTCCTCTAGATTGCTTTGCTCTCCATCTCATGTCAGGAGCACTGATCCTCTCACCTGTCTTCCTTCTAAGTCTTTTCCCCTACCGTTCTTCTTGAGTGACAAAATCTATCTCTTGCCGTGTGGCCATTCTACCCATGTCGGCTGTTCTTGATGCTTCTTACATTCCTGCATTGAGATAACATCTCAGCCAGCTGTCGATCATCCACACTCGTGTCATAAGAGTAGTATCTCAGTTACTGGGGTGTTTCACCATGACGGCGAAGCCCGTTATGTAATTTCTCTCGAGCTTCAGATGAGTCCTCTCACTTCGTTATCGTGATGATTCTGTTCTTCCACGACTCCTGCATTGGTCCATGACATGCAGGATCATATATAAAGAACTGTAGCAGAGATGACTTGATTTCTCGCCACGATTGCCATTCGAGGGTAGTGCAAACATCCACAAGCAGTGATATTTGCATCGCGAAGAGTCTCGACTCCCATGGCTCGCTCACAAGTAGTGTGCGGAAGAGGTTAGCAACCGCTTCACCCCAAGGAGCAGCATCACCAGCCAAAACCTTCTGAAATCTGTACAGAAAGAGCTCAGCAGAGGCGCCTTCATACTCCGACACCAAAGCCATGTATACGAGGGGTAGGATCAGAAGCGACTGGTGGATATGTCGACGACGACTTCTGACTCCTTCAGTGTCTGGCATGCAGAGAGTCTTGTAGAGCTCTGCCTCACTCTGAACGATGAATTCTGGTCGCTCGTGGATATGATCCCCACTTGACTGGACCAATGAAGTCACGTTGTGCATACCTTCGAACATGCTAACCAGTTCTTTGAAGAGGTCATACCCCACGGGCAAGCCTTGGAGGATCTTCTCCGGCACACCATCGATGGCAGTATACAGCAGATCTGGAACGTATTTAATTGGTGTAAATCGGCGCTTGGACAGCAGATTACAAGATCCAGAGCAATCGAACCTAGTAAATGTCAAGCATTGCTGACAAAGACATGGTTTTCAACTTACCAGCATACAATGGAATAAAGTTGTGGATTGGTTTCTCGAAATGCCTCTAGTCCGCCCCGAAGATTAAGCATTGTTTCTAATCCCGCCATGTGGGTATTATAGTTTTGAGGTGTGCCGAACAAAAGCTTATTCTATGATCAACAACAGAACCAGGACCGGATTAATATTACTTACCTCAGTCCCTGCGAGGAGAGCTACTGCTACAAGGGTGCCATCTGCAGAACTTGCCTGCCAATCCAGAACTCGCTTCTTGATCAATTCCAAGGCGATGCCTCTATGTCGGACAACATCTTGAGATTCTTCTTGGCCACGTATGTATGCAATATCCTTGGCAGCGGCCGATAGTACCAGATGGAAAACGGATGAGTCTGCAAGCCCCACGTTGAAGATGAGTGATTTCACAGGCTGGAAATTGGATCGCTGGTCACCGGCAAAGCTTAGAGGTGCCATCCCAAAGAAATCTTGCACGTTTAGTGGTCATGAGATGGTGGTCGCATTCGGACAGACTCACAATGATCCAGTAGTGCATACGCATCAGGGCTCATATTCACGGGCAAAGACGAGAACGGGTCGGTCCTGCCTGATCCTAGACCAGCGCCTAGATTCTGTACAACCACCGCAGATGGAGCGACTTGGACTTCTTCATTATATATTGGCGTCGATTCCGCAGGAGACGAAGTCGAACTTCCTGACTCCGATTCTGGCGGAGAAATGCTCTTCGACTTCTTTCCCTTTTTTCGAACGACATCTCCACCTTTTTCCAACTGCGCTTGAGCTGCTTTGGCTCTCCTAAATCCTCTTGTTACATGAGCTCTCGCTCTCCGACGAGCTGAAGCATCTCCATGTGCGATCCATTCGAAGCCTTGTGCTGGAGCGGTCTTGTTACTCGTACTCCCAGTGGGGTCATCCGTGACCGCAAGATCTCCTTGCGTGTGCTCTGTTAGGCAAATTCTCAGTATTGATCAATAACTTCATTGTTTTCCTCATTAGGATATTCCTCATACCTTTCGAGCCAGCACTCGTCTTGTCCATCAGTCGTGTTCATTTGGAGCAGAGACTTCATTATTTTCCGAATTCGGTTCTTAATCGAATTCGGTGTTTGATCGGAAGTAAGCAGCCTTCCACTTTTTATCTGTGCTCAAATCCCAGTCTTTGGTGGATTACAAAGCTTGACACAGCTTGGCGATGCCGTTTCGAGGTGTTGCTTCGTAGCAGCTCGCAGGGTTAAGCAACGCTAGACTACATTGAGTATTTGCTCTCGAAAGTCACCCAGTGAAGTTTCTCTGCAAGAGTTTGGGCCAGAGACATGCAATGATTCGTTTCCAAGTTCAGAGAGAGATCTTGGCCTGAAATTGTATCTTACTCAAATTTTCAGTCTTATTTCACGAGATGATATCGATCACCATGCTCCACAGGACTCAAATCACACTAGCCCGAAAGCAGTTCATCTTCTTACTTGCATCTTTTGCTTGCGACACTGCCTGGTATTTCGTTGAATACCACATTAGGAGTTTACTGAAGAGCTTCATGAGCTCTCACCCACCGCGATGAAGATCCTATTCGTATTTCGAGGACACACTCAACACTGCACGATGAGAGATGAAGGCTGGAAGATATATAACAGCCCTCCTTGCCACCATGGCGTTGGTCAAGCATTACTTAACTCATCATCAGCCACTTTCTGCAGCTAGAAATTTCTTCGCATCTCAAAGAATCTAGATCTTGAGCTAAAACATTCTGTCATCATGACTCAAGCAATCCCAGTCGATGAAGCTCTCGACTTCGAATGGCATGTCTTCGAGGTAGGCATCATTAACCCCTCGCTCCGCTTAGCGAGCTAATATGGTTATCGACAGCAGCAATTCCTCGATTGGCAACACATGACCCCGGAAGCAGTATCACCAGAGACATACACCAGCACTCTTCCAACCAGAGCAAGTCCGGCTATCGAGAACGGATCATGTTCTCCACAGTCACCTGCTTCTCCAGAAAATGGCGGAGTTGGAGAAGCAGACCTAGAAATTTCAAATGACAGCTTGAACAAGCAGTCCAGAGCCAGTTCGGTAAGGCGTTCTCCATTCAGCTTGTGAAGGAGAAGCTAATTCTGCCTAGAGAAGGAGAATTCAAAATCGCGCATCTCAAAGAGCTTTCCGTGCTAGACAACGACAGCATGTTGAAGCCCTCGAAGAGAAGCTCAAAAGTGTGCTTTCCGAATATGAGCAGCTACAGCAGCGGTACACGGCTTTAAATATAGCATACGAAACGCTGCTTAAAGAGAAAAGAATGGATAGCATGAGTACAGTAACGTGTCCAACTTATAGGAGCTCATGGACATCTGATGATTTAGGAGTATTTGAAAATGTAGAAAGTGGCTCCGGGGATGGCTTGGGTAGGATCTTGTTCTCGGGACTTGAGACTACTGATAGATGTTAAACTCGGATGAGGGATTGAGGATCGTGAAAGGGAGGCTATCATGTGGATAAGCAATCTTGAAAAGAAGTCCCACAATGGTAGAAACAGAAGAGCTTCATCTCCATTATTTTCGGTGCTTCTTCTCCTCTCGTTGAGCATATTGTGAAGCTCCCTGCAAGAAGAAATTCCGATAGCCAGTCTAATTTGCTGAGAAGGTGGATTGGAGTCCTCTAGGCTATCTAAATTTTTTGCTTACATTGAAGTCTGCTTTAAGCGAGTATTGAAGTGATATAGGGGTTGCTTTGCGAATCTCCCAATCACATCCAAACCAGATGATCACGTGAGGAAGCTTTTTATGTAACTTCAACTTCTTGCCCCTTTTTTAGTGTTATTGCCGATTTTATGAGCATTGATCTATTGGAATAGCTCTTTTGCTTGTCATTCGCCACATGTCTAGTGGTAGGTAATTGATATGGAATATACTTGCGCACGTGAATTCTGCCTCATGGACCCTCACCGCCAAGATATTATGCCTAAATTGAAAGTTGGCGCTAGCTCGTCCAACTGTGCCTCAATTTCATTCACAGCAGAGCATGTGTTTCATAGTCTTTCTAAGTTTTTGAGTCTAAGTCCTATCTTCTATCGCCTGGTATCACCATGACTCCTATGTTTGTTTTGTTCTCCGTTCTTATTGCGCTCATTTCGTCCCCGGCTCTCCGGACATACAAGAATTATCAAAAGGCACGCACTATTGGCCTACCGATCGTCTTCAGTCCTTTCACAACGCTATCTCCTATCTGGGCACTCTTTGGCCCCCGTCTTGGACCGATATGTATGCGTCTTCCCTTCGGATTGGGGGATTTCGTTCGGCACAGTGGCTTTTCTTTCTTCTGGCACGATCGTTATCGGATGCATGAGCAATATGGTCCAGCTCTATGTGTCGTGACTCCAGGAGATGTTCAAGTTATCATTGCAGACGGCGCAGCTGCTGACGATATGCTTGCTCGACGAAGAGACTTCATCAAATGCCCTGCTATGTATCAGCCTTTGGAACTGTTTGGACCTAACGTCGATACAGTGAATGGGGAGGCATGGCAGCGTCATCGAAGGTTGACAACCCCGCCGTTTAATGAGAGAAATAGCAGTTTCGTGTGGAAAGAGAGTCTGACACAAGCAAGTGGCATGCTGAAGACATGGATCAAAGCAGGGAAGGAAGGTGTCGTCCAGACGCCGAACTACACTCTTACCCTGGCCCTTCATGTTCTGACTGCCGCTGGATTTGGTAAATCCTATGACTTCGATGCAGGTCTGGCCATGCCAGCCGATGGGCATACATTGTCATATCGAGATGCGCTACGAGAGGTGTTGAAGAACCTGTTTGTCTCGATTATCATCACTTCCGTTACTCTTCCTTCAGTCATGCTGTCGAAGAGTATGAAGGATGTAAAAACAGCAATCGCAGAGTTCAAGCAGTACATGGTAGAGATGGTGGAGGAAGAAAAATCGCTCGTACATGAAAAAGAGGCCGAGAAGGATAATTTGATGAGTGTCCTTGTCAGAGCATCGGAGGCTGAGGCAGGTGGAAGAAACGGGTTGACCAACGAGGAAATATACGGCAATCTCTTCATCTACAACCTCGCTGGGCACGATACCACAGCTCATACTCTAGCGTATGCTATCACGCTCATGGCTGCTCACCCCAATTTGCAAACCTGGATCAGAGAGGAATTGGACTTTGTCTTCGGCGGAGAAGATGCTGTTGGAGATGAAGATTACGAAAAGGCATTTCCACGACTGAAGAGATGCTTGGCACTGATGGTATATATGCTTCTGTCTCATTTTCGAGTCTCTACTGAGGTTTTGTAGTACGAGACGCTCCGTCTGTATGGCCCAATCGTAGTGGTTCCCAAGTACGTGGGAGACGCACCTACCAAGGTCAAGATTGCTGGCAAAGAATACACTATCCCAGCTGAAACACATGCCCCCATCAATGTTGCTGCCCTCAATACTCTTCCCATGTATTGGGGCCATGACTCACTTATCTTCCGACCTGATCGATGGATCGACAATCCAAATCCAACCGATTTATCAACCGAAGAACATTTCCAACCCGCACCTGGCGTATTCGTACCGTGGGCAGCGGGACCTCGAATTTGTCCTGGCAAGAAGTTCGCTCAAGTTGAATTCGTTGCTGTGATCTCGAAAATTTTCAGAAAGCATAAGGTCGGCCCAGTTCTGCTTCAAGGAGAAACTTTCGAGGATGCAAAGAAGAGGATTTATGAAGTGGTGGAAGATTCTCATATGGTGATTACGTTGCAGATGAAGCATCCAGAGAAGGTTAACCTAGTCTGGGAAGAAATTGTATGATATGAACCAGCGGAGGTCTCACTTGTAACATTCCAAACTCAGCACTTTGCTTGAAACAACGAATTGATGTTACCATGCGCAATTCGAAGGTGAAAGAGCTCGAAAGAACAGCCTTGCACAAACTTCTAGGCTACAGCTAACTTACATACACCTCGCCTACTCACCGCAATGACCCTCAGTAATTGCAACTCTTTTCTTCCTTACAACACCCACACCCTTCTCCAATTCTCCTCTCCCTCTCTACTTCTCTCTTCCACTAAGCCTGCATCTCACTCTGCTTTCTGCCAACTCAAATCGACTTCAACTCTTGCAAGTAGCCGAAATTCATTGCCTTCGCTTTTAGATTTGTCTCAGAGAGCCGTTTTTGTATATCGATATCGAAAAGTTACTGTGGTCAAGAGGTTTTGCGGCAGAAATCTGCTTCAGTTTGATGGTGTGGCTTGACTTGCCACTAACCAGTCATGGCTAGGCTGAACTTAGCCACAGCTCCAAATACGTCAAATTTCAAGATCCAAAAACATCAACGCGATTCATCTGCTTGTCATAAAACTCGCATCGAGGTGCAAAGCGAGTATGAATGCTTGGTTGAGAAAACTACAATCGTCTCTTCATAACACTGATGATCCTCGACACCTTCGACGGTACCCATTTCATATCGAAATGGCTCGGATGCCCCCTTGGACGCCGTGCCTGACTCACGACCCTTCGCCGAACAGTCATGTCTGTTATACGTTCGAACCCATTGCTCAATAGGAGAGCTCTCAGTTTTGTGTCACTATTCTCCTGCCATTCACAAGCTCGGCGGATAGTATCGAAATCCATGAGTCACGCCTGCCAAATCCTCGAGCATAAAAGAAGCAGTTGCCTCTTCCTTCATATCATCGACTTTCTATCTTTCAGGCCAAGTAAACCAGAAACAACGCCAATTACTCTAAGATTCAGAGTGATTAAGATTTCGGCAACCTCAATATGGCTTCTGAACCTACTGAGATCTATGACCTCCTCATCCTCGTCGACGCCACCTATTCGATGAGATCCTACCTCAACTCATTACAAACTTCTCTGCCGCAGATCATACAGATTTCTGCACTTACAGACTGTTTCTCACGCATCGGACTCCTTGCTTACCGAGACTACTGCGATAAAGATTTGCTTGACTGGTCAGGATGGCTCACCCCATCCTCTGATACGGCAACGGTTGTTTTGGTTGCGAGAGCAAAGAAACTCAACCCCCTGGGAGGTGGCGATGGACCAGAAGCAACGAAGACTGGACTGGCACGGGCATATGAGCTTATGAGAGTTGATGCTACCACCATCATCCTGCTGTTCACCGATGCCCCACCACATTCTTTCTCGAACGGCTCTCTGAAAGACACATCCTCCAACTATGGAGCAGAACTAAAGGCGTTGTCTGACGAGACTTGTTATGGAGGGCATGGATTGCAATTTGTGGATTGGGTGTCGGCTGCAAATTCTCTACGCTCTGGTGATAAGAAAGCGCAGGTCTTCAGCATCCTTGAACGTGATATGCGATACGAAGAAGCTGGATATTACAACTACCTCTCAGCAATGACAGGTGGTACCTGTTTCTATCTGGCCAAATCTTCTGCAGCAGACATTTCCCAAGTCACAGTGGACGTCCTGCTGTCTTGGATGGGTGCCGGAAAAGCCGGAGCAGTAGGTAACCCTGACTTGCCTGCATTTCTAACACGATATGCCGACTCGGCAGGTATGATGGTTTTGAAGAACGAGAAAGATCTGGCTGCTTGCAAGTTCTTCCTCGCAACATCAGACTCTGCATATGATTCAGTCATTCCCGATGCTGGTAGGGCCGCAATCAAACGTGGAGCTGCAAACGTCATAAAGATCAAGGCCTCTTCAGACGTTCTGAAGAAGTTCCTACCAAAGAAGAACACTCCTGTTCTCAACTTTGCCAAGCGGTACGCTGTAGACGCTGACTACAGGCGAGTGGCTTTAAGAGAGCTGAAGAAGATCATTGATACCGATGTGGTAGTCATCTCACTGAATCCGATATTTGGATCCCTTTGGAGGGACGCTGTCGCAGATCGGGACCACGAGGCACGAGATGAACTTGTTAAAGTCTTTGGGTCGCAAGTAGACCGAATTGCGGATGCAAATGAAAAAGCACGAATGAGAATCTGGCTTGAGGAGTCCTACGATTTCACATCCGAAGTCGCGGAGGCCATTGAGTCCGTGCCAGTCGACCAAAGATTTCCATGTGTTTGTCTGGATCCTACCTTGTCCTTCACAAGCGAGGACAATGGCGATGAGGATGACAGACCTGTCACAAAATTTCGACGCGATGAGCTCTTGGAGATTGGGCGTTCTTGCGATTACAGAATTCTACGTCGTCTGGGAAGAATTTTGACCCGACTCACGTACATCAATTCTGTTGCTGAAATGCCAGCCCACATCGCTGCAGCAGAGTCCGATGTAGTAAGAATCCCAATGGCCCTAGCATCTCGTGAGAATAAGCGGAAGTTCTGGAAGATACTTCTCCATATTATTGTTCCCGGAACTATGCTTGCAGGACGCCCAGCAGCAGTACTTGCTGCTCTCAGCTTGAAGCTTGGAATACAGCCTTTGATGGATGCAGCCGATCAAGAGCTGTTGCGGTGGCGTGATAGATGGAACAACTTGGAGAGCCCAGAGACATGGAACTCGTCCTGCTTATCACTGCTACTGGATGCTGATGATTCTTACCGGAAGCGACGAGAAGTGGAAATGGGATTGGAGGGCTTGGCTTTAGATGTAAGTATTTATCCGCTGAGAGAACTTTGTCTATATGACGATGAGCGTCCGACAAAACGTCTTAGATTAGACTCCAGCTTACTGACATATCTGAAGGATAATGCAACTCCAAATGCCGAGGGCCTCCTGAACGCGAAGGATCGACAACTCTTCAATCTTCTCGTTTCGTACAAACTTCTTGAGCTCAACCTCGACACGAACCTCGAGGCACGTATTGGCTGGACACCAGAGAAGTCTTCTGCTCCCCTAGGACCTACAGTCGTATGTGCGTCTTGCAAATATCCTCGCTCGGTCACTATCATGGGCAAAGGCGGAAACTGCGGGCTTTGTCTGTGGAATCAGGTCGCTTCGTGGAATCAGTTTCCTTCACGCGAAGAGCGGGAACGAATTATTAACGCACATGTATCGAAGTTTGATGATGAAAATACCCCGGCGACTTGGGTTGAGTGTAACCTGAGTACTTGTCGAGCGCAATACGTTGTATATCGAGCCAAGTGCCTCAACGTCAAGCCGAAGTGCCACTATTGCCGTCACAGCACCCAGGCACCTGCGCTCAAGTGCTCTGACTGCAAGAATCGCATTATCTACCCACTCGCGTACCGTCCAGCGGACATGAAAGTTGAGGACTTCAAATGTTTTGCTTGCACCGCGGGCAGGCAGACAATCGTCAAGGTCGAGACCACAGCCAAGAAGCTCAGGGCAGAGAATGGGACGAAGTGGCTGTTGCGAAACGATAAGAAGATCGCTGAGCCGTTTAACCAGCGCTCTTTGTTCCATACCATCTCGACAGCCGGTACCGATGGATTTACCCAGGATGTAGAACTGTTTCCTGCTGCGGGCAGACGACACCTCACCATCAACGGCAAGTCAGTTCTCAACTCTCCTGAGCTCATTGCTACACTTGAGTCTTGGATATCTCGTCGCAAGGTAGAGAGAGGAACATGTTCTCTTTGTTGTTCTGACAAGCGGAAGTCCGATCTTTTACTTGCATGCGGTCGCTCTGGTTGCGATCAATACACCTGCAAAGATTGTTTGGATTCTTGGTACGGTCTGAATAAAATTGGTCGCGTTATCAACACCGCAGCTCTTGCTTGTGCCTTCTGTCGCCGTCCACCAACAGCCAAGACGCTTTTCAAGTACGGCCAGGGCATCCACGCCGTGGGCAATCTTCGCTTAGCAGTCGAGAAAGGAGAGTGGATCTTTGCTTGGTGCCGCACTTGTGGATTTGCAAGACGTTATATGGAGCGTGTATGTGCTCAAGCCGCGCCTGCTAACCTTTCTAATTGGGAATGTGATGGGTGTAAAAAGTATGAGGGTAGTCCGACGGTCAAGAAGTGTCCAGGTTGTCAGACCTGGACTGAGAAATCTGCTGGCTGCGATCATATTGCTTGCATAGTACAAGGATGTGGGACTCATTGGTGCTTTCACTGTGGAAAGAAGCAGACATCTAGCACGATTTACGATCATATGCAAAAAGAGCACGGTGGATATTATGGCGGGGGTGCTTATGAAGGTGCAGCTGCAGACGCCGATGACGGTTATGAAACTGATTATTGAGCTGGTTGTATTGTGAGCTCTGTACTGTATTTCTTGGGTTCTCTGAAGTCCAGAGCGGCGAATGTCGGCTCAGTGTAGCATGGTTTAATCTAATACATTTTTTGAACCTCGTGCTGAAAGCTTGATCTCATGACTCTGATCCACCTTGAGAAACACTCTAAACTCTGAACACTAATGCTCTCGACCACTCAAAGGACAGAGGATTTGTCCAGAAAGAAGTGAGACCTGTCTCACAAGTCCTACTCAAGAAGCACGGAAGAACACAACCACAACACGTAAACACTAACAATAAAAGCAGCAGCCCCATGCTGCCCAAATAAGTTATCAAAATTAATCATCAACGCATCAGCACCCGCCACTCCTCAACAGAGTCCTCCAAGTCTACCTCTCAAACCCATCTAACCCTCCAACCACCCCCCCAAAACACCCCCCATCCAAACATAGAACTCCCCCCCCTCTGCACCCCCACGACCAAAACAAGTCCCTTGCATGATCCCCCCTCATATTACCCGATATCCGAGAAACTGCACTGTAGATCTTAAGACCCAAACCAGAATCCCGAGCCGTCACTCCAATTCCATCCATCCATCTGCTTCGCCATAAATAAATACCTTAAAAAAAAAAAAGCTTCACCGCTAAAGCGACGCTAAGGCTCCCCTTTTCCCCAATGCAACGTCCTCGGCTACCTCAATCTTCAACACGGGAAAACATACGATGATGAGCACACAATATGTTGGTCAGGAATCTCCAATGTAACTCTGCGGTAATAGCGGGATTTGAAAAAAAAAAAACCTCCCCTCCCCAAAATAGAAGAAGGGAAAGCTTGCCCTAAACGCTGACGTCGGCTGCACCGTTATCTATCTCTCACCACACAGATAGATGATCCCACTTGAAGCCTGCTAGCAGGCCATCATGGCTCGAAGGGGTATGCACGATGGATTTGTACATAATCTTGCATGGTGAGATCACTCGAACCCTCCTTTCCTTTCCTTTCCTTTGCTGTCCGGTAATAAGAGAAGAAGAGTCTTGGCTAAACAAACCACGATGCTTTCTTTCCGCTCCTCATTGGTACCGTAAACGACACAAATCAGTTCTTGTTCTTCGTCTTCGTCGCGTTCGTGTATGTATGTAAATCCCCCGCGAATAGAACTGGCTTCCATTTCGATTTCCATATCCTTTCTCAGAAACCGGTCGACTGGTCGTTACGAACCAAGCAATCAGACCGCGGCTCCCCCAACTCAAGCGATCGAGAATCGCGGCTACCGACTCGTCCCAGGCCCTGAGATGAGATGGGGAACTCTGGCTTCTTGGACGGCGGGGATCCGTTTCTGGATGATAGATAGGATGAGGGTCCTTGTCTATACGGTTCCTGTATATCTATCTATCTCTGTCCACGGAATGGATGTTGGATATCAGTAGTTAGGTAAGGTAAGATATAGCAAGGAATGTCCAAATACACACCAACTCAACCCCAGTCTCCCAATCACAACCCTTTCGGAGCTGAGCTCCGGCTTTACTTCACAAGTCTAACAGCCCTAGCCGCAGCTCCACGTAATCAAAACAATAGACCTGCTACCAATGATCCAGCATCCCAACATGATATCTATATCTCCAACCCCTCACGCTCCCAGAACCTTAGCACCTTCTCTCTCCCCTCCAACTTTCTCCATCAACTTCACATCACATCACATCACATCACATCACATCACATCACATCACATCACATCACATCACATCCACCCTCCTCCAATCCTCTCATCCCTCCTCCTCTAACCCGCACCCCAAAAAAAAACAAACCCCAAAATCCCATCTCCTCATCACCACACGCCGCAATCTCATCTCATATCATAACCTTATCTCTCCCACCCCCTCGCACACCTACCCACCTACCTACCTACCTAACCTATATCCAGACCTCCGTCCGTCAGCCGTCAGCCATCAAGTGACCAAACCCCGTACCGTCCCAACCCAAACACCACGCTGACTGCAGCAAGCAGCAAGCAGCAATCGCACTCGGTCTTACCACACTTGACGCGTCACTCACTGGATACTAACTACTACAGCACTACGACAGCACTACCCCGTATATTGATCTTGTGCTTCACGCGCTGGCTGGCTTGCTGATAGCGTCATCCGATCGCGCGCTCGCTGACTGCAGATGGCTGGGGTACGGTAATATGATCATCGATTCGGGGAATCGGCCCGGGGGGGGGCTTCCTATTTCTTGTTTGTTGGTTTGTTGGTTTGTTGGTTCCGAAAGAAGGTCTCGCTGATAGACATGACAGATGCTCGATGTACTACTGTAGCTCTGCATCGCGGGAGATAGATACAAGAAGGGGGGATGGTGGAATTTAGGCGTACTATTAATGAGTATATGGATGAAATCATAAAGCAAGAGATCGAGAAAAAGAAACTCGACCTCATCAAAAAACGATCATTGAGATCAAGAATAAATAGAATAGCAGCGAGAAATAAACCACCAGAACCTCCATATGTGAGAAAGTATGGGGAGGAGAACACATGAAAAAAGCACGAAAAGACACACACACAATAGTGTTAATGATATTGCAGGGCGCGAACCCCATGATATATACCCTCCCGACCCAGATCTCCCTCTTCCCTACCCTTCCTCTTTCTCAACTCCAATCTGATAGCCATCCTATACCCTGCCCCATATTTGGAAAATCCGCTTCAATCCATCTCCTTCATCCCTTCATGAACCATCCCACCCCACCTCATCCCATCCCCCGTCAATTACCACGCCACCAAGCAAGGCAAAAACAAAACAAAGTTAAAAACGTCCGCCTCCCTCCTATTTTCTCACCAAAGTGACAAACCCATTCATTCTTTTTGTAAACTCCGGCACCATCGCGACGTCGCTTGCAGAAAGGGATTCGCAGACATAATCATATCTCATAAAATAGCTCGCTCTGAAAACCAGACAAAGAAACGAAAAATCGCTCACAAGACAAGTAAATGGGAAATATCATGAGCGCGTAATAAGGAGCGCCAAGATGGAGACGTACCGATGATGTAGGATCGGAAGATTAACTGGGGATTGTCGAAGCGAACAGTGTGGCTGCGATGCTGTTGTTCTCGCAGAGAAGATATCGATATTTGATGTCAGATGGATGATGAGAGCGATTCTGTTGTTCCTCGCTGACTGGGATGGATATTGATATTGGGATGCGTCCCGCGGTTTCATCAGACGTTGGAACCAAGACACACAGCTGAATGATCGGACCAAAATGCTTGCGCCAACTCAAAAGGGACTCGATAGATGTGAGCTCGAAAAACATACATCGTTGCGCCGCGCTGGAAAACGATTGGGTATAACGCTAAAAATATTCCCCTTGTGCTGAAAGTTCCCGTAGAAGTGAAGAAAAGCAGAAGTCAGAGTCGAGTTACTGGTGGTGATGAAGGTTGTGTTCGTCTTTCAGGTCATTGTCGTGCTGTTGGAAACCATGTTCTTGCATGAAGTTCTCAAATCCAGGCATATGCTGCGGGTGTGGATGAGGATGACCTATGCTTCCTGTTCGCAGTGAGCTCCCAAGTCCTGGACTTGTGTCGTATCTGCCAGAAGGAAGGCCGTCATAGCTCGGCAATTGTGGTGGAGGAAGCATCTGCGGCTGCGCGTTTGGTAGGGGGAGGTATGGACCACTGGATGGCGGCAGATTCTGCTGAGGAGAAGTCGTGTAGAATGATTGTCCACCACTGTTGCTCACCATTGACCAATTGTTGTACAGTTGCGGCTGTGGGCTCGAGTAGCTTGCCGTCGGAACGAATGATCTACGATCCTGAATGCCTGGACTCTGAGGATGAAAGCCCATGTTGCGATAGTTCCCAAAATCATTGTACTGAGGCTGCTGCTCTTCCATCGGATTATGGACACTTTGGCGCATTGGAAGTCGCATTCTCATGGTGTCGTCTAGCATATGAGGGTTGTGCCCGGTAGTTGGAGACACAACATCAGGAGAAGGCATGCTGGCTGCAATAGAAGTTACAATTTCGTCTTCGTTACCCTCGGGCTTCATGTCGCTCTCGTTGTCCGAATCCTCCGTCCCAGATTGTTCGCCGTACATTACAGAAAAATAGGTGGAGCCATCTAGCATTTGTCAACAGAAGCTCAATTAGAGTGCATATCATCATGAATCTTACCAATCTCGCCATTCTTGTATTTCTCTTCAGCTCGCGCAATTTTGAAGATCTCCTTCAGGAACGGCTTCTTCTGCGCATTGTCGGGATGCTCCTTATCGTTAAACCAGTTGTTCATTGCCTCCATGGTGACTTCTTCCAGCTTTCTGACATTGAGACCAAACTTCTCAATAGAAGGGTGCTGCTGATTTGCAGGTTCCACGACCATTCTCAAGATATGGATGAGAAGCCGGATTCGTTCTATATTCATCAGTGCATTTCTATTGCGCAATATGGCTAGGCCTACCAGGCTTCAAGAGATGATCAGGTTCTTTGTGACGAACCAAGTGATCACCGGTAGTCTTTGGCCACCAAGGAGGTGCCTTGCCATCACCTTTGGTATATGGGTGATGAGTCTGTTTCTTGGGCTCAATCAGCTTCACGAATGCTTTGCCCATGACTTTGCAAGATGACTGTTGCATGTCCTTAAATCTTGTGTGGTAGAACTTTTCAACCTCGCCGGCGTCGCCAATCCTCAACTGTTGAGTCTTTTTGATCCGAGCAGGGACAGGTGTATCATCGTTTGATTCTTCCCGGTGTCGGTAGTTGGGAAATCTTCTTTTCTTGGCACTGAAACATTCGTCGTCAGAATCTTCGACTTTTCGACGGACGTGGCAACCGTACTCTGAAGACGAACCCCCACTGCTTGAATGTTTCCTATTATACCCAGTACTGCTACTCGCATCGGCATCGAAGTCGTTGAACATAACATCCTGGCTGAAACCTGAAGATTGGTTAGCCACGTATGTTGCTTAAAATATATCCTTAGGACAAGTAATAAGTGGAATGAAGAACATGTCGACCAGAGAAAAATCCGTACCGGAACTTGGATATGGGTTGCTTGGAGCTGAAGCTTTGCGGATACTTCGACGAAAATCCTGCTTGAACTTTTCTGTAAAGATTTTATCTCGAAAGCCAGCCAAAGCTGGGGACGAGTAGACTCTGTCTTCGCCAGTGTCCAGTCGCACGATTAAGCCGAACTCCTTGAATGGTATTCCAACACATTCCTTCAAGGCATCTTCTATTGTCTGTAAAGTCAGCTTGGAAGAGACGACTTGATATCAAGAAGCAAACCTGAGTTCTCGAATGCACAGGCGTAGCTGCAGGGGCCGGCACGAAACGGTTGTCCTGAACATCAAATCTCTCATTCCGAGGCCAAGTACCCTCCCTCTGGTAGTAATCCCCCGGTTGCAAGGGATTCTGGCGTTGTACCATATTGAAAGATACAAAGTGATATGGCGAGCGGTGTACAATTCAAGTCGAGTTGTCGTATGGAGAGTTTCCACCAAGATGAGGTGAGAGGGGATCAAATATAGATATGGTATCAGCACCCGGTAGTATGGAGCAGATTCGGTGCCGCACTAGCTGCGCGGAGATAGAATTAGTTGGTTCACAGATGCATGGTATCGGGATTTCAGGGCTTGGGGTGTCTGGGAGGGACTGGACGAAGATGGAGGAGCAAAAGACAAGAAAGTGAACGTGGACGGACCTGTGATGCAGCCCAGTTTCGGAGAAAGAATAAAGGGATCTGGAGCTGACTGGCTAGCTAAGTGATCTGCTGCCTCTTAACTGTGTGCTGGGAGCAGTGGCGCTGGGAGGAGCCTGGGATGGGTCTGGTTGCACAAACCCCAGCCAGGAAGAGAGAAATAAGCGTCAGGTAAGGGTACGGCGAAGGGTGTGGAGAAGCTGGGTCCCTTAAAGTAGCATCAGTTCTGGATGGCGTACGGCGTCGATATCGAGGCATGAGACCCCAGGATCCCGACCGAGAGAAAAGTCCAACTACCGTCCCGAAACCTGTGTTCGCCGATTGGGCTTGGGCCCGACGCCTGCTCGAGGAGACGGCAGCTGCAGCACGTAAGTGTAAACGGCGTGAGTCTGGGTCAGCAACACTTTTGCCTTTTGTCTGGTTGCAAGTGCGTGGTCCTCGGGCTTTGCTTTGCTTTGGGCAAGGCAAGGCAAGGCAAGGCAAGGTCAAGTTTAGCTCGGCTAGCCGGGCTAAAAGTTCATTCAGATGGCTTGGACGTTGGGCCTCAAGTCGCTTGTGTTTGATTGCTGTACGTCTATTAAAATCACAGGTTCCCGAGCAGGAACGGGTAACAGACATCCGCCGCTATTACTTGGACGGATAGCGACAGTAGTCGAGGAGTCCTGTGTCTTGTCTTGTGAGAGTGAGGATGTTGGACGAGTTACTCCGTGTGCAAAGATGTCTCTCGTTTGGAGAATGTGGAGGAGGAGGCGAACACCGGCAAATTCTGGCTGGAGCAATGGCGGCGGCCGCCGTTCGTAAGACCAGACAGACGCCCTGGAACGTCCAACTTCGACGTGAGATCTGGAAGAGGGGAGGGGAGGGTAGGGACGATTTGAGGGATTGCAGGATCGTTGTTGGGTCATAAGGGGGGAGTGCCGTTCCGATCGATCTGACGGCGCAGTACCAGAGAAGTGACAGATCTTGCCATGTTCAGATGAAATCACTGGAAAGGGTGGGTGCAAAGAGAACGCGCGAAAATATATAGAACCGGAGCAGACCCGCACTAAAATAACATCCTGAACGCAAATCTTCAGTGTGGCAGAAGCCTGCAATGCTGAACAAGGTAGGTAAGGTCGCAATAGGGCTCAAGAATAGACGAGGGAAAGGAGGGGGAGGGGAGGGGAGGGGAGGGGAGGGGGAAAGGTTACTTTAGGTGCTTGCAAGGACCGAGATGCGGATGTGTTGGGATATCGTCGTCGTCGTCGTCGTCGTCGTCGCCGTTCCCTTCTTCTCTTCCTTCTGATTGCTGCCACTGTACATACATACAAAACTTAATTCCCTTCCCTTTCCCTTCCCCTCTCCAGTGACTGTGTGCGGTTGCGTCTGCCGTGCTGCCGTGCTCTTGTGCGCGCTGCGGTGGCCCCAACCCATATGCTCCAGCGTGAATGCATGACTGTTGACTGCTCCAGTGGTTCATGGGGGACGCCGTGCTACAATTGGAGAACCGGTTTTCCGGCGGTGGTACCGTGCAATCAACAGCGCGTTTGAAGCAGCGAGCAACAATTTACCAAGCTGCACCTTCCAGCAGGCTGGGTCAACCGGCCGTCCTCCTCCAATGGTCGCGCGGCACAGCAGCAACAGACGGAGAACAGTGTACTCGTAACGTCGTCATTGACCAACGACCGGACGTGTGCAATGAATGTTCTGTGCGGTGTTTGTGGATCATATATCTGAACACCAAATCCATACGTGACAACGCAAGGGAGGGCCAGGAGGACCAGGAGAGCCAGGATACAGGCATCTTACTTATCGTGGCTCGGGAAGGGGAAGGGAAAGAGAGGGGAGGGGCAAGAGGCAAGAGGCACACGCTGGCTGGGCAGAGCGAGCTCACCGTTCCTGGATTGGAGATGGAAGATGGGAGATGGAGATGGAGATGGAGATGACTGACTGTCTTGGATGGTGCATCCAAGTCAGTCCAGCTGCGGAGTATTGTACATGTCATCCAAGTTCACCACCGTCGGACAGGGCTGAGAACAAACATACTGAAGTACTGAACTGTACATCTTGGAGCGAGTCTCTCGTCCCTATCGGGTCGTGTCCTCAGCAGCAGCCCGTCCGCATGGCAAATCTTCTTTTTTTCTGTTGGTGGTGTTTGTCGCAGACCAGGGGGCTGGCTGCCGTGTGGTGGTGGATGAGGGGTTGCAGGGCCAGGGGTGCCAGGCCCCGGCACGAAAGATCCTGGTGTGGTATCAGAGGTATCAGAGATTGTTTGGCGTCTGGAGGAACGTGATTCGTACAGTACACCGGGAAGCAGACGGGTACGGGTCTCTGGTGCATTCATTCTTGGATGATGGGCAAAAGTCGCAGACGCAGACGGGCTCCCAGATCCTCCCGACTGTAGTGTAGACCTCCCAGGCTTCCCAGACCTCCTCCAAATTGTGCGGGGTCCGTGGGGGGAGGTAGATTCAAAGCTTCGAACCTCGTGGTTCTGGGGCGCCATTCGAGGGAGAGAGAGGAGGGACACCAGGGATCTGACGAGGCCTGCAGGCAGCCATCGGATCCAGCAAACAAGCATACAAGGTCGTCATCACCCCTGGCGCAAAGCAGATCATCCTTACCGTCTACCGTACCGTACAATAATAATACTTTACGACGTGCTTCAGACAGGACTGCGACGGCCATATGGTTTTTCGAGCAAGCGCACGTAGCGGCGGAGAATGCGCACCATGTAATTTACTTACTGTACAGTACAGTGCATGACATGATGGTCAGTACTCAACATCCACTTCTACTTGGTGACCGCGGAGAGGCGCAAACGATGGCGTTTCCGAGCCGAAGATGTTGAACGCCACTGATGAGGGCTGATACTGAGACTGGAGCTGTGAGTGATATTGTAAGATTACTTCTGTCGGAATGGAACTGGATTGAGACTGAGTGAGAGTTGTCGGGTAGGTAATTTAGCTCGGAGTGCGGTTCTGCGGAAGCGGTGCGGCTCGATGGAACCTGATAGCTACTTACCTACGCAGCTACGCAGGAGCCCTAGTGTTTGGTCTTCCGGGCTCTCTGACGAATCTCTACAGTAGGTACTGGTGGTGCGCTGGGGATTGGGTTGAGGGAAGGTCTAAGACTTTTCAGGGCCAACGGTCAGTGCTCGGTCCACCCAAATCTCACCAAAAACTCCACCGAAACCCACAAAACAGGCCGCTATGGGCGTATCCGTAGCCTCCGTAGCCTCCGTCCTTTGCTTTAGCCTACCCGTTCGAGCAGCGAGACGGACTCCGTCTGAATCCTGAGCTCAAAAATCTCCTCTTCTGACAACGGGAGAGCTGCGCCACCATATCTATGTCCTTCCCAACAAATCAGGAACCCTTGATGTCGATCACGAATCTATTCGGGACTGACGAATTTCTTTCTTCATTTTCAGACGTCGCTGAAAAGAGTGAACTACTTACTTGCACTTCAAAGCTCTACTCAGAACGTGTAGCTAGGTGAGAACACATTGAATATCAGCAGTAGAGATGCTATCACTGATTTGAGTTTCGGACCACTTCCCATGACCAGAGTGGCATCCCGAGCGTATCTCGCATACATCATGCTTCTGTAGACCCCTTACAGTAAGAGAGCTATCATATTTCTCTCCCGCGGCTTCGGACCATTACCCTCCCGCGTGTTAGCGAGCGCTCCGATCTTAAGGTATACACATCAAAGAGTTTGCTATGCGTTCCAGATACCAGACCTGGGCACTTCCATATGCCGACGTCGCATTCTAGCGACGTAGCAAACTTAACAGCAGCATGATATAGAGGTGGGAGTATCCCCGTGCAGAAAATCGTCGTCGAATCCTACCTGCTCCTCCGTACAAACTTCGAAAAGCATCGTGAGTTTGCGAAGAACATCCCGTCGGACTTGCTTGCTTGCTTGCTTGCTGCGTCATGAATTCTCAAATACTCGTGTTTGTCCATGCCCATGTTCTTCTTCCTTGCATAACGCCTTCGTCGACTGGCTCTCGATATGGCTGCACCGGTGACGCTACCGGAAGCGTGAGGATTCCATCCGCGACCAATAACACCATGTGGCGCAAAATTTGGGTCCAGGGATCGAAGAGTTCAATCTACGGCAAGTTGACTCGGGGGGGGAAGTCGTCACTTCTTGAAGTCTGGATACGAACGGGTACCAGATCTCCTCCCGTCGACCGGGCTAACCTAGTGCCAGATGCGATGACTTCAGCAGTAAGAATCGACGCAAGCAAACGCGATTCTCCCTTTATACTCGAAGCGTCTTCTTACATACGAACAGCAATCCTGTCGAGGGAGGAAGATCAGAACCAGCATCGGCACCGGTACGAGCTCCTTCGCAGCAGCCGTGAAGTCTCGGGATCTACCTGGACCTGCCGCGATCCAATAACTAACTGCTGGAGCATCTGAAAGCAAAGTCGAGATCCAACACTTGGCCGCAAGAAGCAAGACCACCACCAACACAACGGCCTCTGCTGCACTGAACAAAAGCAAATCCGTTTTTGACGAAAGAAGAATATGTTGCACATGGAGGCGCAAGAGGCGCCCTGACTCTCAAATACCGAGACTCAATCGTCAAATCCCGTGGGTGCCGCCTCAAAAGACGAGACGAGTGTCTTGACGCCCAACAAACGTCTGAGCGTTTCCAACATCTTTCTGGTACTGTAGAGACATTGACTTTAAGCTTTTTGCTAAGTCAGCCTCGTTCTCCTTAGCGCGGTGTCTCGTGGAGGTGTGGTGTTTATCTTTTTATTTTTAGCGATCTCGTCTCAAGCCTCTAGTTGAACCTTCAATTAGGAATCTGATCCAGATGTCTCCAAGCGGACGTTACATATGCAAAAAGGGTCCATACCCTTTCCCAGTGGCGATATCCACGGATGACTCTGGAACACAAAGCCTCTTTCTCTCATGTCTCGTCAACCTGCAAACTCGTGGGGCAGAAGACGTAGATCTCGGCACCCGCCGAGACCATGAGCTGATAAACCATTAAAGATTTGCCTGTATGGAGCTCTGTACATATTCCAGCAATACGAGGAATCGACGATCTGGAAAAGTTTTCTCTCTTTGTTTGGACTTGATTTCATCTCCTCATGTCTCCTCATCCCCTCAAACGTCCAACCAAAAGCCCATCTACCAAAGCCTCCACCTCAAAGAGTCCCTGCGTCTCCAAGTCACCACAAGTACAGTACAGTCCCTTCCTTTCCCCATACAACACCTCACTCAACCCCTGCATACCAACATTCAAGAAATCAAAAAATCCATAAATCCAAGACAAGACAAGACCCTCCCTCGCCGCACGCACGCACGGGCGCCGCCTCGCACACGCAGCAAATCAACCTAACGTTACACAGAGAGCGGCGATCGCGAATGTTGGTAACGGATTTCGGTAACGAATCAGGGAAGGGTGGCTGGCTGGCTGGCTGGCTGGCTGGCTGGCTTACCCCTCATTATTGATTTTTGCGTTTTTGGGAGGATGCGAAGGGAAGGGAGAGGAGAGGGGGAAGGGGATTTGGAATAGGGGTCTGGGTTTAGGACGCTATGGTTGAGGGTGTGATGGAGTTTGGCGTTATTTCTTAACTTTGGATAGGAGGTATTGGAAATAGTATCTGCTTGCTTTCTCATGGTTTGTCTGCTTCTCGATCTATCTGTGCTTCCCTCTCCCGAGTTCCTTCTCCCAATTCTTCCACCTCCAACTAAATCCATCTGCGTTTTCCCGCTTCTCCATCCCTTCCCATCCCCTTCCTCCGTTCCCCATCAATACACCCCTCAGCCAGCCACCACAAGACCCCTTCCTTCATGCACCGCACCGTCAGCACATGGCAATCCCAATCCCCATTTCTCAATCGCACTCTCACTACCTCGAATGAATCCAGCTCCCCCCGCGTCATCAAGCATCACATTTTGGACCCTGCGTGCATATCTCCTCCACTCCTCTCCCATCCCATCCCATCCCATCCCAATTCCCCCCATCGTGCTTTTCCAAGCCATTTCTCGAATCGAGAATAGCATACTTACTATCTTATTGCTAAGCGGAGGGATTGATTCTTGCCTCGTTCAAAGTCATCATCGGCTATAGTAGTAGCACTTGGAAAGAAGGGGAGGAAAACTACCCTCCCTCTTTGTAAGAAACAAAACCAAGGAAAGTAAGTGATAGATAGCCTCGCAGGAGGTGAGATGTTGTTCTTTTATTCACATGCATTGATGTTTTGATGTGAAGGAAAGCAAGTCTATCTATCTATCTATCTAGGGAATTTCAAGAGTTAAGGTTAACATGCAGGCTGGTCAGTCAGTCAGTCAGTTAATTATTAGTTGAGCTCATTCTTCAACTGAGGGCATCCAACTGATCGACTGTTAATTACTTAGAAGTGACTGATAAGTTAATAAAACGTGACTTTTGATCACGTTATTTTATTAAAAAGTACCTAGGTAAGGTGGCTTTACTAGGTTATAATTATATTATTAAAAAATGTAAATATATCGAGTGTATAGTATAATAAGAGAGTACACACCAAGAAAATACACACCAAGAAAATACACACTAAGAAAATACACACTAAAAAAAAATGCACACTAAAAGAGTAATGCGAGTTGCACTTGCATACTTCAAAAAGGCTCATAAAGCTTAGAAGAGGGCTGTGAAAGATCAGTAAAATAGTAAATTAAAAGTCAAAAACATCACAATAAAAAGTTTTAAAATTTTTCACCACCCTATTTAATTAATCAAAGAGCCTTTTTTTTTTCACTATTTCGCCCCTGAATCCCCTCCAAAACCACCCCAAAAATGACTCCCAAAATCTCCAAAAATCTCATCTCTAAACTTATCAGTTAAGTTTACTACCAATTAGACTTTTAAATCACTAATAAACTTATTTCATTTGAAAAATCGTGAACTAATTAACTTTAACCACTCACTTATCAGTCGACTGACTGTTTGGTTGGTTGGCCAGCCTGTTAATAATATGCATGATGGTGGAAGTATTATCTATCTACTTGTTCATAGCAGAGGTACAAGTTACGCTTTTACACCGTTTTCGAATCAATGACAAAGGATATAAGAAGACCTGCTGCTTTACACCTCCCTCCCTCCCTCTCTTACCTAGAATAGTAACACAACAGCTTCGCATTCTCCCCCGCAAAAAAAACATATATAAAATAATTCTGTACTGTACACCACCCTGAAACAGTCGCCAACTCACCTGTACTACACACCTCACTCACTACCTTACCCCACCCTCGCTCACCACGACGAAGGAAATCAGCCTCATATCAATCACTGCATTTCACACAACCAACCAAGCAAAGCACAACAACTGACTCGAAACATCTCAATAATTTCTACTAACAACAAAATTCTACATACACCCCAAATCCCACCCCACCTCACCTACCTCAAACTCGCACTACCCTCCAACCCCGCCTCTTTCACCAACTTCCAGAAAAGTCCCTTCTCCTCCAGCAATTTCCTCGGGGTATCGAACTCCTTGACGACACCCGCTTCGAGGACGACGATCCGGTCGCTGTCGAGGATGGTGTTGATGCGATGCGCGATCGTGATGATGGTCCGCTTGCTGAAGAGCGGGGAGCGGAGCGTGGTTTGGAGCAGGGCGTCCGTTTCGACGTCCACGGCTGCGGTGGCCTCGTCCAGGACGAGGATGTTGGACGGGGTGAGGAGGGCGCGGGCCAGGGAGACGAGTTGGCGTTGGCCTTGTGAGAGGTTAGATCCGCTGTGAGAGGTGTTAGTCGTACTCGGTGATGGATGAAATGGAGGGTAGGATTTGTGAAAGGGAAGGGTATCGTGAGATGGGAGAAGGGGAGGTTGAATGGAAAGGGTGAGATTTCCGTGTATCTGCAATGCAAGGAATGGAAGCTCGACAACAGCGTATGTGGACATTTGCAAAACAGCCGTCGTGACCACTGGCCGCACCGACGATACCCAAGACGGGGGAACGGCTGTCAAGGGCTGTATGTCCAGCGATAAGACAATACCACAATATCAAAGAAAAGCGACTCACCCTTCATGGATCTTGGCTTCGAGGCCACCAGTCATTGTCGTTACATGGTCTTTCAGCCTGGCATGTTCTGCAATAATTCATTAGCCCAGGGTCCCCGCTGCACGACTCGCCGCTTGTAGAATTTGATGGCTCAGGTACCACAATGCCACTTCATCAATCGGCATTCCATGGATCGAATAAAAGAAGGGAATCACCTACCTAGCACACTCCAAAGCTCCGTGTCATCATGCACAGCTCCAGGGTCGAGATTATCCCTGATCGTGCCTTCGAAAAGAGCCGCATCCTGTGGGATGATTGCTAACCGCCGCCTCAAATCCAGCAAGCCTATCGTTGATGTGTTGAGCTGGTCAATGCTGATGTTTCCTATGGCCGGCTCGATAATCCGGAACAAAGCGAGAGTCAAAGAGCTTTTCCCCGCACCAGTACGACCCACGACGCCAATCTTTTCGTGTGGCTTAATATCAAGATTGACGTTCTTGAGGACAAGGTCTAACCCTTCTCGATACCTTGTGCTGTAGTTGTTGAACTGTACCGCACCGGCTGCTGGCCAGCTGATTGGTGGTCGGCTTCTATGAATCACTTCGGGGGCTTCACTTGGAAGTCGTGCATATTCGAGAACACGTTCCACCGAGACAATATTTGTCTCAACCTCAACGGTTTGGCGGACGATCCAGTTCAGCGATTGCGTAATTTGGAGGGCATAAGACATAGCCAAACCGACGAGTCCGGCTGACAGTCCACTACCTGTGGACACAGAAATAATGGCGAATCCGGCTGCGCTGAGAATGATGATCGATCCAAGGAATTCGAGGCGTACAGCAAGCCATCTGCATAGGTCAGCACCACTGAGACTACCTGTTGCAGTCACACGTACCTATTGGCATTGATCGAAGGGAAATAAGCCCGAAGATTTGCGTCCACTCTCCATTCGTTTTCTGCCGCGAAACGTAACTGCTGCCGGTATGCCCGAATTGTGGTGATACCTCCAAGCGACTCCTGGAAATGCGCATAGATAGGACTTCGACTCACACTATCCAAACGTTTGAGTTCTCGTGACGTTCTAAGATAATATCGCTGAACCCAATAGTACACCCCAGAAAGTGGGACGATCAGGGCGACAAAGGCAGGGGTCGATGTCGAGATGACGGCCAGTGTGAAGATTGCGCGTGCGCTGTTCACGAATAGCATATTGAATGTTCGGGCCAGAACCTAAACAGGTCAGGATCGCACCAGCAGTCTGGTAACACAGATAAACTTACCTCGTCAACCCGATAGATATCGCTGGCAAGTGACTGGTGTCAGTAAAACAGCGATGAGATGGGATGGACAACTGGTGTTGCACAGCATAAGGAATGGCAAATAGGCGGACCGATCAAGGCGGCATCTGCACCGTGCTGAATGCAGAGTTGCGGGGTTTTCACCACTTGGTCACTCATGAAGCATGTGTTATAGACCAGCCCCTTCTGCACGCACCAGCATGGCCCCGCAATCGTAATCAGTGTGAGCCAGAGGTTTCAACCGCCACTGGCGGTTTTGATGCCATGGGAAGCAATCCTTGCCCAGTCATACTGAAAGAATCTAAGATCATGGTGTGCACTAACCTTGAAAATCTGTTGAGGATACGCCCGGCTGGAGTTCTAATATCCGGTTAGTCAAGAGTCGTTTCGGACCCATTTCCGTGGACTTACGTTTCGAAGAAGCTCATTGGTGACCTGAAAATAGCAAAAGCCATCCTTTCGTGGAGCTTTCTAGACGCCTAGCGAACCAGAACATTAGCTTCCGTACCGTTTCAAGCCTTCAATGTAAGTGAATGTCACTGACCTCGATCGAACAAAAGATCCAGAGGATCAATGTCTGAACCACAACCAAGCCGGCCCCACCGATGCCGAAAGCAAAGTAGACACCGATGTACTTCCCGACATTGGGGTTTCGGCCCTCTTCTCCATTTTTCTCGGCCCACTGCTTAAGCCAGACGCTGCCCCCTGTGAATATCAGTAACCAAAGAACTGTCTGGGGAAATTGTGCATAGAAAAAGCAAAACTTACCGATTTGTGCTGTTTGTCCACCGATCAACATCAGGAGATATATAGCCACCGCATACAAATTGCTTGTCTTAGCATACTCGGCGTAAACTAATGCAAGAAGTCAGCCATCGATCAAAGATCTTAAACCGGGAGTCGCGGAAAGCAGTACCGTCCCATTTCACCTTCCCCTGTTCGGAGAATTCCTTATTTTGTTTTGTCTTCCCACTCTCTTCCTCATCTCGAAGCTTCCCTCGTGGTCCTCTGAAGCTCGCCGTACTCGCGCGTCTCAACGTCGCCATGCTTCCCTTGCGTTTCTTGACCGCCGATCCCGATGGTCGAATCGGCTGCAGTTGCGTCAATCGTTCCTGTGCTTCTTCTATCTCATCTTCCCTTTCACCGTCTGGTCTGTCGGTGTCGATGATCGTCGATGAATCGCTTGAGGTGGTCTCCTCCGAGGTCTCTGATTCTTGTGAATCCTGGTTCCCTGCAGTCCTGACGAGGTTTGCAATCTCGCCTCTCATCGCGATGAGCTGTTCGTATGTGCCACGTTCAATAATCTTTCCTTCTCTGATCAAACAAATAAAGTCAGCTTCCACCAAGACTGGGATAGAATTGGTGGCCAGGATTCTTGTCTTTCCACTGAGCAAGCCATTGGGTCCGAGAACATTGTCTATCAAGTGTCGGCCGACATGTTGATCGACAGCTGAGAGGCAATCATCAAGCAGGTAGATATCAGCTCGGGCGTACACCGCTCTTGCCAGCGTCAATCGTGCTTTCTGGCCTCCACTGAGGGAGATGCCACGTTCGCCAACTTCCGTCTCATCTCCCTCAGGCAATTGGGCAAAGTCTTCGATCAGAGCGCAGGCCTTGACGGTCTTTTCGTAAAAGACGGGGTCATATCGATGCCCAAAAGTGATATTCTCTTTGACTGTGGCATTCATAACCCAAGGTTGTTGAGCCACATAGGCTGTATTTCCATGGACCACAACTTGGCCTTTGACTTTCCATAAATCTCCAAGAAGAGCTTGAAGGAATGAAGACTTTCCAGCACCAACTCTGCCAACGACACAAGTAAGTTCTCCCTTTGCTGCTGAGAAGTTGATATCTTCAAGTGCGTTGCGGTCCGAATGTCGATCCCAGGAGAAGGTTCCATCACGCACGGAGATGCTCTCGTCTCCATTGCTATCGACGGGTCCTCTGACGATCACGGCATCGGGTTGAAGTTCCTCTGCAACGAAGAACGCTGTCAAACGACCAACAGCAACAGATGCTTCGATGATGGAGGTGATGACCATAGGCAGGATAGCCAGTGGGAAGGTGAGGAGGTTGAATAGAGTCAAGGCGGGGAATACAATGTCGGTCGTCAATGGAACATTCTTCGTCAGAACAAAAACGGTGAACGTTGAGCAAGATACCAAGAAAGGAGTCGTTGACCAAGTAAAGTTGGCAACGGCTTGAGCAGCACCGATCTTTCGAAGAGTTTTGAGTTCCTGGTCATTTCGTACATAGTTGAGCTTTTGCATAAATGCACTACCCCAAGCGTATAACTTGATGCTCTTCATGTTATTGACGATTTCAGCGATTAGTCTGGTTCTGGAGTCCTGTTCATGTGATTAGCTCGCTACCCCTTTTTTTGCTGACTCCCAAAGCAAGTCTGATCACAACCAGGTTTTGCTTACCTTATTCTTCATCTGCTCCTTTTGCAGCGTCTTCATCAGTCTGGCAATGAGACCATTGATAGGAATCATGAGGATCATAGCTCCAACACCAGCCAACATAGAAAGACCAACAAGTTGATACAAACTAACCATACACAGGATAATCTGATACGGTGCCGACCAAAGCTGCTGACCGTATTGTGTAAGATCCTGCAGCCTCTGCGTATCGACAGCCATATAATTGACAATGTCGCCCGTAGACTTTGAAGCTCTTCCCTCGTTTGACAATTTTAGTGACTTTGCATAGATAGAAGCTGTCAACGCAGTCTTGATACGCATACCGGTCTCGAAAGCTCGTTGAAAGTACTGATGAAGAGCCATAGTCTGACCCACAGAAACAGAAAACATAGCCAACGCAATAGCGGCTCCCTTAATTACTGGCTGAGGATTCTCATACCGGTACGAATCCACAAAATTGATCAATAGCCTCAACAACTGCGGCTGCACGAAAGCCAACGTATCCGAAACAGTCTTAAACACAGCACCTCGAAAATAGGGTCCACTGAATCCTCTGAAGATGGCCATCCAAAGACTAGGATGCTTCTTGGTTTCCAGCTCATGTTCCCAAGCTTTCTGGAAAGCATCTCCTGTCGCTTTCGTGGTATCTCTCTTCGCCAGATTCCACAGATCATCTTCTGTCAAGAATTTCTTGTATCCATGTCTCATCATCGGCGTCATCCAGCTGAATGTCAAAATCGAGAAAACGGTCGCATACTCAATCGGGCACTCGTCCTCGTCCCCAATGGCATTATACACACTATTCTTCTTTGGCACCAACCATTCTAAGCCAAACTCCACCCATGACAATGCGAAGCCAATACAATATGCAATGAAGTATGGAAGATGTTTATCGTAGATCTGCTGTGAGATCAAAGAGCGTAGCTTGACGGACCAAGCTATGAGAATGAACAACCAGTAGAATAGCACCACTCCGTTCGCATTGCGTAACCTGCTATGTTCCAGCCATTGAATTGTGAATATAACTCCCAGCGACAATATCGTCAACACGCTCGTCCAGAATCGGAAATCGCCCGCCCAGACATCAGGATAGTTCAGGATCTGGAAGACCAGTTGAACGGCACACGAAAGACCAATGGCTATAATCAACGCCTATACACTAATCAGCCTCATTCTTCACAGCAGATCCATATCTATCCCCAAAACAGAGAATATCTCAATCTCAGCAAACGTACCTGCTTAGTCCAAAAATTCCAATCCCTCTCCACCTCCGCCTTTTGTTTCCGCCTCACCAACCACCACACAGCTATGGCTCCGAATAAAATCCCATACACAGCAACACTCGACACCCACACATCCATAAAACAAGGTGTGAAGTCATATCTCTCCCGACTTAACGGACCCCATCCTTCTCGATTCCCGCACAACGGCTGCGGATTCTTCTTCTCTGCAGAAAGGTACCCGTAGCCCAGCTCTACGATCGAAGCCCGGAAGCCAGTAAAGGAACCCGTAGAGTAGAGCAGGGCCTGGGAAGAATGCGCTGGCGAGGATGCGCTGCTGCCGTGAGGCATGGTGGTGGAGGAAGTTGAGACCTCCAGTCGTGTAGAAGGTGTCTGTCTCTGCTGGAGAAGAGAATGAATGTCGGCAGAAAGGACACAAGAGAATGTCGGCGTGGGACGTGGAAGGAGGAGTGTAGGTGGAAGGGAAAGAAATGAAAAGAGTTCCAAAATATCCAGATGCACTCGTTGGATAGGCGGGCGAGATCAGATCAACAGCACCCAGACAGAGCTCGGAATTAAGCTAATGGCTACGTACCGCGGACGTCAACTGACAAAGCACCTCTACACAACATCTGCCACCGCTCTTTGATCCCCGCCAATTATGCATCTACATTCACTGTGCATATCCTCACATCTAATTTATTTCTATTCCTATTTTCTACGTTGCGTGGATGCTACGAGTAATGTTCTGTTTTATCATTTTATGCTTGTTGGCCCCACCCCACTTTCGTAATCCCAACTGTTCATGCAGTGAAATGCAATTCGTCCACACTGATTGGGTAGACGTCACCATTCAAGCTTTCAGAGCCTCACCTGCACATCCTGTCGATCGCCAAACCAAAAACTCATGTAAGACACAGAACCAGTCTATTATGCAGATATTACCTATAATAAAGTCAAGATCAAGAAATCATCCGAAGAAGGGAACATATCGTGTGAAAGAATCATGTTGGTGTTAAGATGATCTTAAGACCCAGCCTCGTTTGCAAGGCTTCTGATATTAACAAGTGAGACATCAGAAACACAACCGTTGGCAGGTGCATGATTGAAAACTTTTGAGAAAGAAAAATATCTCGGGACCGAATTTCAACGCTATACGTGCCGCTCTTCCGCGATTCATCCAACCAAAATCCGACTCTAGTGATATCCTCGGATCCGAATAACTCGGGGTTGGGCTGATTTAAGGTTATTAGACATTGTCACAATGCACACTAGGCAACAAGATAAAGACACAGATCATTTTCTTCTTCGCTACCTGTCACACTCGAAAAATCGCAGACGCCAGAGAAATGTAGAAAAGACCTGGTTTTTTCTCGTTCTAGAAAGACCACCAGCATCAAATCCTCCTTTCCTCCTGCGAAAGAAAAAGAGAAACGAAGGTCCCATGATCAAAAGTCCCGACCGGCAATGCCAAAGAGGTCCCACCGCCGATTAGAAGGAAATAAAAGCACGAAAGTCGATACATGAAGAGTCGGAAAAAGGCGAAATCATCAATCGTGGCAGGGTATCATCCTAGCGAAGTCGTAAAACACCGGATCCTGCTTTGAGAATGGCCGCCCATGACTGAAGAAGCAACTTTTCTAGTTGTCTCCTTCGTCTTTCTTGGGAGCTAGACCGGCGCTTTGACAAGTCTTCTTCCAAGTCTCAACCTCTCTCCATGCCCGCTCACACTCTGCCTTCAACTTGTCATTGCTGGCACTAAGCTCTGCAATGGCTTGTTCGGTGAGGAGCTTCTCAAGAGTCCACTTCTCGATATTTTGGGTCTCATTCTCCTTCAGTTGGGTGATGAACTGGACGGCACGTTGTAAGATAGAGCCTTTGTTCTTCTCACAGCCTGGGACGATCTTGGCCAGCTCGTTGATACCTTCGTTGATGGTTTCTCGGCGACGGCGTTCAACTGTAGCTTGTTAGCCTGCAGATCAAGAATGGCAGACCGCAATAGCTTACCCTCCTTGTGGTTGTCCTTGCGGACCTTGTGCCACTCATCAGAACCGACGGCCGGCTTGGAGTTCCGGCTAGACGGAGTCGAGTCCATGAAGCTGTCTTGTTGCTGGCTATTGTCCATAAAGGAAGATTCGGGGTTGCGATCGGAATCTGAGCCTGGGTTGCCAAACGACAGGTCGGTTGGTTGAGGAACAGTCATAGTAGGGTAGATGCCAGCAAGTGCAGCGGCAGCGGTAGAAGCATGCTCGGCAGAACCGTTGTGGTTGTCTAGGTTTTGGTGTAAGGAGTTGTAGTCTTGCAGAGCTTCAATAACACCATCATGTTGGCCCTTACCATTATTGGGAGAGATACGCTTGTTACCTCGTCTCGTGTCATCAGCTGATTCAGAGTCTCTCTTGCGCTTGGAGTTGGGAACGCCGTCTTCTCCACGCATAGCATTTGCAACCTCCTGCAAGCCGGAATGCTCAAGATCCATGTCAGCCATTATCGCAGGTATGAACGGCTCGTGACTCTTCTTTTGATATGATTCGTTCGAGGGGTAGAGTATGGGTCCGAGAGGCGCAGATGACCTCGAGGGGTTGGTAGGTAGCTTTAAGGCTGAACCTGTTCTTTCGGAGCAGTAGATGACGTGTTCTACCGAGCTTCACACAGGTACAACGAGAAGGTGTACTGCGATCCTTAATCAGTCCCAGAGGCAGTCTGATTCGCACCGATGAGGATTCTCGAAACGCTCTGCTGCAGTAGTTCGTTCAGCGTTCTGTCGCGACGAACGTTTTTGTACCCTTCAAAGTAGCACACACCAGGTCAGCACGTGTCATTGCAGATGAGGAACCACATAGCAATTGAATTGCGGATGCGCCGACAGGACAGAAAACGTTCAGCGACTTGGACGACGGTCTGCAGGCTCGACAGGTCATTGTAACAACGCGCTGGCGAGGTACAGTCAAGACGAGGACAATGGAGAATGGAGGATGGAGAGTCGCTCGTGCAAACAGAGACATTGTTTGATTGAGGGCGCGCAGTACAAGAGCAGAAGAATTGATTCTGCACAGCGTGATGTGACATGACATGACATGGAAAGGGAGGAAGCAATTTTGTTCGCGGTGTTTGCGATCCGGTGACAAGACGGCGAAGCGCACTGTGGTTTTCGACCCACGGCCAGCCGCGGTGAGGCCGGGCATTGGAGCACCTAACGAGTGATCGTGACCTCTTTCCAGCGGTCGCGTGGAAATCGACCAACTGTGACTTGCGCTGCGGCCAGTTGCACGAGTTGTGGAAGGGAGCAGGAACAGCGCGAAGAAGCGCAACGTGAAGTGTGATGGGGGAACGGGATTTGGACTTATAGGAGATTCAGGCGCAACATACCTTGCAGGCAGGACTATCTGACTTGTTGATCCGAGTCTCACAACCGACGATGCGACACGCGGGTCTGTTGACTTATCTGGCTGCAACGCGCCGAAAAGAGGTCGAAAGGAGGCAAAAATCGCAGTAGTATCGAGGCAATGTCCAGAAGAACACCGACGAGAATTTTACTTGATGTTCGCGCACCCGCTTGTTGTACTGTCGACGGGGCAGATCGAGGTCAATGGGGGGTCGAAAGTCAGCAGACCGAACGAAACGTGATTGACGGGGCGTCAGGATCACGAGCTTCGAGTTGACGAACGAGAATCCAAAGAACCTGGGATGGTTGAATGCAGATTGAGAAGAAGAGTCGCAAGATGAGACACGCAGGACACCCTCTTGACGGTCAAGATGGATGGTCGACGATGATATCTTGAGGGGATTGAAAGAGGTTTTCACATGACGGGGTGTCAGGTGGTGTAGAGACCGAAGTCCGTCTGAATCGGCTAGACGCGAAGGGGAATAGCGCATTTCGGCTAATCATGGTCAGACAGCCGGCATTGGAGGAGGCTGGAAGCTTCACAAACTTGAGCATTTTATGAAGGACAATGGATCTGAGGGGGACTGAGTAGTCTCAGCGCAATAAGATGTGAGCTTGTCCTCAAGTGTTATAGTCCTTGGTTATGGAATAGTGTTGCGGCTCTTCGGCTTTCAACTTTGTGGATTTCATCGTCGGCAGAGCGTACTTGCGCCACTGGTTTCTATAGACAGCAGTTGGACATGACACCTCCATCTTGATGCAAGAGGATAAAGTACTTTACATGTGAAGAGAGGATGGTAATGAGAAGGGGTTCCCTTTGGCTTGACTCTATGCTGTTTAGTAAAATAAGACAATCTCCAATATATGCTCAATGGATTGTTGTCAACGCTCTTAATCGGAGCTATGTTGTTTTCGTGCATCAAGTTATCCTCTCTCTCGAGGTCTCCAGAGCGATTTTCCCCCCCACACTATTTACTCCTTGCCAAGGAAATAAGTATCACGAGCATGAAACTCTCTTGGATCAACCCTGAATTTGCGTTGCATCGTCCACCAATAAGAAAGCTTTCTCGATTTCAGCACCTGACTTTGTCGCCCACCGTATCACTATCGCGATAGTCGGATTTAAGCTTCACAACGACATACACCATTCACTCGACTGATATTGAAACCCACTGCCAGCACAGCAATTATTGAATTTCATCCTCGGACTTGGATACCCTAAGATCAGTTCGAAGACTAATATTAAGGATCAAACCTTCGAGTCATTTCGATTACTATATCGAATTCAACAGCTACCCTGAGCTATTCTCCAAGCTGCTGCATGACAGCACTTCCCACCGCAACATGGCAGACCACATCACCTCAAAGCTGAACCCGGATACTCACCTCATTCTTGTATGTTCCCCATTCTCCGTTCGAAATCTACAGCTAACAGTCTGCAGGATCAACCCCTCCTCCGCCTCCCCTTCGAGCTCCTCCGCAAGAACTTCAAACTCGCCCATTTCAACGTCGAGAAAGACTCGCTCGCGATCAAGACCAGCCTGAAGGAGACTGCCAATTCATCACAGTCATCCTCTTCTCCAGACGAAGTCCTGAAGAATGTCGACTCTATGCTTGCCAAAATGCGGGGTTTGAAACGCAAACTGACAGCATGTTCGGAAGAAGAGGCGAGACTACACCAGCAGTCACAAAGCAGGATACGACATTTGGGAGAATTGTATACTATGCAGAGTCTCGATGATGTAAAGTACGAGGAATGGTCAAGGACAAGATTGGACCGGCTGCTGGTAGACTATCTGCTGCGGAATGGCTACAAGGAGAGTGCGGGGGCATTGGCAACAGAGAAGGGTATTGAGGACCTTGTGGATGTTGAAACATTCGTGCAGATGAGCAGAATACGAGAGTCATTACAGAATGGCAGAGTCACAGAAGCTTTGGCGTGGTGTAATGACAACAAGAAAGAGTTAAGGAAGATGGACGTATGTATATTTTCTCTCATACCACTGCACGGCATACTGATTTGACTGTAGAGTAACCTCGAATTCATGCTCCGATTCCAACAATACATTGAACTCGTACGAACACAAGACCAATCCAAACTCCTCGAATCAATAGCCCACGCAAAGAGATATCTCCTCCCATTCAAAGATACTTATCCCAAGGAAGTCCAACAAGCATGTGGTCTTCTCGCCTTCCCGCCAGGAACCCATGCAGACGTTTACAGCGTATATTCACTCATTCTTGTTTGATATACCTCTCACTAACAGGAACCAGGAACTCTACAGTCCGTCACGCTGGACAACCCTCTCGACTCTATTTATGCAAACTCACAACTCCCTTCTATCCCTCCCATCCGTTCCACTCCTTCACATCGCCTTATCAGCCGGTCTATCTGCCCTCAAAACTCCCTCGTGCCACTCATCCCATAACAACAATACATCAATATCACCGACTTCTTCGTCTTCTCTCACCACCTCTGTCTGTCCAATCTGCAGCACAGAACTTAATCTCCTTGCACGCAACGTTCCATACGCACACCATACAAAGAGCCATGTGGAAAGTGACTTAGTGTTGCTGCCGAATGGATGTGTGTACGGGTTGCAGAGGTTGGAAGAGTATAGTCGGAAAGCGGGATTGGAGGCTGGATTTGTGAAGGACCTGAGAGGTGGGGAGATGTTTGAGGTTGGAACTCTTAAGAAAGTCTACATCTCATAGAGAAAGAACGTTGCTAGGGCATGGTATTCATAAGCTTCAGAACCACCGGTGTATTCTCTGTTCCATTGCCCGATTTTTTCATATGACGAATCTCTCTCGCCTGTCTCAGGAGTCCTACGCGCAGACAACCACGGCTAAGCCTATTCTGTAAAGCTTATACGCATCTGGAAGACCCCCATCTCTCTTCCTCGGCCAAGGTGCCCAGGTAGATGTAAATCGAGGCTGTGGCTGAAGCTAACTCCACGTGATGCGCCTCATGCAGTTGTCATTGGCAGGACATCAGCGAATTATATCGCTCCTTCCGCAACTACTTAAACCTCGTCGACCTGGAGCCTCACGATGTTCTTCGAAACAAAACATTACCATAATCCAGCCTCACTTCTATGTGGACATTCCGTCGTTGGACTAAATTCTTTTGGACTGACGCAATGTCCGTAAACACAATAATTACCGCCGCTTGTACGGCTGGCAAGACTGCCCTTAGTTCTGCGACCAGCCTCGTATCTCTCATCGAGAGTATTGAGGCTGAGAGCACAGTAGTTGAAAAAATTCATTAAGAAGTCGGATCTTTTATCACCACCTTGACAGCAGTCAACGCTTCCCTTCAGTCCATCTCCAGCAGCGAGCCAGACATGTTCGCCGCCAGTGACATGAGGTTCTGGTCAACCGTCGGAGACGTTATCAAGAATTCTTGCGAAACGATCAAGGAACTACACAATTTCTGCGCATGTTTCAAGGCCATCGCTAACAAGGACTCGAATGTGTCTCAAAAGCCTCTGCAAGCATTCTGGCTTGATGCCACGGCCGAGAAGCTCAAAAAGTTGAGAGACCAGACATACGCACATCACAGCAGTCTTTTTCTCATTCTGCAGACTATGAACATGTATGTAATGACAATCTGGTTAGAACAATTAGAAGTCGCTGATCAATAGATAGATGTCTCTGTTCTCCAGCACCAGATGTAATCATCAATGACCTTAACAGAAAGATAGACCTTTTAGTTCAGCTGATTACTCAAACCTCTTCAGCACATAGATCTGACATCGAGGGTGATGATCAAAATTCATTGCACTCACACGCTAACACGGAGCTCATCGACGCCGTGAACAATGTAGCAAAAGCCGCCAAGCTCATCCAGTCACAAAGCCACACCAGCCACCCACCCAGTCAGACCTTTGATCATGTCGAATCGTGGAGGCAACAACTGCGAGCTGCTGCGAACGAAGCCAGCTCGCAAGCCTCGACAACAAGTACTGCTCATCCAAGTCAGCGAACTCCACCAAGCTCCCTGGAAACATCAAGCGAGACAACCGAGACTCCTGCTCATGACGAGTCAGACAGCGAAGACGAGCTAGAACTCGAAGTGCTTGAGCAATGTCTTCAAGAAGCTAATGCTGCACTCAAGAAATCCCGACACGAGGACGCTGCATTATTCTATCGAGAAGCCTTTTCAATCGCAGAATCATTGTCTCCCAAGAAGCAAGAGCGATTCGGATTGAGCGACGTTCGTCTCAGAACTGCGGTCTGCTGTTTCTTCGAGAATAACTTCAAAGAAGCAGAAAAGATTGCGACTGAAGTGAAGAATCGAGAGACTATCAGTCCTACGAATGCAGATCGAATCCGAAAACTTGATGCAACACAGCTTCTAGCAGAGATCTACCTATGCAGCGGAAAGTATCGGGAAGCAGAAAAAGAATGCCGTGCTGCGTGGAAAGGTCGCTACAAAGCACTCGGCAAACAGGATCTGTCCTGCTTTGTCTCCTTAAGTCTCTTATCCTTGATCATGGAGATGCAAGGGAACTATGCTCGAGCCATAACCTACAAGAACATGATTCCCTCGAACATCAACGATGCCACCGTCCGAGCTCGCCGTGATCGAGTCATCGAAAGTGCAGCTGGAGGTCCAGCAATCATGCACAGCAAGAATATTGCCAAGGTGAAGAACATCACCCCTGAAGCTAGGGCAAAAGGCATCGATGAATTCTTCAACAAATTCGTTCGGAACAGCGACGACTCTAGTGTGGGAAGATTACTCTACGACGCATGCGGACAGGGACTAGCCAATTTAGTCCACCTACTCCTGACTGGCTGGAGTCCAAGATTCGAGCTCTACATGCCAGGACACCAAGGCAAAAGCACTGTAACAACCAAAGACATTGCAGCTGTCTACGGCCCGTTCCAAGAAACCGTCCTCCATGCAGCCATCCAAGGAGGTAATGTTGCAGTCTTCAAACTCTTACTAGAAGCCGGAGCAGACCTCAAAACCACAGAAGGACGAGAAATATTCCGTGGACTAATCAAGTCGAAAGATTCAGCTCTCATTGATCATATCATGGGCTCGAAGGATTCTCAACTCATTGATTATATGATTGGAAAGTTAGGGCCAGATTTCACTGCTCTGAAGGATCCTAGAGGGAGGAATTTGGCGGCAATTGCGAGGGATACGACGGGTGGGTGGGAGTGGTTGAATGAGCGGATTGATAACTGGTATTCCTCGAGGAATAGAACAAGGCCTGCTTGGCAGTAGTGGCGCATGCTTTTTGGTCTTTGTGGTGATTGAGATTTGGATGTTGTGATGATCAATGAAATTTGTTTTCTATGAATTGGATATGTACTCTGCTTGTCAAAGTCTGTCAATGTTTTGTTTGATCTCTTTCATGCAATGTCCGAAAACCACGCAGGTTGCCAATCCCACCGACTATCGACAAACGACAACTCGGGAAGCTTGAAAGTGTGTGAACTTGTTGCTATCTTCAAGCCCTTATCCTTTGTTTCTCGTGCAGCTAGTTTGTGTTATTCTTTCCGAGAGGGATCGGTGGTGTATATATAGTTCGATTGGAGGAGGTGAAATTTGGATTCGAGGGCCGGGGTTGTTGGGTGAATGTGGAAAGACTAAAAGTTGGGTGAATTTGTCAGGGTGTGAAAGAGGGGAAAGTTGAGTGAATGTTTCAGGGAAGGTAAAGTCGCGTGAATGTATTGAATTGTCGAAGTGTGTTAAGTCGTGTGAATATTTCAGACGTCAAGGAAAGGTAAAGTAGTGTGAATATGTAGAAAATTACTCCGGTATTGCTTCATTATCATTCAATTCACCAACCATGACAGCAAAAGGAAGATTCCAGTCTGCGTAGAGGAAGTATAAAAACACGTCTTCTTTAGCCGTGAAAAGACAAGCAACTGCAAGGCAGATCTGAAGGGAAAGGAACGGGTTCCATGTCACCGGAAGTTCTGTGTTGCTATGGTGGTGCTCCGGGGGAGAGTGGGGTCTAAATCTGGAACTTTTGGAGACGTCATAGGTTTATCGTGGAAGGCGTAGTATGAGAGGGCCCAGAAAGTTGGCAAGAAAGAAAATGTTGACAAGGAGGAAGAGATTGGCAACAATAAAAAGTCTTACCGTCTTGATTTCGATTGAGGAGCATGAGGGCAACAAGTTTTGAGGAACTGTGCAGGTGTCCCGGCTCATGGCCGGATGACCACCGGGACCATCCTGTATTGGGATCATTGAACTCGAGAAATCTACAGTATATGGTTCTTTCATGCCGTCGTTATATAGAAGATAAGTGTCCCGGTGAAGATCGTTGTAAGGTATTGTCATAGTGAATCGTACTCGCAGCCCTCTACCTCGACTGGAATTCACCTTCGTGTACTTGGGCAAGATATATCCTAACCAAACATCCCTAGCGCCTCTCTCGCACTAGTCCCACTCCAGACAACCCTCTATATAAAGTTAAATAAGCAAATATTTACCATGTAGTCCGGAAAACCCAAGGTTATCTAATATATTGTTAGCTCAGTTGACAGATTTCCAGATGGACTTATAGCCTCTTCAAAACTAGCACTGGCTGCTCGTTTGGAAGAACCATCGGTTTCGATCGATGGTTCTGAGTTTTTGTGTTTTTGGCATTTTTGGACTTGGTAAAACCCTCATACGCTAACCCAAGTACGCGTGAGGTATTCGTCGGTTCTTCAAGGTTTTAAGCATGAGGTCGACTCGCTATCGCGAGTCGGTACCAACAACATGGGATACCACTAACTTTAGATACCGGCACAATTTTAGCGCTAAAAAGTGTAGAAAAAATGTACTTCCTACTGTGAAGATTTTTGGCGGTATCTCAGGTTGCTAGTATTTCATGTTGGTGGTACGGACGTGTTTTCAAACAAGTCAGCCCAGCTCTGGATTAGCCGACGGGTAATCCAGAAAGCTGATGAGAAGCAAATGGCTTTGAAAGTGAATTTATTGTTTGTAGGCGCCCTACGCCCCAGTTACTCTACACCCTGGTATCTCGAAAGAAAAGAGAAGGAGAAGCTCAATCTTCCTCCCTCAGCAGCAGCAGTAAACCCAATTCATGCATCCATAAACCCCCAAAACCAACGAAGAAAATCAACCCCTCACTTCCTCGCCTTCGTAATCTCAAAAGCCTTCAACAAGCCTCCCACCGTCGCATTCACATTCTCCGTAATAACGCACATCTTGCTGTAGCTGCCCTCCTTGCCCACCATCACCAGCGCCAAGTACTTATTAACCTCCCGCAGCATAATGGGTCTCCTACCATCGCTCAACACGATACAGCTCTCGGCATCCTTGCACGCAACCTGATCCTCCAATTTATGGTTCCAGGGTGGTCCCTCCAGAGACTCGATATACTCCTTTGGACGAGCCCAGCCGTAGATCTCGGAGATGTCGACGATGACGTCGATGTAATCGGAGCAGATCTCGTAGGACGGCATATCGACAGGGGAGGAATCGGTGGCGATGTAGATCTTGGAGAGGACGTCGAAGAGGTAAGCTTTTTCGAAACCGGAGGCACGGCATAGGTTGTTGAGTAGGGCTTCGAGGGTGGGTAGGTGAGGGATGAGCTTTTGGATGACTTTGGAGAAGGCTTCGAAGATGGAGTGGTCGTAGATGGATGTTAGATGGAAATTGATGGGTGCATTCTCTACGCCGTTGTCGGAGAGCTCGTCCTGGATTCGTTGCATGATGTCTCGTTGGATGTCGAGTCTGAAATCATCGGAGAGGCCGTCGACTTTGTGGATGAAAACTTCGACGTTGACGTTGGGGTAGTTGGGCTGAAGGTTCAGGACGGTGAAGTTGAGACGGTTAACGGCTTCGAGGTAATCGTCTTGGGCGTCGATGACCCAGATCAAGGCACCAATCTCTCCGAATATGGCATCGAGGTTGAAGGTGGGGTCCATGAAGTCAATTTGGCCGGGGAAGTCCCAGACTTGGAAATCCATAAAGGAGCTGTAACCACCCATAAGCATGTTATATATATTTTCATTCTTGGGTACCCACTGCATAGAATCCTTCTGGACTCTTGCGGTTGACTCGAGGAAGAGAGTTTCATTGGGAGGCATCTTATGAAAGACGACGCTGGAGATCGAGGACTTTCCGCTTCTGCTTCAAATCAGCAACACTGAAAACATCACGAGGAGCAGGCACTCACCGTCGTTGACCCATCAATAGCAATCTCGGCTTTCCCTTCGCAGCGGGACCGGGAGCAGGAGCCGGCGCGGTAGCAGCATCTTTCTTCTGAGCAATAGCTCTGTTCTGTTCGTAAACACGTTCAAGACTTAGCGATGCTGTACTAATATGACGAACAGGACCTTGACGCGCGGGACCATTGTAGGTGCCATCCTGCTTGGATCTCCTACGACCGTTCTGAAGCAAATTCATGACGAGCAAGCAAGTAATTCGAGGAGTTGTGGAAATGATATGTGGCGTGCAAATACGCAGCTTGCGTGTGACGAGAAGCCGCAATTCAAATTCCCACGTGCTGTTTGAAAGTGAGGACTTTTCGCGATGTCTTCAAGCGACGACGTAATCAGCCGACACCTCCTCTCAGCACTTTGGTACAAGAAATGCAGCACGAGTAATCTCGTTTCAAGTTGTTTGCACAACGCTCACCGGTCCATAGTCTCGGCTAGATACCGATCCCGTGGACTCGGTTCAAGATACATGATCTCGGTCAAACACGGCAACGCGCAGGACAATATTTTAAATAACATGGATCTCTCGAATCAGACTGATACTTATCAGACAATATATATCCTTTTCCATGGACATGCTTAGCAAACACAACGCTTTCGCGCTGACGTCTGAGGTGAGTCAGCGTCGGGAGGCAAAGGTTGGTGCCGCAGCCTCTAGCAAGGGATATACATCTCAGCTGTTCGTGATCCGCATCAGCAAGCCAATGATTGCTGGGAACAGACTCTGGTGTCTCTATGCAAGCATTCAAATACCAAATGAATGAGGTCAATTTTGAGTTGGATCTCTTGTTTTCAGCCAGTAGTAGATGCTGTGCACCACCGGCTCGAGCCGCTTCAGATCTGTGGAATGCGAGAGAATCCCGACCGAGGAACAGATGCCGACTGAGACCTGATACCGGAAGGGATGTATACGGATGACAGAAAGACGTCGAGTACGTTTGAAATTAGAGATCTCGTACCTCCATGACGGCCGTCGAGGTGCCACAAGGCTGATGCTCGTGATGACTCGGTTCTCTTTCTGACTCTATCGGCGAGATTAGTAGATCGTTCTGCGTTCCTCGAAGCCATCATGGTACTTGCCTGTTGTTTGATTGTTTGCTTTACCGGCTGGAGGCAGCAGTCAGCTCTGTCACTCTTGTTTGTAATCACGCTTCAGGAGGCTGGGATGACAGGTCACATACTCAACTGTTCTCAATGCCAAGGACGATCCGTGAAATCGTGTTCAGCTCCGTCGAAGGCTCCCAACGATAGCAAGTTGTCTTGATTGTATGTTGTGTGGAGAAGTATGGTTGGCGCAAGGAGGTTGGCAAGATTTTTTCGTGAGATGAAGTTGAGGTCTAATTTGCATTGATGCCCCGCGAACTTTTGCGGGGGGATGATGTCGCCGGGCACTAGTGGCTCATAGTGGCTCGGCGTGTCGTTGCGGCTGAATTTAGGGGTCGCTCGCTAGAAAAAGGGGTTGGACCTTGGAGGTGAATTGTGAATCCACAAGCGATTCTTTTGAACACAGTTTGCTGTTCAAGCTTCATGGGATTAAAGCAGCAGATTGTATGGGAAGGACAGACGGGAAGCTACTCTACTTTGTCTCGACTTCTGTCTCAGTCTCCTTATGGCAACAGTGGTGCGATTCTATTTTGGTACTACAGTCTGTGGGATGACAATGACGGTGAGATACAGCGGGAGGCGTACTCGGAACATTACGCACAAACACTGCATAATCCAGTCGTAGGTGGGAGATCAGAGTCAGACACCACTCATTTCACGAAAGCGGATATTGCTGTTGCTGTGGATAGCTAGTAGATTCTCTATCGTACTGACATATTGCATGCCGTCAAACCCACCAATTGAGCACTAATTTAGATACTCCAGTATCCAAGCCGTAACTTGTGATGTGTTTTCGCCGTAACGCCATGCTGTTTTTTATACAATTCTCCACAAAGGATCTGGTATCCACAATCCACTGAGTTCCAATCCGGATTACTTGCCAAATATGGTGGCCATAAAGCTCTTCCTTCGTCCAATTCTTTGTGCTTTCTCAGCTCGCTTATCCATTGTGCTTTTCTCTGATGGCATGGCTGGCATAGGAGGATTTTGTTCGTAAGTAGATGGAAGTGAGACCATTGATTCGTTGTGGGTGGGTAGTTGACTGGAAGTTTTGATGCCTCGCAGAGACTTCATGCTTTGTCTGCGCTTGCTGTTAGTGCCACGGGATAAGCTTCGCTGAAGGCTCGAGTTGTGATCCGCCGTCGCTTTCTCGAGTTCCTCGATCTCCCCAGCAATCGTCTTGCCATCCACTGCCAAATTTTCCTCTGGCGTGGCAACGAACTTGATAACACCACGCTTAGACTCGACACCTAAGCTTTCTTCCATGTGTTTCGCTAGCAGAGCTGCATTACGCTTATTCGTGACAGGTTGTAGTTGTGAGGTCAAGGCAGTGATGGTCAGAGTGTAGGCAGGATCGAAATTTCCACCGTATAGCATGCAGCATGAATGTGACAAGGAGACAATGATTGAGTTTTCGGGACGTTGAAAGCGAGTTGAGAGGAAGGAGGAGAGGTCGGTGATAATAGTGAATTCATCTTGAATCTAGCAAAGGTTAATAGAGGGTGCAGAGACACAGAACGGAGATTCTCACAATGACATTGGTCTTAAGATCTGCGATGATCGGAGATTCCTTCAGAACTCGTTCACGAGCAGAAGCAATTGGTTCTCGATTTGCAAACACCTCTCCGTAATATTGACTCTTGCGTTTCGCCAGCGTCTTTTGTTCTGCAGTCTTGGTATTCGAGAATATGGCTTGATCACCTGGAGAACCGCGAGTCAGATCTCTGGTAATGCGACGGGCTTCCTTCGACATGCTTGAAAATGTAGCGGGACTGCTGGACCTCGGAGTTGTTTCGCGCATCTTGGTAAGATCGATTTCGGCTGGTGGAGAGGGTGGCATTCGAATTTGAGAGACGAGGGCTGACGTTCGTCGTGTGTATTGCTCTTTTTCTGGAGACGAAGGAATTGAATCTTCGGGATCGTATCTTAGTGAGGTCGCGTCGATTGTTCGTATCGAACCAGGCATTTCAATCGTAGTCGTCAAGCTTTCGTTGAAGGATGGCAAAAAGAAACAGTGTTGTGCAAGTGAGACAATTGTATCGAATCGGCACTGTAGCAAACGCCTGTTGAGGATATCCGCAATGCTGAATTATCTGTAGGATTAGCAAACAAGGAATGGGACAAGTATGATTGCGAAACTGGATGCCAGAGTAATTGAAAAGTGATCATGAATGTTCAGAAATGTCTGAGCACATTGGGGCGTGGACGTCGAGATATACCGTACCTATTTTAAACTTTGAACCAGAACACGATGCAGAAGCCACGATGAACACATGCGGTAAAGTCGTCTTTCAGCTCCCCTTCACAGAGTTCCGATGGGGAAATTTGAGGATTATCGACGCACGAGACTCGCAGACTATCAAGACTTAGCCCAATGGCAAGCTCGAGTCCAGAATTGAGGCGGCAAGACAACTGGCGCTGTTGATCCCAAGCCACCAAGAGAGACTCGCGGCTGAGCCCACTGCTTGTGACGGAGCGACTTCAGGAGTATGTTTCGGTCTTATCTCAAGGAACATGAGGAATGATCAGAGCTTCGTTGGCGCAAGGAGATTGAAACACATCGTTCACGACGGTCGGTTTCCCGCATCGTTATTGACCGGTGGTGGAACACCGGCGGGCGTTGGCATATTCCGGAGGCGCGCAAAACCAACCATTCTTCCTGTTCATCTTGGCGGATGAGCACCAATACTATCGACGGTAACGGTGATGATGATGCTGTGGTGTTGAGGGCAGACTTTCATGCTGGTGACGAAAGACTGAATGCTGACTAAGCACTTCCTTATTTCGCACAACAAACATCCTTCAAAGCAAAAATTTCTGCCTCTCAAGCATAACAAGGTCAAGTGATAAATATGCTCTCTGGTAGGTGAAGTCTCTTAATAATTTGAATTTGTTCTTACTTTTAGTCACTCAAGCGTTGTATTCGAAGCTTCATCTACACAAACAAAGTCACCGTCTGATAGGTCGATGCTTCGTCCTTTCTCAAGGTTTGGCTCAAGAGAGGAACGGAGGTGTAAGGGTTTGCGCCGTCATCTACCGTTCCACCAGTACTTGTCCAGACCGGCCTATCTTCTCCTTTCAAGTCTACGATACTACCGAAAACTCAGCCGATCATGCCCACCTAGATGCTGTTGCGACTAAAATTCACGAAGACACTTACGAGGAACGAGACTTTTATGGTGGCATGTTCTCCGACAGACTGGACTTCTATGGTCTTGCCATGCCTTCCGATACTACCCAAGAAGAGAGGGTTCAGAAGTGCATTGAACATCAGAAGGCTGAGATCGCGGCTCGCAATGCGACGGGCAAGACCGATTACTACATTCCTGGAACTTTCGACCAAAGAGACTATCAACGACAGTTCGTCATCATCGACAAGACGGACCCACAATGGGAACAAGGCGAAGGAGGCTTTCTAAAGGTTCGATATGACTTGTTGCATGGAGAGCGCGAGGAGGATGATCAGTGCCCTGAGATAAGTTGCCGAAGAGCTGATGGCATCAACGCCTTGGGGAAGTGGTTGTACGAGTCAAAATCTATCGGCCAATGGTTCTATGAAACATACGTTGGAGGGGGACTCATTCAGGAAGAGATGCCTAGAGCCAGGCGAAGCAGGAAGTGAAATGGCTATCAGAGTCTCTAAGGCTCTCTCTCATTGCGGTGCGACGCGAAGCTGCTGCATCAAATATTTAGTACAAAATGCATGGTATTTCCAAATCACCCAATGTCTTCTGGTTGCTTTTGGATGTGAATAGAATTCTTTTCGGGACTGAAGGACAAGGTAGGATTTGCGAGGGCTCTATATATAATGGGCTTAGGTTGGGCCAGGGAAACGTCCACCCCGAGTTTCCACCGGACTTAATAGCGTGCATTATGTTCGAACCACGTATTTGGGCTACCCAATCTCTTTCAGACTGAGTACTTCCATGATCAAGCTTGCCGATATATTTGTTCTTTGTGTCCTGGTATGTGCCTATCTAGAAGAATTCAAACTAGGGCATTACCTATGGAAAACACCAGAGCCCCTTCAATAATGACATCCACCAAATGATATGTAAGCCCCGCTTGGAGCTTTTCAACGACCTCGGCTTTGATGTACCAGTCATCCCCAATTCTCCCTTCGACTGATCCGGTTCTGACTTCGGGTCTGAACTCAGTCAATCTCTGCCTGATTTTCCCCTGCAATGCTTTTTCATTGTTGGCTTCTACATAGTCCACCGTAGGAGGACCACCTTGGGACACAGCTAGCTCCAGAACAACCGACTTAGATGTTCTCATTGATCTGGCAAGATAAATCATAGCTATTCCATAAACAAGTTCGAGGACCCGTCCAGTCCCATCGCCAATCATGCGACCGACATATGCATCGCGTATCGGAACACTTGTCGGATTTGTTTCTCGTGACTCGAACACGCCATCTATGAAAAGGCCCGGGTAGAAGTCTATACGTGCATAAGGTTGTAACCCGGGTGGCGTAACCTGCAATAGAATCGTGGTCGGACCTCTATGCAATAATGGCTTCTCATTTTGGCGGATGAAAATGGTTTTCCGAATGCCACTGCCTGAACGAGCGTTCCGCAACGGGAAAAATTCGTGGCTTGAGGCTCGTGAGTATTCTTCGCCGTCGAGAGAAAATCGAACCAACTTAATGGCAAGGGGTTCAAGTTTGCCTTCTACTGCACAGCAAAGAGGAGCCAGGAACTCATGCTCGTCCGCCCAATTCGAATGCGAACCCACCCAATCATTTATCAGCTGAAGCATTGATGCGGTTGAGGGTTTAATTGGGAGAAGAGTGAATTCGATCTGCAGGCCCTTGTTGGTCATCGAGTATGGTGCTCCTCTCGATTTGGGAAGCAGTTCAATGTTTCCTGAATGTTTGAACGCGCGGCAAGATCGTGCAAGCAAACCGCTCACATTTCGAGGAACAAATTGAGTCCAAGCAAAAATCGACTCGTCGTCCGATATTCTCATAATTTCTATTTGCAGTCGAATGAATGCCGCGTCACCTTCTCCATAAAGAAGTGGCATGTTGACTCCGAACAATCCCATCAAACAATATGCCATGTCCTCAGATCTCAACGTTTCTCGATTGGAAGCCCATGACATCTTTTGGGCGATACTGGCTCTCCTGAAATGGAACAGATGCTTGATTCCAGTAATTGAGGATATGACGGTTTGTAGGCTGTCCTTTGTTCCAATCTCGAACCAGTTGTGATCGAAGAAGGTGACTTGTTGCGGGGCTAGAAGTTCTTGAAGTGTCCAACCCCTTGTGAACCATTTACTTTTCCGGATATCTGATTCCATAGGCTCGGGGTTTTGTAATGATGGTACAGAATAGACATCAGACAGGTAAGCGTAACAGAGCTGTGAATTTTGATACCACTGAAACATGGAATTGATTGCTTCAGAAAGCTCAGCACTACTGGTTTTATCAATACAGCAGGAATCGATCCACTGGATAAGTTTAGATGGACCACGAGACTATTGTTTGCGATGCTTACGACAAATTCATAACCGTCTTCTTTCGCCCTCTTGCAGCAGCCTATAAGTTTTTCCGAACTAGGATTCTCGAAAACCTTCCCATTTTGAAGATCTTGAAAGGTAACTTCGGAATCGCCCCAACGGTGCGAAAGGATCGCATACGGAGGAATTTTGGCGCCAAAGAATTCAGAAAGCTTGAGAGATGTGGTGTGGAGAAGACGCATCTTTATCGCTCAGACCCAAACTACTTAGCAAGACTCGGTACGTGAGAGAGGCCGTGATACTTCAAGGGCTTGACATTTGTGTATCTGAACGAAGAGAGGATAAAAAGAAAATCTGATCAGATGAAAAGCTGTTGCATTTGAAGGAATCTTTCAGCTCGGCTACGTCCTCCAATGCGATTGCCCAGGTGGAATCCGAATGCCTCTCAGTTGCAAGGAACATTCTTCGACGAAAGCATTCTACAGATGCCCGAACATTCAAATCGTGAACCTATTCCGAAACTCTAGGCTTCTAGAATTCTGGAAAGTACCTTCGTACTGGTGGGTGAATTGTCAGCATTAAAGAGCTAGAACTCGTGAAGAGATTATCGCTTAGTAAGCCAAGGCTAAGCCACTTTGACTTGCATCATCGCTGTTGGACCTTATTTATTCTAAGTCACAAACGGTTCTTCGAAACTATTCTACGAATCTGCGAAATCTTCGCACCTAGCATCTTGTGCGATTCTGCTATCTTATTGCGACAATATGGAAGAAATCAAATCACTCTCGCAGTTCAACAAACTGAAAGCAAGCAGCTCCCTCTTGATAATCGACTTCTACGCAACGTGGTGCGGACCATGCAAAGCCATTTCACCCGTCTTCGAGAAGCTGGCGAAGCAGCACGAATCCTCAACCTCCATAAAGTTTGCAAAGGTCGACGTTGATAAAGCGAAAGATGTTGCTCAGACCTGCGGGATCACAGCGATGCCGACCTTCCAATTCTTCAAGGCAGGCAGCAAGGCAGATGAGGTCAAAGGTGCCGATGTCAACCAGCTACAAACAAAGATCGGATACTATACTGCTGCTGTTGCAAAGGAAGGCTCTGGTCAAGGAACGAAGGCAAGCGCTTCGACTGGCGCTACAAGTGGGCCCGTCAGTCTTCGATCGTTGATCGATATTAGCACGTCTAGGCTTCTTAATACCTCCAACCTAAGTTCCGTGAGGAACATTGCAAGCCCACCTCCGGCTGGCTATGCAATAGCCTCCGCAACTGGTACAGCGCAGTGCCTCATCCATCTCTCCTTCACACAAGCTGTCACCCCCAGTCAGATCAAGATCACCGTGGCCAATGACTCCTTGTCCAACGGCCCGTCAAGGATCCAAGTCGGAACAAATGTCCCTGTTCGCGTAACCAAATCCCCTGATGGCGTAGAGTCCAACGACCTAGCTATGGAGTCCATATCCAAAGCAGAGAACACGCAAGCATTCAACATCTATTCAGACGAGTATACCAATGGTACGACTGAACTGAAGCTCAAGGCATCGAAATTCAAGTCCGTGAAGAGTTTGACGATCCGAATCGATGCAAACATCAGTGGGGAGGCTAAAACAATCACAAAGGTGAAGGAAATGGACATCATCAGTAGCAAGGCTTGATATGGAGAGCAAGCGAGAAAGAAAACAGCCTATGAATGTCTTTGTTTTGAACTTGCGTGGCTTACTTCTTCAATACCCAGTCCAAGCATTGCTGGCTGTCTCCGAAATCCTTTATCACTCTCCTCAAGTCTCAAAGCAACCTCATAAGATAGCCATCAGTATGGTGACGTCGATCCTTCTACTTCCGTTGGTTACACGTTTAGATCCGCTTATATTCGTTGTATCGAACATCTTGGTAAGCACTTTGTATGAAACGCAGGAGTCACGTGTGGTGCATTTTCTGGAAAAACTGAACATGCGTCAATATAGCCTAGTATGGCTTTTCGTACCTCCGGTCCCCTATCTTTTCCTTTTGGGAAGTCCCATACGTCCACATATTGGCTTTCTTCCACGTTGATCGATAAATCCCCGCAGTTAAGGTTAAATTCTAGGATCTCCCCAACACCATCATAAGATCCGCCCGCGAAACTTGAGCATCCGAACGTTACATATCAGTATATTGTTTCTGCTAAACAATTTCATCTATTGTACAGAAGTCAAGCTTTTTGCTTCATCATGGGGTCGGACAACCGGCACGGGTGCATCTGATATATTTTGTTTTCAGCCTGAGATTCTCCGTGAAGACCGTGGTTGAAAGAATGTATATAATGTGAAGCTGGACCCCAAGAAGTACATCCCCCACGCTCCACCTTCAGACGCCACAATCTCAAGGACGATATCGATTTCTTAATAGATCTCCGCCATGCGTTTCTTCTCGACTCTGGCAGCATCGGCTGCTTTTGCAAGCCTTGTCAGTGCCGATGCTCTCGTCGCCGCAGCTGGTCCCTTAGTTCAGGTCTCAGCTTTCAATGCTGGACCCACCAAGGCTGGAATGTATGTCTATGTGCCAAGCAAGAAGTTGGATCCAGCTCCTATCATCGTCGCCATTCATTACTGCACTGGTACTGCACAGAAGTACTTCAGCGGTTCCAACTACGCAAGTCTTGCCGATACTCATGGCTTCATTGTCATCTATCCTAATGCCCCATCCTCAGGAGGCTGCTGGGATGTAGCATCTACTGCTTCACTCACTCACGACAAGGGTGGCGACAGTGAGACAATCGTCAACATGGTCAAATATGCCGTCACCAACTATGGTGGCGATGCCGACAAAGTGTATGCCACTGGGTCCAGCTCAGGTGCTATGATGACAAACGTTCTTGCTGGTGCTTACCCAGATGTGTTCAAGGCTGGATCAGTCTACTCTGGTGTTCCAGATGGATGCTTCTACGTTGCTGGTGCCACCGCAGGACAGGCCACCCCAGGCTGGAGCAACTCGTGCGCAAATGGACAGAACATCAAGACAGCCCAAGCATGGGGTGATCTCGTCCGAAGCTACTACCCAGGCTACAACGGCACTTACCCCAAGATGCAAATGTAAGCGACCCCATCCTCATCTATCATTGTGCCATTTACTGACGACCGAATAGCTTCCACGGAACCGCTGATAACACTCTCGATTACCCCAATCTTGCTGAGCAGATGAAGGAATGGTCAAACGTCTTCGGTATCTCATTCGTGAAGAACGTCACCAACAGTCCCCAATCTGGATACACTCAGATGGTTTATGGTGATGGAACCAAGCTTGTTGGTTACTCTGCTCAAGGTGTTGGACACACTGTCCCCATTCACGAGTCTATGGATCTCTCTTGGTTCGGCATTGCTTAGACACTGCTTTGAAAGGGGTCAATGGACGAGTTCTAAGGAGGAAAAATGACATGATGATGTAGATGGAGAGTTGGAATGGTGTATATAGTAGTAGCGTTGTAATTTTGACCTCTGTAAATACATTTCACGAATCAGAAATATTCTTCACTTGGCTGTCATTGAATCTGACCATGCTCTCAGCATCTTACGACTCAATATTCCGAGCAGCCGCAGCAGATATCTCCAAGCCTGAGACTAGCGGGCACGACAGGAGGTGCTGAGGCAAATCCGGGTGTTTTGCATCTGAAAAGAGGGGCAAACGCAAGAACGGGTAGCTCTACGGCTGTATATCCTCAATCAGTATTTCGAAACGTCCGCATCCAGACGTGATTAGATGTTTTCCAGCTTTCTATTTGAAGACCGAAAAAACCGGCAACCAGTCTTTTCGTTTGCGCTGTGCCATTCAACAGCGTGGGACGAGCTCAAAACTTCCGAACTTCATTTTCTCAACTCTGAAACGAACGCCATCTTCAAATATCACATCAACTTACCTTGCTGTGCTCATATAGCATTTTGTATATTTTGTTCTCCAAGTCACGCCCCTTCGGACCTCATCCAAAACGCCACCAGTGCCACCACCTCGCCTAACCTGCTCATCTCTCAACCTCACATCCAGAACGCCCCATCGCCAGAAGAAATATGTAAAAATGGCCTCGGACGACTCAGATTTAGATTCCGCCACGAGCGAGGTAAGGTTTTGATTCACATCTCAATTTGAACAGAGTGGCTTCTTCCCGCGCGTTGTCCGTCGTTCTGGTTGAATCTTGTTCTTGCATTGGATTATCACTCTTTGGATTTCGCTGTATTCTTCCATCCTCTATTGTTGATCGTCTTCTTTTCCTCCAGTCATTCGTTTATATTCAATCACTCTCATTCAATCAGTTGGTGCGAATTCAAGCTCGTCGCGATGAGTGTTTGGGTATGTTGTTGAAATCGCGCATTCTTCTTTTCGTTTCATTTCATCCCATCTATTCAATGAACTGCATGCATATCAATTGCCCAGCAGCAGAACCATACAATACTAATTCAATGTAATAGACAAAACTCAAGTCCACCGTCCTTTCCAAAACCCCCACCAAACCACAGCTCAAAGCTCTCCTCCAACCTAAGCCCATCACGGGCCACACTCCACTCACCTTCCGCTCGTTCCTCTATTCACTGAGCCTGCGACATCTCGTCCTGATCTCGCTACCAATCCTCTCTCTGCTCGGACTTTACGGAACTTGGGCTCTGGGCTTCAGCAATGGCCTCTTTAGTTCCATCATCAGTCTACTCGAGGACCCAGAAGCGAGCTTACCCGGCACCGATGAGCTTCTGCTGAGGAGCTATACGGGCTTGGGATGGGTTGATAACCAATTGGCAGTCTTGGTGACTTTCTTCGCGCCAGTTCTGGATGCTGGGACAGGAAGAGAAGCATTGCTATTGTTTAGTCTGTACGGATTGGGGCAATTTGGCGGGGTCTGGACTTTGATGGTTATGGAAAGTCTGAGGGTAGGAAATCGGGGATTGGCTGTTAGCTTGTGAGTTCTTCATTTACGCCAGGAATGTGAATACTGATGAAAAGCAGCATCGGCACAATAGGATTAATCTTCCAAAACATATCCTACACCATCACAACTCCCCTCTGGCTGATGCTCCACCTCCTCACCTCCCCTGTCTCCAAGCCTTTCCCCGGAACGCACGCCAACGGCGTCCTCTTAATCCAGCCCTGGGACCTCCGCATTCTCCCCTTCTCAATAACAATCTCCTACCTGCTCCCCTCCATCCTGATGGGCCTCCCGTCCCCAGCTTTCTTCTCCACACAGACACACCAACGCTGGATCGCGCTCTGGCAAGCTTTCCCACTCTGGACCGTCCTAACACACTACCTCCTCCGCACCACCATTCAATGGATATCCAACCGCATCTACAAAGTCGACCCAAAAGCTCGCACCCCCGCACCGCAAGGAGCCTCGTACCTCAATAACGCGAAATGGGTATACCAATTCGTCATCGGTCTCTGCATGGCCACGCACCTCCTGGTCCTCCTCATCACGACCCTACCTTCTTGGCTCTTCCCTTCATTCTCGCCCCTACTTACTAGATTGGGAAAAGAGACTTTGAGCAGTGTTTACGTCCCGTATTTTCCCTCGCTTTCGCATGAGCTGTCCAGTTTCGCGGAAGGCGTGCATACGTTTCTGATTTGGGATTTGTATATTGGGTCTACGGCTTTTGTTCTTTGGGCTGTGCTGCTGTATCGGAATGCTACGACGGAGAAGACGATTGTGGATCCGACGAATAGTTTGCCGGTGTACAGAGAGTTGTTGACGGGCGAGAAGCCTAAGAAGAATGGTGGGAATAAGGCGACGAGGAAGTTGGTGTTGAAGATTGCGGGTTGGTGTCTGGCTAGCGGGCCAATTGGTGCTTTGGCTGTGTTGTTGTGGGAGAGGGATGCGATTGTAAGACAGAAGATCAAGCAGGGAATTTGATGCTTGATTATGTATGGTATTTGGTATGCTATCAGTACAGGTTCGTGCTCTTTGTGGGGGTGTAATAAAATCCATAGCCGTTCTGACGATTCGGAGGGCCTGTTTGTGTTCAAGAAGCTTTCCAAGTCCTGCGATTGACCTTTCCTCACGTTTCGTTAGCGTACTCGTCGATAATGATTGTTGAAAAGATGTGTAGCTTGCTGACGGCATCTTGCTGGTGGAGAGTTCGATGGGTATCTCGTGGCGGCGAGTCTCGACCTCCCATCTGAGCTGGGTCGTAGCTGTCAAATTATGTCTTTAGAGATCGCAAGGTGCATCTTACCTGTGTTACCAAGACGATAGTCATAGTGACTGTATCCGAAGAGCTACTCCAGAAGAGTTTAAAAGCGAGGAAAGTCTGACCGTGTGTATTTGATCGCGTTGTAGAGAGTCCAACGGACACTGGAGTTTTTCATGCAAGATGATTTCTTCTATGTTACACCTTTTATGTGAGTCAGGATAGAAGCGGAAGTAATTAAGGAGGCCCTCTTTGTCCCACTGGTAAAACCCGGAGAATGAAACAGGTAAACTCAGGGCACCAAGAGCTGAAGTCAGTTTGAGAACTTTGAGAGAGTCGGGGACGATTTCACATATCGGGCGCGCTCCGCTTCTGTCCCAGCCGAACAAGCACGCCATCTCAATCTCTAAGAATTCCAGGCGATCAAGGAATTCCAAAGACACTACGGATGCTTCCACTCCCCAGTCAACCAAGCCATTCCTGGATTCATTCAGGGTGAATGCGTGATGCGTTGCAGAAGCAGACGTCTGAACCTTAGTCACGATAGTCAAGTTCCTAAGATTGCTATAAAGCTGTACTGTAGCAGAAAGTGGCACCTGCAGTGGTCGATTTGTTAATTTCGACAAAGATGCAGTCAATTCGACACAATTGATCCGCCGTGCAAGGCGGCAATTATCGCTAGGATCGAGGAGAAGGTTGATATGTAGCGACTCTAAGTCTGGTGTCTTCTCAAACAGTGGACCTATAAATCTTGCATGTACGAAACAAACAATCAGGTGAAGCGTCTTGAGCTTGAGAGCTTCGTATTTGCTGAAGTCGAAAGAACCCAACATCGTCCTCTCCCAGACATGGATCCGAGCCCAAGATACACGAGGAAGCGCAAACAATGTAGCGAGTTCAATCGAGTTCCACGAATGGACCGTGTATGAATTGGGTGAATGGAAATGGTAGAGTGACCTTAAGGATTGACTGTCTGCTGATACGTCATCGACATGAATTGTCGAAAAATCCACTTTAGTGAGACATGTCAGACCCGTAATGACACTTTCCATCCGCGGCTGGCTGGGTGCGGGATGTCGAGGACTCTGTATAGATTGAAGGCCTAAACCAGGGGCCAACGATACCACCTGATTCGTGTAGGAAAGCAAGAGGACCATCCATGGGTCTACCAGCCCATGCATCAGCCCCATCAGCCAACGCTCTGGTGACCCTTTGTTAGGATCAGCTCCCCTTCTAGCCAAGTACAGCAAATTACGGTAGTTTATTCTGACTTGGTGAGATTATGTGACTGATGGTGGCCATGTTCCTTTGACTTCGAAGCTGCGGACGTGATTGCCAAGTTCAGGCCTGTCCATGAAAGTCCGTACCAAAAGGTTCAGACGAACAGTGCACGCTCTGAGGTCCAAGGCGATTCGTTTATATTGCAAAGCATCAACATTATTTCTAAAGAACCAACAGACCCTGTTGAGAATGATAGGAAGTGTATGATCGCCAGAAACGCTCTGCAGAACATCCTCTAAAATAGGCTGTATGAGCTCCCTTGGCAAATCCAGAATCGACGCCATTGTGAGTCGCTGTGCTCGATGTTTTGATGGCAATGTTGATTATAGTATGAAATCGTTCGACGGAGAAAATAGAAACAGAGTATTGATGGTTTGAGAGGCGAAGGGAGGCAGGTGTGACTTGAAAACTTTGGCAGACGTTAGTGGCAGTGCTAGTGGCAGCCAAGCAAAAATGGAAAGAGCCATCGATAATTGAGGCGCAGAAGATATCTAGATTATTGACTGATATGTTCACCTTTTCAATCACAAATAGAGTCGTACCCCAGCCGGCTGGAGCTTCGCCAATTGCAAATCGGGCATAAGGGTGGAATTCGCATTCAGAGACTCTTCCTAATCCTCTCCTGCACCTCCAAGAATTTTCTCAGAGCACCGGTGATCTCAATCCATCCCGGCCGTCCTCCAGAAAAGGCGAATAAAACTTTAGAAAGGAGGTGCATCCAGTAAGGTCGCTCCATTCTATCAGAACTGGTCGCGCAACCAACGCAAAGCACCCACATCCAGATCCCTGTATATCTTTTCCAGAAACCATCTGATACGCTTGCGCTCATCGATTCGTACAGTTCTTGTATATCCTGCTCGTTTTGAGGAGACGTGAATTGGATCGGTGGAGTAGAGAGGGCACGCTGGTATATTTGAGAAGCGCAATGGATTGTGTCGAAGACTCGGGTCTCACTCTCGGAGTTGGTATTCTTGGCAACTTGTGTCGCTTGCTTTTGGGTCGATATAGAAGGTGGCTTCAGACTCAATTGAGATTTTGATATAAGTTGTTTGGTTTTCTTCTGTCTTTTCGAAACCCAGGTCGTACTAGGAGTGGAGAGTACAAAGTTAGTCAGGCCATGCATCGTTTCCAAGATATAGATAATGTCTTTCTTCCTCCATGCGCATGTAATTGAGGCGAAATCACCATTTCCGCATAGAGGAGAGTTAATGAGAGGATTTGTATTGGATGTTGTGAGTTGTGAAGCTGTTGGCTGCGGAAGAAAAGGTGGAGCGGCGCAGGCGACCGAGGAGAAACGGATGGAGGCAGAACAAGACACAGCAATCAAGAAGTCGAATCTGTGAAGAGCATCAGCCTGGGTGCAAAGGAAATGAAGAGTAGTCAGGCGCTGGTACATTATTAATCTTGTCACCAGGTGCGGATTTTGAATGTCGTGAATTCCTCCCTTAAGATGAACGAGGTTTTCAAGGCCATCCATGTGGGCTCTGAGCAGCTGCGAGGAACCCACCCCTGGCTAAAATTCCTATCTTAGTCAAGTGATCTCTTAGGCACGGAAGGAATAGGAACCAAACTCACCTCCCACATGGCTAGGATCATGATTGCTCCCATTGTCTCTTCGCCTGTAGCTGTTTCCTTATTCTGTAACTGTGCTTGAATCCATTTAATGGTTTCAAGCCGGAATGCCATGCATTCTGGTGTAGTCATAAGGAAAGAAAGTACATCTCCGAACAAGAGCGGACCCCGGATGGGCCCTTCTTGAGGCCTGATCCAATTTGGCATCCACATCGAATGCCGCGGGAATAGACTGTTCACGCATCCACTTGTATCCAGATGCTGTCGCCAGGTCGAGAAAGCTTTGTTCGATGGCCATTTCGGAGGTCTCACGTACATCATCGGCCCATCTGGAACGAAGAATACATGAGGAACTTCTTCCACGAAGATAGAGTCAGTGATGTTAAAACTCTAAATTCCAAAACGTGGGGTCTGAATGCAAGGGACAGGTTGCTCACTATTGTCCTGATAGGGAAGCGCCACTCTTGGCGAAATGTTCCAAAAAGGTTGTAACCACACATTCTCACTATCGTTCTGATGCTCTGGGCCTTTCTGTTTCTCTGCGGGACGTGGCTTCAGTCCTAGTGTGGCGGCACTTTCGAGACGTTTCTGTTTTACAAAGCTCTTGGTTTCTGCCATACGCCTTGTCCTGTGGTAATCACGCATAACATGAGCCCTGACCTTTTTCCGTGTGTCTGGTTCCCTTCCTTCAGAAGGTGTTGCAAGTACGAACTCCAACGGCTTGACAAGATTCGGCAGAGGAGTTGATGAGATAACCTGTTCAACCTTGTATCCAGTTTCAGTGGATGTAGGTACCGGCGATATGGAAACTTGGCGATCTGGTGGCGCATCCATGATGTTCAAACTCTATATCGAGCTAGAGGTAGACCAAGAGTTGAGGGTCTAATGTATTAAAGAGTCTTGCTGTTATTAATCACTTCATATGCCTTCAGCAGCTCCTTTTTGAAACCGAGTCAGCAATATCCGCAGCTCTCAGCATGTGGAATCAAATTCTTGCGGTAGCCCATCGAAGTGGGAATTGTAGATCATGCAGGCATGTTCACTGGAGCTAGAGGACTTTCTCTGCAGTATGCGGCCCAACGCAAGTTCGGGATAGCTCCGAATTGTTCCTAGACTAGATGCCCACTTGTAAAGTGTTTTGAAATAGCTTGTAATATTTGCTCCTCAAGAGAGAGGCTCGAAGTTCTAGCCAAAGTTTACTATGCCATTTACAAGTGGCGATTTGTAATTCGGGGTTTGACATCAGCATACTCCCACATAAAACACAACAGAAGCAGCAAACAGCATAAAGCAGCACATTGAACAATTTCTCATCTGCGCATGGGTGTCGAAGAAAATATCATTTGATATACAATGTAACAGCTTGGAATTAGATCATACCAATCAAAGCTCGTTTTGCACTTTTCGTTGAAGTGAGATGTCAGACTTGAAGCTTCGGGGTACCTTGCAGCGGGATGACAGCTTGATGACAAAAAACTGTCAGTGTAGTCAGCGGGCATCAAGCATTGTCTGAATATGAGGTAAGCTATTCCACATGATACCGTGAAGATCCCGCGACGCGCAAGGGCATGCAGCAATTCATTCGAAGAATATAACAAAAGAGCAGTTTCTGTAAACATTGAGACTAGACTTAAAGTGGAAAATGACAGTCTTGGCATTTCCAGTTTCTGGCGGGCATGGCTTGATAGAGAAAGTCTTTCCGGCCCCGCTCAATAGGCTGCGCCGCCTGAGCAGAAATACGAGCCCAACGATTCCCGGCCCCAACCATGGCCGGGATCTGGAAACAAGGCTGAACACCATAACATGCATCATCAAAGCTAGGTTGGACGCATTGCCGGAGCTGATTTCCACACCACTGGCAAACAGCGTACCCCGTTAATAGTACAACAGAGCGTTAAGGTCGGATTAAACTCGGTGGGGTGAGCGTGTTGCTTGAGCAAATCCCTCCTTTACCTCTAGAGGACTTCCTCCTTTGCAATCGGATATGCCGACTCATGCTCAGCAAGGGCTGAATAAAGAGTCAAATGATACATTGTTGTCACCCTTGACCGACTCTCGACGGATTCCATAATGCGCAAAAGTGCATGCGAGCCTCATCATCAGATCACCAATTCGCTGCATTGAGGCTGAATCGAAATATGTTGCTGCACTAACTTCATGAGGATAAATGGATATGTAATTGAAGTCATCGACCAAGAGAAAATTCTCCTTAGCACTTGTTACGAGCCTGGTGAGTTACGAACATGGGGACAAAAGTCCGTGCGTTCAGGGCATCAGAATCATGAATTTTATTAATTAATTAGCTGTAGACCAGCCACATCGCTTAATTAAGTCGTGTACCCAGAAGTCCTGCTGCTCAATAAGCCCATTGATCCATTCCTGAGGAATTTTGTCCCATTCTTCTAATACTGCTACAACCATTTGAACCTCAGTTGTTGGCTGCCTTAGGCGCCTATGGAGAGCTTGTTTTATTCTCCTCCAGCACTTCTCAATAGGATTCATATCAGGGCTAACTGCAGGATGGGGGAATAGAGTAA